TTAGAGGGCTCCCGGCGCTCCGGCATCACCTGAGGATAGTTCTTTAGGACATCATTTATGAGGTGGCGTGCTGCGTTGATTTGGGCATTTTCAGTCAAGAGAACTGTGACATCGGCAAGCATCCACTGGACGAGCTTCCGCGTCAGGAGGAGACGATGACGGTTGGCCGATATCGTAGGATGGTTCAAGAGATCTGCGTACATGTGCGTCGCTATCGACGCATATTCTTCCTCCAGGGTTTTCCGAGGCAGCAAGCGAAGAAGAAACCTGTAACACATGGCGATGCCCGCGCGTGCTCTGTTCGTTGTGGAAGCTCTGCAGTAATGTTGCGATAGGACCCGTAGGACTTCTTTCAAGGTCAAAGTCAAGCGAACAGACAGCTTGACTTGTCCCGGCGCTGGGGAACCGGGTCTCTCTATTTCGGCTTCCTCCTCCAGATCGTCCCCAGGTTTCTTGGACTTCTTAGGCTTTCGAAGGACTGGTACTTCAGCATGACCGGTTGCGGAGTATGCCTGCTGTAGCGCGGCAGCCATAGCAGCAGCTGCTGCATGCCGCACAGACGATCCCGAGCTATCCAGTACCTTCCAAATTGTGCTCTTGAGCGATTCAAAGTCGTTGGAGTTGTTGAAATAACTCGTCTCGCTGACAAGACTGCGGAGGCAGGAGCAGGCACACCTTTGAACGAAAGTCGATTTGTCGCTTGTCGCCGCGTTTCGAGCAGATTTGAGGATATCACGAGACACATGTTCGTCCAGGCTCCCCTTGACCCCCAGTACCACCCCGACCAGAGCTCGAAACACACATCCTCGGACTCCAACGGACGAAGCCTTTAGCAACTTTATCAGAGAGGCAGCAGTCAGCCCAGACAGAGAAATGGCCGAATCCCCAGCGGCTCGAAAGACGGCCCCAATGCACACGATCGCGCTGTGTTTGGAACTGAGCTCTTTATCCGCCTTGCCGGTGTTCAGGATGGCCAGCAAATCATTGATGGTTTCGTAGAGCAGGCTGCGACTCCCCCGCGCAAACAAGTCTGCGAGTATCCTTCCTAGTGCATTCCGAATGACGCGTGAGGGCGCCGGCGCTCCTAATCCTACAATCTTGATCACTTCTCTCTTGATGGAAGCTTGGTGCGACGGTAGAGCCTCGGCCGACAGCTGCTCGACGTGCCGTTGCAGATCGGAGACGAAGGTGAGCAAGTATAGATCTTGCTGTGCCGTATCGAGGCTATGTAGTTTCGTCACGTCGAGTTCGAGGTCCGCGGCGCCGTTGACTGCGGACGCGGATTGAGGTTGCGGAGCAGGAGAAGGGGTCGCCATGATTGAAGAGACTGGGGAGTGCGTACGTCCCGTTGGACGGACGCCGAGTATTCGAATCGGATCATATATGCCGATGCACGGTGAGGTTCAGGCAGTCCTGGAACGTACTCGCTTTACACCCTCAGCCAGCAATATGTATTGCTGTCCTCTGATATATTCACTGGCGTTTCGGGCGCTCTGGCTGAACGTAGTGCCAGAGTATCCGTCTACGGTCGACCGCACGACCATCATGTGCTCGATAGAAAAAGGGGCTTGAGGGGTCAGAGAGGAGAGCTTCAGTCATCTCCCCCACTCGACGCTCACTTTTCGTTTCACCTTCGCTCGCAGCCGCGAGCGAGTGAACTTGTGCCAGACCCTGCAGAGACTCATTCGACCCAGTGAAGCGCGGCGCAGGGACTTGCCTTGCAGGGCCAACATTGTCGCAACAAGTGAAAGGCCATCGCAATCACCGCTTAAAGCGTTGCCCAGCAGGACGCCCACGACGCCGAAGTCACAAGTTGCGGAGGCAAAGAAGATCTTAAGACCCGGTATGGCAGGCAACCGTACACAGCACAGGGACACGAATTACTGAGTGTATGAGTTGGAGGTCTGTTCAGCTACACAGGCTCGGTGTTTCCCTTTGACATAACCTTGGGATCTGCTAGCCATATCTCAATTGATTGTCTATTCCGGACTGATTGAAGCGTTTGCCGCCTCACACAGCATCGCGAGGACTCATTGATGGCGTGTGCTCGGACTATACACAAAGCCTTCGTGTCACTTAGGGCGTCTTCTTGATGTACAGACTCTGGGCATTGCAGAAAGATCTCAGACCACCTAGGCCCCACTCGAAACCAATGCCGCTCTCCTTGTGACCGCCGAACGGAGCGTCGGGTTGTAGTTCAAGGTGCTACATAATTTCGTTAGCAGGGGCGGTTGAGGACATAGTGGATTGGCAGGACTCACCGAGTTCACCCACACCGAGCCAGCCTGAAGCTGTCGAGCGATCCGAGTGGCTTCTTCCAGATCGTTCGACCAAACCGAGGCCCCGAGACCCATCTTGGTGTTGTTGGCCCGAGCAACGACATCGGCCTCGTCAGACCAGGTCATGAGGGGAACAATGGGGCCGAAGGGTTCTTCGGTGGCGATTCTGGAGTTGTCGGCAGGCTTGTCGATGATAGTAGGGGTGATGAAATAGCCAGGCTTATCTGGGTTGGTGCCGCCAACAGCGACAGTCTGCTTCTCTTTTTCGATGTCGCTGAAGAAGGTCTGGGACAGCGTCAGTGTGCGTTCCTCAATCCCTGCATCTACACGCCAGGTGCCAAGACTCAGAACCTACCTTGACTTTTTCGTACTGCATCTTGTTCTGGATAGGGCCCAGGAAGACACCTTCCTCAGTCCCATCACCAACTTTGAGGTTCTTGGTGAACTCGACCATGGCTTTCAGGAACTCATCGTGGATCGACTCATGGACGTAGATGCGCTTGACAGCCAGGCAGATTTGACCGGAGTTGAGGAAGGCGAACGTGGCAACCTACAGTCCCGCTTAGCCAGTGGATGGGAGAGATCCTACATCAGCATCTGATCATACCTTCTGGGCAACAGTCGGGATGTCCACGTTCTTTGTGACGATGGCGGGGTCTTTTCCACCACTGAACGAGGTCAGTAAGCATTACATCTCAATGTCGCGCCACACTCACAGCTCCAGAGTGACTCTCTTCAGAGTTTTTGCGGCACTTTCCATAACCTTCTTGCCGGTGAATGTCGAGCCAGTGAAGCTGATCTTGTCCGGGCCCGGGTGAGCGGTGAGCCAGGGGCCTAGGTTGTCATCGCCGGACAGAACCTGAACGACACCAGGCGGGAAGTATTGTTGAGCCAGCTCACCGAGTTTCAAGTCGCAATATGGGGTGAACGGCGATGGCTTGATGATGATCGGGTTGCCCGTGAGGACGGAGGGAGCGATCTTACCACAGGCGAGATGGATAGGGAAGTTCCAAGGTACGATGCCGACGGTGACTCCGAGGGGGGTATATCGAACGATGACCTGCTTCGTGTCGTTTTCCTCGACGATCTCCTCCTTCAATTCTAGCCTCGCGAGAGCTCTCATCCAGTGAACGCCAGTCTTGGCTTCTCCGATGGCAAATTGAAGCTGGATCAGAGTTAGCATGTGAGGTCAGGTCGAGTAGCTGGGCCCATACTGGTTTTCCTTGCTCCTGAGTAAGAAGCTTGCCAAAGTCCTGTTCGTATTTCTCCAGGCCATCGGCGAAGGCAAGCACAGCGTCTCTGCGTTTCTCCCAAGGGGTTTGTGACCATGACTTGAAGGCCTCTTTCGCCGCTGCAACGGCGTCATCGACATCCTTCTGCGTCGAGACAGGCACCTCTGGGTTTGGTTTGCCTGTTGCAGGGTTGATGCCGTGCCTGGTCTGCTCCGTGCTTGTCAATTTGCCATTGATGGTGTTATAGAAGCCCTCCAGGACATTGAACTGTGGTCCTACGGAACCCATGTTGAAGCGGAGATGGCGTGTGAGGGGGCTAGGCACTTTCGATGCTTGAAGTGAAGACGATGAGGAATACAACGACTTTTTAAAGATGCTCGTGCTTGCAAATCAATTGAACTAGCAATCATCATAGACCCGAAGCCGGAAACCCGAGGGGCTTCTCATATTTAAATCCTGCGGGGCAGAAAGCATTCACTTCCACCTCGGTCGAATTCGGCGGCTTTCTGGACCAAGCGGGATTGTAACAAATGACTTGGCGCTGCGCTGCTTGTGTATCACATCACTGGTATCTCAATTCATTGGCCCGCAGTGTATATTTGCTGCAGGGTTTGCCTCGGAACTCCACACAGTAACTGGAAATACAGGAAAGAAAGGTGCTTAACACCGACATGAATTGAGGCTGAGGACGGCTTCAGCTTTCTCTGTTGTTCCACGACCCGTCGACGAGGGAGAAGTCACCAACGTTGCACCAGAGAAGCAGTTGCTGGATTTTGCGTGGGCCAAGTCAGAGAAATCGACTCAAGGACTGATCTGAGTTGCTCGACTCGGAGGTCCATCAATGGTGTTCTTCACCTCCACCTCAAAACGACCCATACCGTGCTCTGCACCGCAATGGCTAAGCAGACTTGAAGTGCCTGTCCTAGAGCTTTGTGCAACTGCTGAGAGCCAGACCAGCTGCCTGTGCATCCTCGCAGCTCCGGGATGGTCTTGAGAAACAGTCGAGTCAGCTGCGATGAATCATGACTTCGCGTAACCGAAGATCGTGTGGACGCTCATCCCCGCGTGTTCGCACCACCATCAAATCGAAGGATGCGGGGTTGGTCGAGACCGTAGCGACCACTAAAACCAGAACGAGCATCCGGAACTGAGATCGGTTATTCAAAATTCTGGGTACTAACGACCTGGCCCCTGGTGAATTGTTTCTGTGGTGGCAGCCATACCTTTCTCCTTCGTAAGGGTGCTCTTCCTGAGGAGATGGCCACTGTGGTAATGAGGACGTTCGAGACTGCAGCGAGAGATGAGCAGACAACTGCGGCTATGTACCATCCAGGTGCAGACCAAGTCTGGCCCCGGGAAAGGCTCTGAGAAGTCCTTTGTGACAGACTTGAATTGACAGGGTACTTCTATTCTCAGCCTTCATGCATCGGTGTGCTTAATGGACGACGCGGTATAAATGTCTGATTTTCCGATCATCCTTTGAGCTGCTATGGCAGCTCTGTCTCCCATTCTTGCCAAGGACTCTGTGTTTGAATCTTCCGATCCGATCGTGTCCAAATGCTGCATCGGCGGACTGCTCTCTCTGACTTTCGCGACTCAAAGAGCTCACGCTCGGGCGCGCGAGAAGCGACAAACACCCAATGAGTATCTCCTGCAAGAAGTCCGAAACAGCCAAACACAGGCTACGCCCGCTCCTGCGGAAGGCATTCGAGAACTTGATGAGAGAGTCCTGCGCTGTGTCCAGTCCTTGAACTCGACTTAGCGGTCAAGGACGACTTCTCGTACCACGATGAAGGGCCCCAGTTTCACACTCAACCGTACGAGACGATCAATCCTTCGGGCCTCTACCAGAATGTAGACCCAGTACTCTGCCAACTCTCACAACCTCGTCGGCATGGGTGGTGCAATATCCTCCTGATGGACGGCCTGCTCGGGAATGCATGGGGCACAGAACTCCGCGCTCGCTTCGAACACGCGCTAGAAACCGGGGACACCGATCCAGATGGAAGCATCTTCCCCATCGCCAGCGAATTGACGGGTTTCACCACACCGGGTTTGCTTGACGGGCGCCATGTCCGAGGCTGCAACAAGGTACAGTAGTACTGCGGTAGCTCTCGGACGTCCGTGAACTTTCCTTGCTGAATCACGGACTGACTCCCGACTCCTGAACACCATGGCACTTCACCCACAAAGGCTTAGCGTTGGTCACGTGCACTGCTGCCCGCTGTTCACCAACACAGTTACGCCTCATCTTTGTAGTTCTCAGGACTCGTAGTCAACAAAGACATGCAAATCAAGTCCAACGAATACTGGTACTCAGTATGATATTCTATTCTCCATGTGTAGCTCATGGCCAGCCAGCCGCGCAATGTATCACGTGACTTGCGGTATGTGACATGCATGCAACATTGTGACGTCAGTTCTGAAGACTCGAGGAGTCGTCGAGCCACCCAACGAGCCTACGAGGGATGTACCTCGCACGAGTTAAAGTCTGGAGTCTGCTTACGAGGAATGTACCACAGTAAGCACTCTAAGTAACCCGCTGGTACCTTGTACGAGTTACTCCTCCTCCTCCAAGATGACTCGATATCGCTCGAGCCGGGCTGCAAAAAGTCTTGGTGAAGATTTAGTGCTGACAGTGACTACTGTAACTCAGACGCACTCCTCCTACGAGGTACCTTGGAAGCGTGTGTCAACCACTAAGTGATAAACTACGGACACAGGGCATGCCAAGTTTCAGATAAGAGTGTAGAAAACTGGGAAATTCCGGAGAGGCTGGGAGCCACTGTCGATTCTGGGGGATACGAGCACGGGCCAAGATGCTCAACAGACGCCGATTGGGATCGTGGGGGTTTTGATAAGCACTCGGAGGCGCAATGCTGGGACGGAGTAATGATAACGGCATTTTCAGCCTGCAAGGTGATTGGACAGAGTGTGTTGTATATCTCACACCGTGGTTATTCTGGTCTGCATGTTCGTGCGCGTGGCGCTTGCATGGGATCGATGGATGTGGACGGATTTCCTTGCACTTTTGCCCAAGTAGTCTGGTGCGAAGTGGGGTGCTCTGCATGCTTCCAGTACGAAGGTGAGACTGTGGGAAACGTGCGGAAAATCGAGGTGCTCATAACTCATCCGGGTACTCTTACTCCGTGCTATGTACAGTGTATATCGTATGTTACTCCCTTCGATCTTCGCATGTCCACTATGAGAGCCTCATGCGAGACAAATATAGATCACAATGACCACATAAAAGGACCCTGAACGTCGAGATTTTCAACGGCATTTTGAGATCGCCATCAATGCCACAGGGGATTTTTTCCGGAAACAAATACCCGAGGATCGGAGCTCGGCTAGCAGGATCCTCTCCCTGCGCCTCAGAAACCCTACCCAGTGTGCCAGTAGAAGAGATGGCCCACACAATCCTCATTGCAGCATGTCTCGGTGCTTTTCGTATCTCAGAATAGATTGTTGCTGATTAACAATGGTCTGGCATCCGGCCTGGCAATTCGTATGCTGTTGCCACAGGCTCGGTAAGGTTGTAGCCCCTTGAATCCGATACAGAACATTGACCCGATCGATTCGGCTGCCGCGAGTCTCTCATGAATCGCAATGCTTGAGGTATATTCGCTGGGAGGAAGGCGATGTAGATCCGTAATCAGACCAGTATTGGTCGTAGCCAAACTTGGTATGTAGTTCTCCTGCTGTCAGGCTCCCGTTTTCTGTAACCTGGTGCCAGGACAGAGCGGCTAATTTGGGCGTGAGACTCGACATCTGCAGAGAGCCGCCCCTCACCGTCTATTCGCCATTCTTCTGGACAGTCGTCGGTGTAAAAACTCTATTGGTACTCAGTTATTATACAGTCACCAGATCCAGGGACAAATGCTTGTTGTAGAACGTGACATTTGACGCCGAATCGTATGCCTCAGAGCCGAACGCAATATACCCGAGGTAATCTAGACGGTCGTCAGTAACGTGATCTCATAGAAAAATCCTGCGCACGCATGCCGCTCGGGTATGAGACCAGCTTACCATTCACCGTGGGCCCACCAATCCCTGTCAAACCCTGTAGCAATGGACCCAGATCGGCAAAGAAGTTGGTATGACCGGTCGCGGCGTCGCTCGCAACCCACGTTAAGACATTCTGGTTGAGACCATTGACACCGGTGTATAGACTGAAGGTCGTCCCGTTGACAATCTGAGTCGTAACGACGCCTTCTTCCAGACCAATCTGCTGTGTGGAAGCCCCATACTGGCCCAGCCAGATCATCACTTCGTACTTAGCTTGTGTGGTGTCTATGGCTTTGTCGGGATCCGAGTCCAAGAACATGTCGACAGCCACATTGGCGTCCAACTGGACCTCGGTCAGGGCGGCGATGTCGACGATTTCCGGCCTCTCGTCACCAACCCCGTAATACCATTCTGTCTCGAAGTTGATTGCTGTTACCTTCGAAATCTCAACGGGAAAGGTATCTGTGTCCACTTTGATGTTGGGAAAGGCGTGCACAGGTTGGGTTGGGGGACCTCGAGGATATTGCCACTAAGGCTTGATGTTAGCCAGTCTGCAGAGCTACACGTAGCATCGCTTCGACGCAGGACAACCTACTGTGATTGACCACTGTGCAGCGGTTGTCTTGGTGGGATAAGTTCCATTCTGAGGACTGTTAGTGTCGACTGGTAGAGTCGCGCCTGGGCCTTGGGCCTTGAGGAAGCTCACATCGTAGGTGGTGACCTAGTAATCCTGTTAGCAAGAATGCAATCCACGCGTCGGACGTCACTACTCACGTTCATACACAAACCTCCAGGTCCGTCGTAATCTTCTGGGAGCGCCCACTGATTCGGATTTCTGGGGATTCACGGTCAGCCTTGTTGCGCGTGACATGATTGGCTGCAGCTGCAGTGAGGGCGGCCGAGTCGGAAGTCCACATCCAGTCGATCCTCCGACCTGCAAGGCCAACTCTTCCAGGAGGGCAGCAGGTCCCCTTAGTTCGAAGCCAGCGCTTTGCCCAACCAGGCTACAAGCCAGGAACACGAAAAACCTTCCAACTTTAAAAACTTGTCCATTCGACAGGGGTCCTGATAGTTGCACAAATCGGGGGCTCGATGTTTACGGCCGCTTGGGGAGAAGGAGAATTGAGACTCACAACGTGTACTCCTGGCCATTCGTGAAAGGCGTAATACCAAATGCTCTCTGGCAGTAATTCTTCGACCTGATCTTGTTGCTCGCGCTCACGAAGGGGTTGGGGTTCAATCCTTGGGACTCGCGATATGCCTGCAGTCCGAGCAGCACACTGATGGTGACTGCCACGGGGATGAGCACAAAGCCGAGCGAAACAAGCGATCTGAATCCCATTGTTGAAGTCCGGAGTAAGGTTCTGGGATCAATTGCGAATAGTCGAAGACGTCGGCCAGCACAGCGTCGAGAAGATATGCGATATCGACCGCGAGAGCAGATGTATGTCAGAGGCGGGATAATAGAAATCACGTAGCGCGGCTGGAGAGAGCCGGACAGCTCGCAGCTTCGAAGCTCGGTGGGCAGTGCACGTTGAGCAAATTGAGCAGGCCGGGCAAAGTGGCAAGAGATAATTTTGTTTCAGTCGCAGGCAAGATTTTAAGAGCTGCAGGCATCGATTCGCTGTCTTCAATGGTCGACCGGATGGGACTTGTTTGAGCCAGGTGCGTTTATCCGCAAGACAAGTGCCTATCACACTGGTATTTGTGTGGAGATTGTGGGCTTGGCTTGCAGGTGGCGCTCATTGTGCCAGGGAGCCCCCGGCCGCAGGGCCAGGGGTTGCGCTTGATTGCTCCATTAGTCCATCGCCTTGTTTTTGGCGTGTCGTTGGCCCGGTTTGCATTTTCCCTTTCGCCTTGAGCTGGATCATGCTGTCGTCGTCACTGCGTCGCGTGCCAAATTGGCACTCTCCGGCATGCCCATGGTTTGTAAGGTCCCTTGATGAGCATTGCTTGATAAGGGCAGTCAAAAGTTGGCTGTGCCATCGCTAATCCTGGTGTCTCCAGCACGGCTTCTTCTCCTTCCGCCAAGTTCCTGCCTTGGTCGCCCCCAGCCTTCCGTATTGATCTCCTCCTCCGCATGGTCTTCCTGCTTCGCAATGTGACGATGATCTACCTCGTACTGCCCTGCCTCTTTCCGGACCCAGCCTCTCCACTATGACATGATTAAGGTCGGTCGCGCACCCACTCGAGCCACTCTCTGCCACTGTTGGACGAGAACATCATACCCGAGAACACGCCCCCCTTCGGATAGCCAATCCAACCACGCTACTTGCAAAATCCTGTCGCCTCTCGCTCTGTCTGTGCTGGTCGTGCTTGTTCTCTTCTAATATCTTCGATAGCAGCACCGCAGTCCGTGGGCCTCCTTCGCTTTCCCACAACTCTATCTATCATTGACAGACATTCACATTCGTTTTAAACTTCACTCGCTTGGGATCCACGCAGGCATTGGGGACAAGAATGAACACTCTCGTTCGATAGACAAGACAATACGACAGACGCTCCTCAACGTGTCCGAGCTCTTCGCCCTTGCATATCCCTCTGCAACACATCACCCCTCGTTTCAACATGCCTCCTCTTCGCAAGTCAGACCGTCGAAGAGCTGAGCAGCAGCCAGTCATGACAGAAATAAAGCTTTCCGCGATCGAGTCGCCGTCGTCATACAGAGAAAGCATGTCCTCACCATATCATGAAAGCCATCGGGAGAGTCAAGAATCTTTCCTCGAACCACCTCCATCTGCTCATCCTATATACGGGAACTACAGAGAGAGCCCGCCACTCGAGCACCAGAGGCTCTCGCGGCGGCCAGGTCTATCAGACCTGCACGACCGAACCCTGTCGGACCTGATCCCAGAAAGCATCTCCGACAGTACACTTGTGGCACCCAATGGATCATATCCAGCGTTTGCACCAGGAGCACACTCTTCGTATTCAGGGTCTCAGACTCGGAGCTCGTCGCCTTATCCAGTACCATCGCCTTTCAGAAGTCAGGAGACGTTACGACCTCTCTACCCTGACTCGCCCTCCACCTACTTTAAGAAAGACTGGGCGAAAGAGGGTCAGATCGCTCAATTGCATACGCGAGATGACCAGGAATTCATAGCCGGCAAGAAGAGATGGCTCTACCGGTGGTTCGCGCCGCTGTTGTGCCTGGTCTCCCTCTCGATGTATTGGTTCTACTTCGGCTTACGAATTACCTTCATCGTCGACGCTCAAAGGCTCTACGGCAATTCCTTCCCGCTGGCGTGGGTTTTCGTGGCGATTGAGATTTCGATTGCTGTGCCCATATTCATGCAGACCATCTGGTCGCTCTTTATCCTCAAGAAACGCCACAGGCCAAAGCTGAGGCTCATCGGTAATGAGGTTCCCACAGTCGACGTTTTCATCACATGCTGCGGCGAGGACGACGACCTCGTCCTCGATACTGTTCGCGCTGCATGCGATCTGGACTATCCCCAAGACCGATGCCGTATCATTTTGCTGGACGACGGCAAATCTGATACATTGAAAAACGTCCTTGAGGAATGGCGCGAGACGTGTCCAAATGTCTTCTACATGCGCCGTCCGAAGTTCCCTGGCGTTCCTCACCACTTCAAGGCCGGTAACCTGAACTATGGATTGGACGCAGTCCATAACCTACCGGGCGGCGCTGGAGAGTACATGGCTGCTCTTGATGCAGATATGATTCCGGAACAGCATTGGTTACGGGCCGTGCTGCCACACTTGTTGATGGATGAGAAGATGGGCCTCGCATGTCCGCCTCAGCTCTTCTACAATGTTCCAAGAGACGATCCCCTCTGTCAGAGCTTGGACTTCTTCGTTCACGTCTCCGAGCCAGTCAAGGATGCCCTGGGCGTGGCATGGTGCACAGGTTCTGGATACGTTGCTCGGACAGCCGCACTCGCTCAGATTGGAAACTTCCCTTGCGGGTCCTTGGCGGAAGATGTCGCCACAAGCACTCTCCTGCTCGGCGCTGGCTGGAAGACAGCCTTCGTCCACGAAGCACTACAATTTGGAACCGTCCCGGAAGACTATGGTGGCCATCTCAAGCAACGTACGCGCTGGGCCATCGGTACCGTCGACACGGCCTTCAAGCTCAAGTTCTGTTTGTGGGGCGATCAAGTGAAGCATATGTCCTTTGCACAGAGGTCGTCGAGCTTCATCTACGCTTTCCTAAGCTTGTTCAACATCTTCCTCACCCTCTCGATCTTCGCCTTGCCGATTGTTCTTGTCTCGAACAAACCACTGGTGGCATATTCAAATGATACACAACTTCGATGGTTGATCCGGGCGTGCTTCGCTAACGTGGTATTGAACCGCTTGTGCGAGTTCGTGCTCTACATTCCCGCAGGCTATACGACCGGCCAAAGAGGCAGCCGCTACCAGCTCTGGATGGCTCCCTATATCTCCCTCACCATTATCCGATCATTTGTCCTACCAACCTGGCTCGGCGGACAGCGACAAGCTTTCAAGGCGACAGGCTCGATCAAGTCAGCACTCAACGAACGAGACCCCAAACAGCGAGCGCCAATGTACCGTCGGGTATGGACGATATGCGTCAACTACATGGCCGGATTTCACGTCGCATACGTCTACTTCGTGCTGGTTGCTGTCACCATTTCGACCTACAGGACCCTGATAGTGCAACATACATTGCGAGGGAAGCTGATCGGTCTTGTCACACACGCATTTTGGCCTCCTCTTGCTTGGATAATTGTCTGCTCTTCTTTCTGGATTCCTTTTACATACGCGGTCGATCCCCCTAATTGTCCCGACAGAGAGGAACTCCTGGACCGGGACCCGAAGACTGGTGTATGCCACCCCAAACCGGAAGCGAAGAAGATCGCTTTCGCTCCGCAAACCGCCTGGTTCGAACTGGAATACACTCTCACCACTGCTTTTACGGCGTTGGTCTTTGTTGCGGCGTTCTTCTACTGAGACCCGCGACATGATAAACCTAATGACGAAACGAATATGTCGATCATCGGCTTGAGTTCAGATCACCACCTGGGCGATCTTGTTCATAGCAGATCGTTCTACCACGCATTCGCATGTTTTTCGACAACAGCTGGGCCTGGATACTGTACATATAGCCGGAGACTTAGGCCTTTCCGGCATAGACATACACATTCGAATGGATAATCGACTCTTGGGCGTTTCAATACACAGGGAGAGATACCTAGATACTTCCGCAAATTGGAAGTGGCGCGAGCATCAGGACGATTGATTAGTACATAGCAACGGGCAGCGGCTTATCTGATACAACATAACGAAGACTATAAACTCACGCGCAAGGACTACCAATGGTTCACTGACCATCGCGCGATGTTGTGGACAAGGCAGACTCATGCTTACACCCATATTGGAAGCCATGAATACGCTCCTTCGCTTGGTCAATACCATTGATGGTAAAACAAGATCATCTTCGTCAACGTAGCTTTCATGTCTCTTCTCGGCTGGTCTTCCCATCGTGCATGCCCTTCCCAGCGGCGAGAACTTCCACATAGGATTGTTCGAGGTTAGATTGGTACTTGCCTAGCCTCCTCTCTGATCTCGGTCTCGTCCCATGCTCAATACTCGGTCTACTGTATATTTCTAGGCACAACCTGGTACTTACAGCTTCGGCTGCCCACCCAACCCTGCTCCACCTGGCGTGTTGGAGACGAAAGATCCGTCAAGCTCCTCCCACTCGCTCAGCACAGTTTTCTTGCCCTGTATGAAGCGGCCAGTGCCTCTGAACATCGTCTTGAACTCGGCCGTCTTACCATGCACACCCAGCGCAGCCAGATCCTTATATCGCTCGAACATGAGCACTTCGCCAGGGTTCTTCGCACTGGTCAGGACATGGTAGGTCAAGGTGCCGGACTCATTCTGCTCGACCCAGTCACAGAATTTGCTAGACCGCGACGTCAGCGACGAGCACCAGAAGCACGATAGGAACGCCATATTGAAAATGAGCTGAATGCGATCTAGCAAATGCTTACCCCAACACTCCCACCAATCCATCTCTGTTTGCGTTCAAGTCATTATCTTTCAGGACGAACTTTGCGAGCACGACAATTGCTGCTTTGGGACTCTCCTTCTCGCCTTTCCGGGCCACGAATCCAGCGGCGGGAATCCATTCTGAGATCTCCATGTCGCGCGCCGGATCATACAGTCGCTCCTCTGCCACTCTCGAGTGGAAGGACTTGAACACGGACGTTTGCTTCACGGCGGAGAATGCCGCCGAGGAGGACCAGATTTCCAACAGACCGAGGAGAGTTGACGCTTCCCCGGACGGGACCATGCCGAGCTGCGCTTTGGGCCGAGTTGTCGGCGTGAAGATTGCGCGCGTGCTATGTTGGGTGGACGGGTTGCGGAAGAAGGAGAGGTTGGAGTTGTTCAACGCGATGACTCTGTCGCGGTTTTCGCGGGATTTGGTATGGATGAGGACCAGTAGGGCCAACGGCTTGCCGTCGGATGCCATGATGAAGCTCGGTCCGGGTATGCTGTTCTTGCCACGGACGGGGGTGGTGGGCACTTAGCAATCTCTAGAATCTCGAAATGATTCCTTCAGGTCAATGAAGAAGAGTTGGATCTTTCAACGACCGAACCTCGAATGACTGGAGCGACCAATGTCCTTGGAGAGCGACAGAACGTTGAGATGCTTTACCCTCGTGTGAGAAGAGGCCTCTCGGATGCTACAGTGCTAAATTCAATTCCTACTCAGTACATGATTAGTTATGTAGCACTTTTCGTAAGTTTCCACCGGCTACAGCGCGAGCAGCGACTGTAGGAATCGCTGGAAATCTCGGAAAGTTGCCTCGGCAGTGCAGATTCGGGAACTCGATAAGATTAGATGCTCGGATATAAGGCTGGACCACAGCCTCGCCGAAGGTGGTCGGCCGGGGCTCGCAGCTCCGAGCTTTCTCGATCGTCCGTGGTCCTTGTAGCAAGACTCTCTTTCGCAAGCACCGCCGATATGTCGCCTCCGTCGGCGACTCCCGTACCGGACATGGCAGTCCCGGAACCTTCATCGAACGTGGCGGCTCTTCCAGGAGAAATTGAAATGGCCGAGCACCCACCCCTTCCGTTGTCGCCGCCGAGGCCTCCGACCACGGCCATAGGTGCGGCCACCTCGTCGAGGGCGTGCGACAGCTGCAAGTCTTCAAAAACCCGATGTGAACGGATTTCCGAAGCAGCACCGTGCCATCGTTGCTCGAAAACAAACAGGCAATGTGTCGTTGCTGGTGTTGTCCTTCAGGTGCTCGTGCCCGCGGACTCGGATATGAACCACCCAGGAGAGGGTCCGGCCTCCCCTCGAACATGGTACGTTCGTAAGACCTGCGATCCGTGCAGGACTTCCAAGGTGAAATGTGAACGCGCTTCAGAGTCTACAAAGTGTGATAGATGTTCGAAAACCGGCAGGGATTGCGTAACCACCCTTGGCAGCAGTTCTAGACACGCTCCCCAAAGACATCAGGCATCACCTCTTCAGGCAAGACCAAATACATCATTAGACATTAACGCCGCCGGCACTGCAGCCGCTACCGACACGCCTCTGCTACTGCCTTCCCTCGCCAACTACATCGGCGCAGAGAGTAGATGGAACGGCGGTTTGGACCAAGACAGTCGTGCGGCCGGACCATTTGACACACCCACGCAGGCGTTGCAGAATGGGGTCGCAGAGAAGCTAACCCGACAAAATTACCAGGCTAAGCTTGGGGACTTGCAGCGGGAGGTTCTTGCGGACCTGGAACTTGTCAAATACTGCAAGGCGGCTGACAAATGCCCTGAGGCTACCCTACCTCCAGAGCTGGGCTACAATTCCTCCTTCTTGCTTGGACGGATGCTCGCGCAATCCAAAACACTCCTGGAGATACTGGACCTGTTTGGCCCGACCGCGCTGGCACCTACTCCTTCCTCAGACGGATGTGCGCCCGACGGCATTTCAACGACCAATGCAAGTGTTCGCTGCGACGTGCCCTCGATGTTCTCGCTCTTCTCATGTTTCGTCTGCCTGATTCGGATTTACCGGACCAACTTCTCGACCATTCTTGACTCGATGCCAACGTTATTTGGTCTGCAACGACCCGTACCTCAATTATTCCCGGCCATCAACCTTGGGGGCTTCTCGCTGGAAAACCGTCTCGATCTGCAGGTCCAGCTCCTCCTCCAGATTAGTAATGAAATGTTATCGAGTCTGAAAGCAAAGTTGGGTATTGCAGAAGTTGGCGGGCTTGCGAGCAAGAGCGTGTTTGACCCGGAGAAGACAGGGATGCTGGTTGCAATGTTAGAGGATGAGGCCCGTGAGCAGCCTCCACTTCACGAGCCGCGAGGCCACTGTGCACCGTTGACGGAGATCCTGGAAAACCTGCGCCAGATTATCCAAGCAGAAAACGCGAAGAGGCAGCAGGGTGGCTAGTTGCACCCCAAGACACAGTCAAGGCCGACCCCGTGTTAGATCCGAGACTCCGAGCACCCACCGAGTGGTCCTCCGAAGTGCACCGCTAGGTCGCCGTTGCCTGCCTGCCTGCTCTCCTGAGTGACCATAAAGAGAGCAGCCCGCCTCCTCTGGATTTCAAGACCTGTTATATTCCGGTGGCCTGCATATCAACCAGCAGCCATTATGGGACGCACTCCGCCGCACGACCAAGGTATTTCCGCCATGTGGTGGTCTGCACGGGTAACGCTTCCTCTCCCCTAAACGCTGCAGCCTCGTAAGTCTGAGAGACTGACCAAGCGCAGAACCCGCCTGTTGACCCTAAGACCTCCTTCGCAGGCAAGACTGTCCTCATAACCGGTGCAAACGTCGGACTCGGACTCGAAGCCGCGACCAAATTGGCCCGTCTAGGTGCCTCCCGTTTGATCCTGGGCGTCCGCTCCCACGAGCGCGGTGAAGATGCCAAAGACCACATATGCCAACAATCAGCCTGCAACGCCGCCAATGTGCAGATCTACCAAGTCGATATGAGCTCCTTCGAGTCCGTCAAGTCGTTTGCCACGGCCATAACCGAGGAGGAGCCAAGCCTGGATATCGCTGTCCTTAACGCCGGGATGGCAGCGTCTTCCTACCAGCTCAGCCCAGACGGATATGAAATGTCCCTACAAGTCAACGTGCTGTCCACCGCACTGCTCGCCGTCCTTCTCCTCCCCAAACTCCACCAATCAGCCCAGCTGAGCGGATCTCCATCTCATCTCGAGTTCGTCGGGAGCGTGGGCCACCGCATGGTCAAACCCACGGCCCTGGACGCTGTGGCCGACAACAAGAGTGCAAGACTCCTCGACTCCGTCAACGACAAGAAAAATTTCGCCATCCAGGAAACATACTGCATGTCCAAGCTCTTGCTCATGTACGTCATGGAAGGCCTCGTGGCAGCCACGCGTCGCAACAATGTTGTCGACGTGGTGATCACGACGTGCTGTCCCAATCTCTGCCGCACGTACCTCGGACGCGACTTCAACCCCTTGATGAATCTGGCGAACGCTATGTTCCAGCTCGTGTTTGCGAGGACGGCCGAGGAGGGCAGTCGGATCCTTGTCAGCGGCACAACGTTGGGAAAGGATGCCCATGGAATGTTTTGGAGTCATGATATCTTCGACATGTGAGTCGCCGACCATGCAAGCAGAGATCGGGACTGCATGAACAAAGATACGAAGTCAAGGCTGACATATTACGACGCGTGTCTCTGTAGGAAAGGAGAGCTCGTCACCAGCGAGAAGGGGAAGATGCTGCAGAAGAAGGCATGGTCGGAAATTGCGCAGCTGTTGCGGGTGCATGTGTCACGGAGTGAGCAGTGGATGTTAGAATGTTGAATGGCGCATGTTGTACGGAGTGTAATGGGGCCACGCTTCGTTCGGGTTTCGCGGCTGGTGAGAGGATGAATTGGAGGCAAGCGGATAGTAGGGAAGCGAGGCGATATATACTACTTGCATTGAAGGAGACGATGTTTGTTTCTTCATCATATCTGGTCCTACTCGGGAATCGAGGTCGAGGCCGTGTACGATATCGGATGAGTCAATGGCTTATCGACAAGTCAGCCAGTTGAACAGTACCTCTCCGTGGACAGAGTAGAGCTCAGAAGCTCATCGTGCAGCACAAGAGCAGAATCCTGCCTTGTCCCTGTCGTTCAAGTCGGGCGAAAATCCATGCCAAGCGTCATCGGTGCTACGGAGAAGCAGAGATGCTGCCTAGAGAAGTGAGTCAAAAGCGGCGAGCTCTTGGACAGCTCAAATCAGAATGCAACATTTGTCTTCCTCTTCAGTTCGCCATGTACACAGTGACTGCTTCCACGTGTCAAAGCATATCATGAGGCTGCCACAACAAGAAAGGGAAAGGCATCGGGATATCCCAACCATCATGCTGGCTCTCGTCTCGAGCAGGGAAGGTCCGCCCAGCTTCTTTCCCTCGATGCACTTCAGCGGCAGATATCACACCAGAATGCGAGAGAAAGTCGAGCCGGATTCTGTTCAGTCTCATTACCTACCCGTGACCTTCTAACACCCCCTGTAGGTTTATGCACGTCTGTTGCATGCTCCGGCTAAATCCAAGTACAATGACATGGTTCCCATGGCGGACGTTGACAAGCTGGCATTCGGGCATCTCGTGGAGAGCCCACCGCGGCCGTGTGCTCTCAATCACCCTCCTTTAGTGTTTAGGATTTTGGTGTAGGTATGATACTGAGAACGGGACCAGAAACACGGTTGATTCACCTCCTCGAGGCATAACAGTACAACCTAAGGACGGAGAACGAAGGATGATACCACTTCGGAACGCCATGTCCACAATACCGAGCTTAGTTGTCGACAAGGTGAATATGTCTTATCAGATCTGTTAGTTGACCTACGCAGGAATCTACTCGAGCACTTCACTCGACGACGAGAGGCTCGCCATCTTCAGCTTGGCGGTGAAGCGGTGTCTCTGTCTCGGGAGTACAACTTCACCTCTCACACCTCACCTCTGGATCACCTCTGGAACACCTCTTACACCTCACCTCCGGATCACCTTTTACATCTCATCTCTTACACCTCACCTCTCACACTTCAGCTCTTGCATCTCACCTCTCACGCCTGATCTCTCACACCTCGTCTCTCGAGCCTCACCTCTAGACCTCGCCGTCGGGAATTAAAACCTCGCCTCTGGGTCAGCTCACCTGTGGCTCACTGTGGAACCCTCCGGTGAGCCTTTCCCAGACTGGATTTCGATCCGTCGTCGATCATTTGAACGTGAGATCTGTCTGGATCGCCCACCAGGCCTGACAAGACAAACCGTCCGTTCTGAAAATCTGCCAGCCAAGTCTGGTCGGCTGCCTGTCGAGGTCTTGGTGCTCAAGTGAGAGACGCCTCTCATCTCTCCTTGCTCTCCGCCAATTCATCCACATCTCTCGCGACCTTCAGACACACGATTCATTTTGGAGGGAAACCACTGTTCGACCAATTCCCACCCACCGCTTCCAGACCACACTCCACGCATAACTCAACGGAGCACTTCCATGGTCTGATTCAACCTTCCTTTCATCAGGCAAAGAGTGGTGGTCGAAGCAAGCAGGCTTGCCTCATCGAAGCGGCCTTCTTCCCTCCCAAATCGGCCTCATGCGCGGCAAACCTGTCGGCTCTACCCCTCCATCACGACAAGGTACTACTCAGACCAACCCGACTTTGAGTTTGTGTTAAGCTCGGTTTTGGGGAACATACAGGGGTGCTGCATGGTACCATCAAGACAAGACTGATTTGAACCAAGATGGCGCGACGATACAAAGCCAGCGTTTTCAGGCTGGACCCGGTTTCCCCGGAGCCGCTACGAGGTACCTCCAACAATGAGGTTCATACCTCATCAGGGGTCACTTCCACGCTTGCGCATGGTACTACATGGGGTGCCAAGGACCCACTTGGTATATCTCTGACGAAACCTGCAACAACCTCGTTGCCTGACAATCACGCCAGTCGGAATATCGTAACTTACGTGGCGGCCGGAGATATCTGCTTTCATGTGTCCCCCATCTACACTTCATACCTACAATTGTCATTTCATCTCGAAGACGACAGCGCTCCACGCGGTCGGATGCAGACATGCATCAGGTTGAATCGAGACACATGCTTGAAGCTCGCCCTGGTCAAGATCGACAAGGAACTCTATGCCGAGGTCTTACCAGAGACTACACCAACCTTTACGAGCCACAGTGACTCTGCCCTCTCTATCCAATATGACACTGGCCGCTTCTTATCCGAGAACCTGTTTCCAGAGTCGCCCTCTCAATCTTTGCTACACCTGCAGAAGGCCCTGAAGTCAGCCTCGCAACTTACAGTTCTGATCGAGGAAACATCTTGTTATTTTCAGCAAGACCTGGAGTCGCTCATCACCAAATTTCGAATTGGGGAGGGTAGTCATCCCTTGCAGGTCCCGACCGATTATCTCGGTAGTAAAGGAACGTCCAAAGCTCTAGCATCGAATCCAGAGGAGCCAGCTAGAGCATCCTTTTTCTGCTGGAAGGATTACGCTGCTACACTAGGTGCTGCGACTAGATTAGTAAGAGAAGCGAAAGAAGAGGCAGAATGTGAGCCATTCGAGTGCGCCATACACGTTATCAGCGCTGAGGAAGGAGACCGCAGCCGCTATTATGCGATATTCAAGATACCCCATGCCCAGGGGCGGTTGGCCGGCTTCTCTCCTGGTGACCGTGCCACTCTGACATTCGAGGGAGGTGACGAAGCAGCACGATGTCAGCTTTGGAGTATGCATGTCATTGAGCCAATTCCCTGGTCTGGTAACGGGGTTGTGACGGCGTGTCTGGGAGCAGGGGAGAACGCAACATTTCGAAGACGTTTACCTATCACTCCCGTCCCTCGAGGTCATGGTGGTTCTGGCTTCAGAAAAATCCTGGAAGGACCTGGTCTGAAAGCAACTGTGCGTCCAGAAAGCCGCCACAGCGAGTTTCCCTATATCATGGACGCGTTCAACAAATTGCGCTCCACATTACCGGCTGCCAGCTCCTGTTCAATGGAATTCGCAGTGTGCGAATTTCTTGTGGGCAAGAAGCCTTGTAGCATCCCCAAGAAAGATGTCTATGGCTCGCTAGCCAACAAAGCTCTCGCTGCTGAGCAGTCCATGGATCTCAACCATAGCCAGAAGACCGCCATCTCGATGGCCAGGTGTGCGCCGGCCGGATTTGTCCTTTGCCATGGCGGTCCTGGTACGGGGAAGACCCATTTTGTGGTTGAAGCGGTTAAGCCGTTTCTTCTCGATGCTAAAACGCATCGCGTTCTCCTCACTGCGCAGGGCAATCGCGCCACCGATGCCTTGGCAATTGGCCTTGAACGCAGACTACAAGGACTCATCGGCAGCGGCCAAGTTCCCAGATCTCGATACCTACTGCGCTTGCATAGCATCAAGACCGAAAGATCAATCTTTTTACGGTGCGCACTCACGTCCCGACGCGAGAAGTTGCGGAGCCGGACAACCCAGGCTCAGAGTACAACAGGCACAATGCCCGTTCCAGGCTTTCGACACCAGGACGAAGCGGTCATGGCACATTGCCAAACCTTTACTGCTTGCAAATACGACTTCGTGAGTGACAAGCGTGTCGAGCACTTGGAGCTCTCAGTCGGACATAGGATGCGGCAAATTGCAGGTTTAGAACCCGATGGCCCAGAAATGCCCGAGAAGGACTTGTTTTCTGAAGTTGCAAAAATCTATCAACGATTTGGTGACGGTGAGGACCTTTCTGACGATGACTCGGGGCTTTTTAATAGCGGGGTCGATGAGCTGATGGCATACACCATTTCAAATGCTGCCGCCGTGTGCGCCACCATTGCTGGTGCTGCGGATGCTGTCTTCACGAAAGACTACTCCGAGGCTGAGTTGATCGTGGTGGATGAGGCGTCACGGATTCCGGAGTATTACTGGTGGCCTTTGCTCGCTTACTTCCCAAAAGCAGTAGGCAAGATCATGGTGGGTGACCACTTCCAGCTACCCCCAAGGGTAGATGAAGTCGTTGAGATGCGAAACCCATGCCAGGCTCAACTTGAGATGTCCTTACAGGAACGTGCTCAGAAAATGGGAACGCGTGCCGCATTCTTTAGTGTGCAATATCGGGCTATGCCCGAGATTGCTGAAATCTACAGCAAGGTCTGCTACCAGTCTCGCCTCACCAGCGATCCTTCAACATACCTGCCGAATCGACCTCTAGCTGGTGAAATCGTCCATTACAACACCAAAAAGTACGGGATAGCCAAACCGTTGGTCTTCTTCGATATTACGAATGCGGTGCAAGAAAAGAACGGCAAAACAATCATTTGCGTCAAGTACGCCAATCTGGTCCTGCGTATCCTCCAAGACCTTCTTACAGCTGGATTTGGCTCAACGAAGCCATGTACAATCGCTATCCTGACGCCATACAAGTCTGAGCTGAACATGCTCTGGGTTGCTAAGAGGGAGATGGCTGCGAAGATACAAGGAGCTGCCGCTGCGAAGAATGTGTTCGTGGAAACAGCTGATAAGGTACAAGGTATGGAGTATGACAGTAGGTTTTTCCCTATGAGGCAGCCAGACCCAGGCAATGGCTTCAGCTGCTCCATCATCTTCTAGCGCAGAGGCTAACGTCTGTCCAGTTGTCATTGTCGATCCGGTGGCCACGCACTTCCCAGGGTTTTTGACTATGCAGAGACTGAATGTCCTATTTTCGAGGGCGAAATATGGACTCTACGTCTGCGGCACCTTGAAGCATGGAGGCGCATGAGAAGTGATGATACTGTGTGGATTCAAGCATTTGGCAATGCCCTTTCTGCGCACGCGACCAAACTATCAGATACTGAATTACGTGGTTCCGTCGTGGTCAGCACCGACTGGTGAAGCTGAGTGGAATGATTCGGGATTGAGGAACCTGAGTGGAACACATTATGGCAGAGCGAAAGCGAGGGGGGGAATGTCCCAGCCATTGGATAAAGGCAAGGAGTGCAACTGTCTCAGCCTCCCAGCTGGAAACCGTGGGATCCTTGAGCAGCGTGGAAGAGATGGGTTCAGGCTGACCAGGATGATCCGGCACAATGACTGCATGAGCAATGCAATCTCGGAGTGATGTCGTTCAACGCATGATGGTTTCATCCAGTATGCGTTCCCATCAACCAATACTGCTTCCCATCGTTGTGGCAAGTGTCGTAAGCATCAAGCTGAGAGTCTCTAAACGACGTGAGCGACCGCAAGCAAGCGGTAGCTGGCGCATGATTGTAGCGTGTCGCCGTTGCGCCCACCACGGCCATGAACCGTCAGCGGCAAACCGTATGTTGGGTCGAAGACGCCATCGAAGTTCACGACCAACATATAGCAAAAGCCAGGTTGAGTTGGTACACGAATCACCTCCACCTCACCTAATTTCACTTCCAGTAGACAAACCCTTCCATTAGTCGCCTCGCCGTTCTAAAAACAGTCGCAGACCTCAACTCGCCGTCCTCATCGTACTGCGCCCCAACCATCAATCTCCCACTGGAATGCCCCAGCGTGACTCCAGCTGAATCCACGGGATGCTCAGAACAGCACTCCTGCACCGTCGAGCCCGCCAACTTCGATGCAGCAGCACAAGCCAGGGCCACCGTGATAGGCACAGCCTTGTGCGGCTGACCGACGGAAATGGCACGAACTCGCAGATCCATCTCCGTGGTGTCCTCTCCCGGCCTTGAAACGAGACATATCTTGGGCACGCTCCCTGGCACGTCGGCACTCGTATGCGCCAACCCCATCTTGACGCCCGCCTGCCGCCGAATCGAATCCAGTCGCGCCAGAAGCGTTGGGTGCGCCTCGATCTCGGCTGGCGAGATGGCCCCATCGACATCCAATGACGCTGCCTGGACGAAACAGCACGGATTGCCCACGTCGATACATGTGGCTTTTACGCCGTCGAACGTGTCGACCACACTCCCCGTGGGCAGCAGCTTGCCTGTCTTGGAGCCCGCAGGGTTGACAAAGTCGAGTTGGATCCTTGCTCCACTCCCGCCAACGCCGTCGATGTTGAACGCGCCGCTCGCAACGGCTTCCCCGTCCTGCACGTCGAACGTCGAGTGGATGATCTTGCCGGTGTTGGTGTTGTGGATCCGCACCGTCACCGTCACCGTCATCGCTTTGCTGTCAGCCTCTGTCTCGGTCCCGGTCTCAGCCTTGGTCGTGATCTCAGATCCCCTTGGATTTGCATCTCCATCCACCTCGACGGGGTTGAAGATCCTCGCGTCGACCGCGAACGGACCCACCGCACTGGTCATATTCCCGCAATTACTCGAGAAGTCCACCTCCGCGTCCTTCACGCCCACGGCGGCAAATGTATAGTCGACGTCGGCGTCGGGGTGGCTCGACGGTCCGACGACACAGATCTTTGAGAGACTGGAGATCCCGCCGCCCATGCCGTCGAGTTGGCGGCCCCAGACGTCAGGGCTGCCTAGGACGCCTAGAAAAATGGGCGCCCACTGCGTTCTCTCCGCCGGGAGGTCCTTCGGCTGGAAGAAGACCGCCCGTGACGTCCCCCCGCGGTAGTACGCCGCTGGGAGTCTGTGCTGGCGCATGCTGACGGGCGAGGTGGTCAGGAATCGAGAATGCACGCGCGGCCCCTTGCGCGGGTAGTCGTAGCGCTGTGGTGTGTGAATTCTGGCTCTGGCGAGGGAGTGCATCTGCGATTCCCATTGGTGGGGTACAGGAATTATCTAGCTACCTTGTCCAGTATGCCGATGGGGACCTGGCCACGATATAAGCTAGAAAGCAAACGCAATACAGGATGAACCGTCCACTGTACTCGGAAGGAAATGGTGCCTCTGGACCGTGATATTAGCTTTAGCGTCATAGGTGGTGCGTTTCCATCTCTGGCTAAACGAGGAGAGAGCGCTGGAGTATGTACCGAGTATGGTGTTGCCAACTCCGCTTGTTTGCCAAGCCGAGCAACAATTGCATTTGCTGCCGGCAAAAGGCCTTGCACCTCCGCAACGCTCCAGAGTGGTTACTTTGTGGATGGTGTTATGCATCCCGATCTCAGAGCACGAGAACGTGAAGTCATCCATAGCTGGGTTTGGCGGTCTGCTGGGTGACTTGGACACGGAGTAGCCGATTGCAAGTCCAGGTAAAATTTTACTAGTTGCCGCAGACCAAGATCGAGGATGTTGAGCTGTTGGATTTGTTGTAGCCTGCAGAGTACTCCCTACACACCCTGCAAGGGAAAATACTAGGGAGGATGGGGTAAAATAACTGAAGTTGTCGAGCGATAGAGGGGAGTTACTAGTCACATGATTTTAAAAAATAGTGTTTATATATTATTGTGGAGAAAAGGTTGTCAACAAATCAAGCAGACGGGGATGTGGTCTAGTGGTATGACGTTTCCTTAGCATCATGCGTTCCACCGCATGGAAAAGGTTCTGGGTTCGATTCCCAGCTTCTCCAGCTGATTTCCTTTTGCTTTTTTCCAAAGCATCATTATTTTTGGCGGGAGCGGTGTGCGAAATCTTCGTTGGACTTGCTGCACATCGCTTCAGGCTTAGCGTCAACAAGAGGAGCCTCTTCGGAGTTCGTGTCCTCCTCCGACTCTGTTCCCTCTATATCTTTCACCGTTTTTGGCCGTGATGGAGGATTGAGAGACGCTTTCGTTGCAGATGAGCCGAATTATCATGTTACGGTAGCTGATATGATACCACAATATCATCTTGCATCGAATGTCTGGGATCAATGCATCCGAACAGAGCCCAGCACATTGGCCGCTTCCAGTCAGCTTGACCCAGGAAGAGCGCGACATCTTCAAGTCTGTCCACCGCCTCATGTACTACGCTCCAGCATTGCCAGATTGGACCAAGCCTTCTACAGAAGCATTCAATTTTGCGCCGCTCTCGGCGGTTACGGAACACGCGCCGCTGTACACCAGAAAGTGCAACTGGAGTCTCATCATTTGTGACACCGCTTGCTATGGCCCTGACGGAGTGGTCAAATGCTCGCAAGAGAATCGCCAATGACATATCGCGAGATGAATGAGTATCCCAGCAGCCGATCCTTCTGTTAGAAGTGGTCTGCTACATACATCAGCCAAATCTCAGATACAAAGACCTCGAAAAGTACCTGGTTGTAACCATTGCTTTTCCAAGCAGGACGGCTAGGACTCACAGCTTGGCTGTCGCTTCAGGACACCAGGGCAAGCCACTCGCCAAACGCCCATTGCTCGGTTGCCTGATAGCTAGGAGATGCCTCTTTGATGTCTTCGACCACTTTGATCCGATATCCAGCAGCTCTTTTCATTCACCATTGGAAGCACGGTTAGTGGGTGCCACAGTGAGCCTTACCATCGCGCTCAGGGTGCAGGAGCCGCCGTTGGACAGAGTCGAGGTAGAGCTTGTCCCTCTGCCGAGCACATTGTCGTGTCTGCTGTACAGGACCTGTGCATCGTTACACCGCAAGAGCGTTGCAACGCCTCCGAGGAAGTATTGCTCCACTTCTTCTCGCCATTTAGCACGTTGCTCCCATTCCAGTGCCATCGCAACTCATATGCGGAAGACATGGCTCCGATGGTGTACACTGACATTGGTCCATGAATGCGGGCTTCCCACGGTGATAGCGTATGCTGCTGCAACAGATCCGCAAGCTCACTTGCAAGAGCAATGGCCGGAAGGAGTAGCCTCGCCGTGGGAAGATATAAGCCATTCAGCTGCAAGAGCAATGACACAGCCTTCAAGCGCGCTTGGTTTGGATTATGAGAATTTCCTACCCGTGACCTCAGTGAGAGGTATAGCCGTTCGACAGGTTGCCGGATCCAGTTCACGTCCAGCCAGGTATGTCTGCTCAAAGATATGGATGGAATTGGCACCTCCCTCGATCGCAGACTACATGTCAAAACCGAGTAAGCACCGATTTGCTGAATCAAGGACAATCTGGACCGCTGCGGTTCGCTTCCCCAGGCAACAGTACTGGCATTGTTTCCTCGCGCCTTTCGCAGGATGACTGGCTCAGAGTCCGCGCCGTCTGCACTGCCACATTTTCTGGTCATTGCATAATATGCATCGTGTATCGAGTTCCAGGGCAAAAACGGTAAACAACTGCTAGTACAATTTCTCTTCTGCCTATCGCTGTACTGACAGTGTGTCCGCGGCAAGACCGCGAAAGTGAATGTTCTGTCGACACGTCCACAATCGGACTGATCTCCCAGGCGAATCCTGGGCAGCGCGTCCCCCAAGCCACCCACCCTGTACGCGGCCAGTCATCAATGCCAGGTAGAGTATCCCAAGAACGACATAAAAGGCACATCGGACCCAACGGTAGCAACAATCAGGTATCATGTAGAGAGGGTATAGATTTCCTGTCAGCAACGATCCCACGTCGAGGACATTGAATCCGTGCACTGGTAGGACAGCCATGCGTAGACAGTTCATACACAGTGCAGGGCGGTCCAGGAGGAGCACGCACCCCATTCTGATACTGATACTGGCGCTGTACCTCGGGCCACAGGTCCAATGTCCGTCGTGATCCGTCGACTTTGCATACATACATACATACGTACATATATACAAGTGATGCTGTGCTGTGTTGACGCGCCCTCAGTGCCCTCCACGCCCTCCACGCCGAGATACCACGATATGTACATACGTTGCATCACTCGAGCCTCATCTTTCGCGGCCCTTGGTTGTTTCCCTTGCCGGGGCTATTCCTCGCTTTCACGAGCAGTGAAATCGCACCACAAAATCGCACCACAATACATCATATGACCGTCGCACTGCCCGTTCACCAGAACATCCCGGGCCACAACAGGCCAGGCCGAACTCGACATTTTTGCCGCGTCGGGTAACACGCGCACGCTCATGCAGGTTAGATCGACCATGACCAGATCAAGCACGACCAGGTCGGGGACCCGGTTATTTACCCAGTAACCCCGTACTACGTATGTACTCGTACCCATTCCATCACCCGATCACCCTGACGTAGGAGGTATGAGTTGAGATCGTGAGCCGCGCTTAATGGATGTGTGAACGAATGGAAGCGAAGGAATGAACGAACGGGGCGGCCGAGCGGACGGATGAATGAATAGTCGTCGAAATCCCGTGCACATGCACATGGACAGAATTATACACGGGCATACCGAACATCGATATGGAGGACCGACTTGTGGAAAGCCGGGCTCAGGCTGATGCCGGATTTCAGCACGCATACGGAGTATTCATCCATGCATACCCCGTCACACGGAACATGTCATGAGAGACGCTGGCAGACTGGCAGATCCGAGCCCTCGGCCGATAGATATCATTGATGTAGATAGACAGACCATCGACGTCCTTCTTGCCCTTTCCCTACGCTCCTTTGCTCGTGGACCTGCATTTCTGGATCCCCCATTTCCCTTCATCTCCCTTCATCTCCCTCTCTTATCGACTCGACTCGACTCAAGTCAGTCCCACCCGACCCGATCCCGAGATGGCGCTCAAGGAACCGTTCCACATTGTCGCGACGCTGAATTCCCCACCGGGGAAGGCTCAGGAGGTAGGTCTTACTTAAGCCAAGTACTGCTGGTGCCTTGTGGCATCACTCCTGCTCTCCTAGGTGTGCGTCCTGGGTTACAACACACACGGTTAGCGGGCTTGACTGACTTGATCTCCCGCTCTTTCATCGCAGCTCATCGCCGCGATCCTGCCCTTCGCCGAGCACGTCCAGGCCACGGAGCCAGGATGTCTGCAGTACGAGTTGTTCCAGCCCACAGGATCTGGGCTTGACACGGCGGACGCGCCGATTGTGTTAATTGAGTTGTAAGTGAGCGGCTGGGGGCGCGAGCGAGTGCCTTAATTGCTGAGTGAACGGACGAGGTGGCGCATGCGTGCGTTTCTCAGCCTTCCCTCGTCACATTCATCGCCGGGTCGAGTGTTAAGCCGTTGTCATGCTTGTTTGTGTTGTCCCTTTTGAGACAGATCGACGCTAATATACGCCGCACGCTCCTGCAGGTGGAAGGACATGGCGGCGCTGGAGGAGCACAGGAAGGGAGAACAGTATCATGCCTTACTGGCCCGCACGAAGGACGAGGGTCTGTTGAGTGGACCGCCGGAAGTCAAGATCTTGCAGGCTGTAGGAGGGTTTCCGGCTCGGACGTGAGGGAGGAGGACAGCAAGGCGAGCTGGAGGTGTGGATGGCCTTAGTACTGTAGTAGGTGACAGCCAGGAAATCTGCCTTGGTGCTCTCCTCGAAGCAATGACTCAAAAGTCGTTTTGACAAGTGTGACTTCTCGTCCTGTTTCCCCCGCCGCCAGCTCTGGATGGATATGGAAGACAAAGCACTGCTTCAGCGCCTTGTAGAACGGATCGTTTCTCCCGTTCTGCTTCCTCGGTCACACAAAAATACGTCTTGGTGGTTTCGTAACCGCACCATCGGCTCCTGAGATAGCCATCTGAATGCGCCTCTTCAAGGGTACCGTAGAAGTCGAAGCCGAGTAGTTTCGACGTCCGCGAGAACATGCAAGCCACGATAATAACCCGCAGGGTCTCTGGTTTGAGTTACCCATGATCTTGGTCCCCAACACATTTGATCGCCGATCGGCTCCGGAGAGAGAGTTGATCATGTCTGACCTGCTTCCAGTGGTCCCCTCGTGAGTTCCTCAGGGTCGATCATGGCCGGAGCTGCGTGCAAGTGTGCTGGAGTCTGCAAGATGTTCCAAGAGAACAGCCATGTCCTCTCCTATCGATGGTAAGGCATCATGTACTCGATAGATCCAGTCAGATGACCAGGTCTGCAGTCGCCGTCAACATCAAAAATCGAGTGGTGCTGATGCCGCTTGATACCGCGAATCGTGCGTCATGGCTTGATATCTCACCGAAACAGACTGAGCACGACTGGCTGTTTCGACAAGCTGTAAGCTGCAATACGCCGGGCCACAAGATGGTCGTCCTTCAAATGAGCCATGTACCTTGAAGCAGCTGTTCCAAGCGGTGCACATGCCCCTTCAAGGCTGGCTTGCGACCGTATTGGCTCAGTCCCAGATGTTCTGGTACCATAATGTACGTGAAGTAGACAGTTGAGTCAATCAATCACATCACATCACATCACGACGCACCGTGCAGACTTCTTCCGATCGGCCTGCATCCCACGATAATGGTCCATAAAGACTCTCATCCTCAGCTCGCCGAGCGGTGTCGTCCGTCGTCTCGATTCCTGAACAATCGACTGGCGAACATCAGGAAGCAGCTGGATTTGTTTCCGATTGTGCCAGGTGCAGATACACGTATCCAGTCGGCCGTTCATGTGCACGCTGTACCAGTTGAGGAGTTCGAGCTCCTTCTCGTTCCAGGGTTTGGTCTTGCAGAAGAGACAGCTGCTGAGGGGGCCCATGCTTCGCTATGCTATGCAGGCTATCCTATGCTGCTTCGTGGTTCAGTTGGGCCAAAGGGCTTTGGGTGGACGTCGAAAGCAATTAAGCGAGCTTGAGAGCAGTACCTTGTCCGCCGTAGTATTGTCCTATGCAGGAAGAGTCAAGTTGAAAGCGTGGATCAGGTGCCATGAGGGTACTGTGAGTCCGAGTTACGACGTGGTGGACGCGTGGCTCTGCTGACATGTGGGAGGAAGGAAGCATCCCTGTCGACCAATGCTTGGGGAGAAAAGATTTCAGTCTCGCCCAGCATCTGAAACACATCGAGTGATACACATCGAGATCGAGGTGGCGCAAGAGCAGGAGAATCTTTTGAGACCCTGTGAGTGGTTGCACAAGACATGCAACGCGTACCTGGCTAAACTGGTTCTGGGCGTCGCTACTCCGTCCGGATCTTGGAATCTGGGGGAGTTTGCTGGATTTTACCACAGTACAGAGTCGTGCGTACGGAATCCCCGGTGGCGTCTGGGCAAGACAGCCAAGGCATGTAACACGCCCTCACGTGTTTCCAGGCACAAGAAGGGAGTGATCTCAAGGCACATAATTGAGTCTCCTTCGGCTCCCAGTGTAAGGCTGCTAGAAGGTATACATATCCCCTGTGTACCGAGGGATTGACAACAGCCCTTGATGCAGTCTAGATCTTGCTCGTGCTTCCATCAGCATATACTCTGGTCAGCAACCCGGTCTCGACGTCAAGCCAGAACCCGGCAGCGCCATCAATCAGATCCTCTCTCAAGTAACCATTGTGCTTCACCATCAGCAGGTCTTCGATCACAGACTTGTGGTTGTCCTCCTTCATAGGCAGTCTAGCTTCAAGCTCCGTGAACTCGGTGAACTCGGGTCTCTTCTCGCGAACGCTGTCGAGAGTCTGCTGCTTGGTGACATGTGAGGCTCCGCAATTGCTATGATGGACCAGCACGATCTGGGAGACATGGAAGAGAGTATCGAGTGCGGCGATCTGTTCTGCGACGGTGGAAAACCGGCCTCCTACGTTCCGCAGCACCAGACATTCACGGGGAACGAGTTTGAAAAAGTCGAAGGGGTCGGAGCGAGAGTCGAAGCATGAGACTGCCGAGTATCAGTACTGGCCTGTGGCGACTTGCCAGCCCCTTTGGATAGAGTCTACCAATGAGCACGTGTGGACCATGTGCTTTGGGGTTGTTCTTCATCCTGGTCATCAAGGACCCCAGGGGTGTGTGCGTAGAGGCATATTCTCTTGGAGTCACGTCAGTACGTCTGCTGAAGTGTCTGTTGGAGGCTACTGACATGTTACGTTGAAGCAGCTCCTCAATGGTGGGTTTGTATCCGGACGCCATGTTGCAGGACGAGTCACGACGGTCTGTATTTGGAGGTGATCTCGGTGCTAGATATCGGTAGGATACGGAATTGAAGAAGCCATCGCTCTCTGCAGCAAATTGTCCAGTTGGCGATAGCGAGGGGAGCTCCGATATACCTGACGCTTTATGGGAGAAGGTGATTGCATGCTTCCGCCTTCACCGCGTACGTTCAACAGCTCGACAAACACCGGATGCGCTCAACTTTGGCTGGGGCTGACAAGTTCTGCGGCCTCGTCCCCCTTCTGGGCCGGATTTGATAGTGTTGAGATCTTGTTGACTCAATCGATCGATTCAGCTCGTACTGCAGAGCGGTCCGAAGCCGCCAGTGCCGGCAGAGGAGACTTGTTTTGCAGTTGTAGAACCCTGCCTCTGATGGCTGCCACTCTCAACATTTCCTGTGCCGATGATGAATGTGGATATGCTCCAGCTGACAAGGCTTGCAGCTCCTTGTCGTTGAGGCGCGTGCTGTGGAGATGAGGATGTTGGTTGAGTAATCGTGAAATGTCGTACACCACGCCCAATATAGTCTTCCCGAACTCGAATTTGGCAATCTTCCCAGGCACGACGCTTGAGAGGTGTGATTAGAAAGTTCTATTGCTCTTTTCCCGCCGCCTGAAGCTGTGCTTACTCAACGAGCGGCTGTTGTATTGGCCTGAGCTGGCCGTAGGAGGGCTTTTCCAGCATTCAAGCCACCAGAATGAGTTTGGTAGGCTTGCCGCCCTATTCCTACCGACGCCACTGATGATGCTCCAGCGTTAATTCGAGGCCAATGGCTGGGTGCACGACGGAGGCCAAATACTAGCACCTCAGGTTGCTGTGCCGAGGAAGGACAAGTAAACCAGTGGATGCTGGTCCCGGATGCACAGTTCCTGACCTTGAGCCTGCTGCGAGGTCTGCACGCTCCAAGGGCCATCTGCTTCCATGTCGCCGAGGACGTGCGAGGAAAATGTTGGGAGTTGAGCCAGGTTGCCTGAGGCGTTGACATTTGGCTAACTCTCGATGTGTCCGTCTTCCAACATCGAGCTGGACTTACTTGGGCTTTCAAGTGCATTTCACCTCGAGTTCATCACCAGCCCGGGACGGGAGAAACCATACATATCCCTAAAGAACCGTGCCCGCGAGAGATGCGACCGACTCAAGAACATTCCGTAATAGAGACCGTGGATTTTGCCTTGGTCTTGATCTCAGACTGTCGATGCTCAAAGCATTGCAGCAGCCAGAGTAAACTTGATTGCGCTGGCGCAGGGAGGATTTAGGAAGTCGCATACGGGCTATAGCGAAACCCGGAACAAGTGCAGATGGATCAGAAAGAGTAATCGAACCCTTGCTGGGTGCCTTGCGTCGACCCTATGACAGTGATTCGATGATCAGTCATTTTCGCTGGAAAGTGACCTACTTCTCTCATCATTCGTAAAGCGCCTTCTTCAGTCCTTGTGCGACAAAGTTTTGCTGCCCATGATACGCAGTCATGAGTTTCTTACGGCCTGCACAATCGCGCCGCTCTCGCCCTGGTCCAAACCATCAAGAGTATCCATGTCTTCCTGTGAGAGCTGGAAATCATACACATCTGCGTTCTGCTTGATCCTGTCCGGGTTGTCGCTTTTGGGCAGCGGCACCCAGTCCTTCTGCAGACAATAGCGGATGAGGATCTGTGCGGTGGTCTTGCTGTGTTTCTTGGCCAGGGACACCAGTGTCTCATCGTTGGCTTTGTAGTTTCGGACCAGGGGCGAGTATGCCTCGACCACGATCCCATTCTTCTGGCAATACTCAACACAGGTTCGCTGCTGACAAAACGGATGAAGCTGCAAAACTTTGTCAGTATGGTGCCTCAGACTTGACAGATGCTCAGCGCGCGGGACATACCTCGATCTGATTGACGTGCGGCGGCCAGACCTTTGCGTATTCCTTCAATTCCTCGATATGCCCGACTCCGAAATTGCTCACTCCGATGCTCTTGACCTTGCCCTTCTCATACAGTTTCTCGAGTGCTTGCCACATCTCTTTCCGCTTCGCGCTCCCTGCATTGGGGCTGTGTATCAGGAACAGGTCTACGTAGCCGTCACGGCCGGGATCAATCTTTTCCACACTGTCGAGGCATTTCTGGTAGGATTTCTCTACGCTGCCGCCGGCGGAGAGGATTTTGGTGGTGATGAACACCTCGGATCGAGACAGACCGGACTTTCGCACGGCCTCCCCGACTTCGTGTTCGTTGGCGTAAAATTGCGCAGAGTCAATATGCCTGTATCCGGCTTGGAGCGCAGAGAGACATGATTGCACGCAGACAGAAGCGGGAGACTGGTAGACGCCGAACCCAAGGCGGGGTATGCGCACAGAGGAGTTGGGTAACGGGAGGGTGTCGTTGATTGTGAGTGTGGACATGTTAGCAGCACGAGCGGAAAGATATCCAGCGAAGATGAAGTAAGAGGTGTGCACGGGAATTAAATTCGCGAGTCTGTATGCTTGAAGTCACTGGGAAAATCAACGAGTACTTAAATGGAGGGTCGCGCAGTCGTTTTCAGCTGCGGCGGATGATGATGATGCAATCAATATGTATCAATGTCTTTGGTCACCCATTGGTCACCTAATCAATATTGCCAGTACGGAAACCTTCCCATCACAGGGACGAGCGCACGGCGAAATTCGTGCCTGAAGCCTCCACTAAAGGTAGACAAACAGACACAGCTCCCAGTCATCTCGCAAAACTGTCGTCGCCTTACGCTGCTTCACCTTGGCTAAGGACCTCAACGCTCATTACTCAGGACGCTGCATCAAGAATGAATGGACCGCTTGCAATGTTGCTCTCGAAGGATTTGCGTCGGATTTTGACGAGGTAATCCAGGCAAGTCTCTGCTTCACAAGGTGTTTGTCGACAAGCGGGTGTTCATTCGCCGCTCTCAATTGGCCTGCACATCTTACTCAGTCTAGTGCGAAAGGCCAGGGAAATGGTCATCTTACCGTCGTTATCGTAGAGCAGACACAATGCCGCAGCGGCAACACCTACGCTGAGGTCTTTTCCTGTGGCGCACGTGACGAGTATTTGGCTTTCCCGGTGTTGCAGAAGCTTGTCGCGGATGGCGTTGACAGCGACGGAGAGTTGGTCGCGAAGGTCCTTGCTCCCAAACTTGCCCGGCCGACACTTGAGAAACAAAACTTTCGATTTGGAGCTTTGTGAATCACCTTGACAATTGATGATGAGGTCGAATCTGTCAGAGCTCTCCATCGGCCCGATTGCGATAAACATACTCGTCGTGGGGATGATCCTAGTCGCTGCCGTGTTTGACAGTCGGTTGTTTCTTTCTTGTGCCAGAAGTGTCTCGATAAGAGCTGGGAGGTCATCCTCGGGACTCCTCATCAACAGGTCTTTATGTTGCCAGAAGAGCTGAGCAGTCAGGTTATGAGACCAACCTTCACTGTCGTCCCCAGCGCCTTGAATGTATCCGCCTTCCGACATCTCAGCCCCACGAACCCGCCGCGAAGCAGAGCAGAGCACTAGATGGTGACAGGATGGATAGATGTCTCGAGAAGAACCCGTTACGCCACTCTCATCTCCGAGGTCGTATCCGTCGTCGGATTGTCTGTGGATGGCCCAGCTGACCCTGATCGGACTGCCCAGCTGACTGCGCAGGCTCTGCAGGTCTAAACCGAGGTGGCAGAAAGTCTTCGTAAACCCTTCAAGGCGGGCTTCAATCTGTGAGAGCTCCGAGGAATGAATGTTGTCAGGTGATGGCGGACTCTGAAAATGGTGCATCGAGGTGTCTTCAGGAAAGAGAGCTCTATTGATAACAGCAACCCATATCGGTACTGTCTTGCTGAAAGCGTCTGGCAGATTCTTGCCTCGGCGGGTAGAATCAACCAGGACGGCACCACCATAAGCAGACAGAATCGGGAGCAGCTGAAGGTTAAGCCTCCGAGGCGAGAAGTCCCACTGTCCATGATGGCCGTCGGTGCTCTTGAAATACGCGCTGCCGGCTTTATCAGCTGGGTCGATGTACCAGCTGCCGCAGCGCTCATTTGCTACGAGCGGTAAACACCGATGGCGGGATACCTCTTTGACGAATTCAGCATCTTTGACGATGGAGCTGAGACGGTTCGGAATTGACAGGGTCGATTTGCGAATCGACTTAAGATTGGCATACAAGGAAGGGTTATGGCTCGAGTCGTTTAAGGACAAGTCAGCTAATCTCGTTGGAAACTCCGAAGAGGTCATCTTGAAAGCCAGGGAACAGAATCAGACCCGGTTGTTCGAATTAGACGCGTGCCCAAACCTCATATCCAGCTTGTTTTTGGGGTATTCGTGGCTCATAAAATCCGTTGCTCATTGCCAAAAGACGGATTTCCACTCATGCAAAACCCCCGTGAGCCTGATGGATGCGGTCGTCCCGACACTTAACAGCTGGCGCCAAACTGTGGGTTTAAGTGAATCGTCCTTGAACCCGGTCGAAAGGTCTAGAATGCGGACAAATTGTCACCTGAATTTTCTGATGCCAAGACTGAAAGATTCTCGATCATTGGTTCGTCGTCGTCCAGCTTCCTGCTTGCCGTAACCCAGTCGCTCAAGCCACAAGAACACCGTCCAGGGGCACAGTGTTCGGTATCATCGACGCTTCATTCGCGCTCATCATTTCCATCGCATCTTCATTGATTGGGTGTATCGAGAATACCGTCGCCATGAACTCTTCTCCGTCAAAAAGAAGCCAATTCTGGAGCGGTTGTTCTTTTTGTCCCAGAACGTTGATGACATCTTGTGCCAAATAACCTCCAAGATAAGCAACCACCGGACTGATCTCGGATCCAAGATTCTGCAGAAAGCCGCGGAGGAAGTCCGATTTTAGAGTTTCAAGAGGGAGTGAAAGCTCTAGATGCTTCTGGTTGGCCAGTCTGGTGAACAGTTCGAGATCCGCCCTGTTATAAGATGGCAAGCGACCACCCTGCTGAGTCTGAAAGTCAAACAAGGCTCGTAGGCACGAAAGTAGCGGAGTGACCTTCATTCGACTGCGCCGAGTCTTTCTCACTCTCTCATGAAGCGGAGAGAGATTGGCAAGCTGAATGGGAGAGTATGTCTCCTGGTAAGAAATGATCTCCTGCGACTTTTCGCCGTCCTTTTTTGACTCGACCGCGATAACACACTTTGTCGGGCTCTCAATGTCGCCAACCTTAGTGGGCTTGTTTCTTTCCTCCCTCTCGATGACGAAGTCGTGCAACATGAGGTCTGCAAAGACGTAGCCGTACATCCCATGCGTGTCCGCGGCGTAGAATTTGCGACCGAACATCCGGCAGGCCATGTTGATGCTGCCCAGGACATCCATGATCAGCCCAGTAGCAATCGTGATGTCGAAGTTCTGGAAATATTCTGGGTCCTTGGTCACGGCTGCATGCGGATCTGTGTATATTTCCACTCTTGGATTCAGCTTTTGCAGTTCGGGAAGAGCTGCTTCAGCCCGGTTCTGACCAATCTGCGTTTCGCGGACGAAGAATTGTGTTCCAAGATCCTCTGCCGTGACAAGCTCGTGATCCAGAATTGTCAACACTCCTACTCCTGCTAAGATGAGATTCTTTGCAATTTCGCTTCCCAGGCCCTTGATTCCAATCAGAAGAATATTTGACCGGCGCAGCTTCTCTTGCACGGCCATTCCCCAAAGTCGAATCTGTCTGTCATAGAGGGCGATCTCATCAGCAGAGATTGGATGCTGTATTTGCATAGGGAACATTTGCATCCCATCGATCGGGAGGGCCATTCCATTGAAGGTTGGGTCATGAAGCTCAGCGTAGGTGCTGAGGCCGTTCATAGCACCGTTCATAGCTGCGTCAGAGCCCGTAGCGACAGGTATAGTAGAGCTGTTTCCGTTGGTCGCAAGAGAGCCTTCAGGCAGAGGATTGCCGTCCATAGTCTCCGAGACTTTGAAGCAAGAGAGAAATGAGACTCGCAGTGGCTACAAGTGAAGAAGAGAGATATGAGGACAAACGCTTTTGTCGCCGCGAGCTTCAGGTGAGGCTGGTTATGAATTGAATTGCGAGCGCGCCAATGGAGACGTGATTGTTGCTCTTCAAGACGCTGCGCGCATGTTTGACGATGCCCAGGCCTTCCTCCGTTGCGAACTTTAGGCGACCCTGTGATGCTGCAGGGGGGCCTGTCGGGAGGGACCCGGAGAGAGTAGGCGATGCCTAAAAGAGGGGACGGCGCCTTATTTCTCCGGGTAGTGCCTTGGGTCCCGTGCGGGCCATCTGCTATCACCAAGCCGATATCGTGGGGCAAAAGTCAAGTGCGCTGTCACAAATGCGTGAGCGGTGCCTCTTTCTGAGTGGTGAACATCCGACTACATCCCTTCACCTCGTGGTCTTGCCAGATACCACCGGCCGCTTGCTACAGGATCTGGATTGTATTTCTCGAAGCCGTATGTCGCTACAAGCACATACCATCCTGAGTGGTCCGCATTGCGCCCATCGCATCCCTTTCGCCGTTGCGTTGGCCTTGAAAGCAACTTGCGGGCGTTCTTTGTTCAGATATGGTACGACCTCAATTACCACCCCTCACCCACGAGTCTTGCAATTTTGCCCATTCAGAGGGATGAAAGCTAATTGTGGCCAGTCTGATCAGAGTGACCGCCCAGCATGGTCTGATATTTCCGCACGCCTCCAGAACCTCAGGAACCTGCTCAGTTCGGAGCGGCATTTAGGCGCCGAACAACAACGGGCGTTTGAAGCACTTGATCGTGAGATGGGCGATCAGATGGCAGAGCTTGGAGCAGTCGATCACGAACCGGGACATCAAGCGGTGGGTGACCGTTCGGCCACCCGGGAGAGAAGAAGGAGGGATCTTGAAGCACATTTGCAGGAGCAAGACGCTCCCGCTGTCTCTGGGAGCCTCCCCCAAACCAGCAGCCCGTCGAGCCTCATGCGGAGCCGGCGGAGGGCCTTCCGACCAAGCGAACGCTTACAAAGGTATCAGAGAGAAAGACTTGCTCAGAGTGGAAGAGGCACCGCTTCAGAGACACGTGTCTCGCCTCCTCACTTGTCACCTTCCTGGCAAGAGCAGTCCATAAGCGACCGTGGCGATCGACCGAGGGCAAAGCGAAGGAAGTTAGATGACGGCACCTACGAAGAGGAGCCTCGAACTTTCAGCTACGGCGACAAAGGTCAAGTGGTTTCGGGGGAATTGAAGTTGGACATCATCAGTTGCGATGGTGGAGAGTATTCGGATCCTCACACGCCGATTAACTCCTACCCGCAGAACGTGCTCCAAGATGACACTACCGTCTACTGCACCAAAAGCAACCGATGTAACCTCTTGTTGAAGCATATTGGTGGGATGCCCTTCACCTTGACCAAGATAGTCGTCAAAGCACCACGATCAGGGTACGATGCACCTATTCAGGAGGGACTTGTCTTTATCGCAATGGAAGATGACGCACTTCTCGAGCGGACTTCTCAATACGATATGCGCTGGTCCGCCCCTCATTATCGTCACGAACGGCGTAGGGGAGACCGATACCGGCCCTCTCATGACTATATGAATTCCGCTAGATCTCCTCTAAGATCGATCGACCGTTCGAGGTATCTCAGCTCTCCCACGTACCCGGAGGATGATCCATTGCTCGAAACCCACTTAGTCCCAGGCTTCCAGGTGACAGTTGCAGACCCTTCCGACGAGGAAGAGGCGGCGGACGGTCCGCCTTCACCACGCCCTTGGCATGATGATGAATATTCACTGAGGTCGTATGTCGATCGATATCGACCCGTTTACCTTGGAGATGAGGGGAATAATGGCCGCCCCTGGACAAACTCCAGCGACTCGGAAGGCTCGGAACGAGATATACCGCGGGAAACCCGGGGGCCCAGTGAAAGAGAGCGCTTTCATCGACAGCAGCGCGATCTCGAAAACACGCTGGCTCATCGAAACCGCATGCTGGATCTCATGCGAGCCCAGCAAATCCGTGAGAGTGATGAGTTCTTTGGGCGCCATGGTCGCGACCACGATCAAGAGTTGTCCTACCTCCGTCGTCCAGTTTTCGGTAGGACTGGTTCACGAGCAGCTACAATTGCTATTGGGGCCCTCGATCCAGTTCGGTCCCCAGACGATCAGTCCAACGCAACGACACCATTTGAGACTCCGGCTTCCAAACCCATTCCAAATCGAGCAGAATCTAGTTCATCCGCCAAAGGTGATGTTATTGTGCCCCATGCTCGCTTCTTTATAAGCCGAAGCAAGTCGAGCACAGCGATCAAGTTTGATCCTCCAGTGTGAGTGATGGTAGAAGAACGGCTGCGTCAAGCAGAAGCTAATCTGTATGCAGCTCTGGCCGCTATATTCTGGTGAAACTATGGGCGCAGTGTCCCAACGCCAATATCGACATACAGGCTATCCTTGCACATGGGTATGGCGGTCCTCGATTCTTCCCGGCTCTAGAAATGAGATGACATGCCAGTACGCCTTCACGAAGCGCTGTACCGCATACTCGTCAGATCATATATCCGCATGTCTCCACAAGGGCAATGAATGTCCGCAATGTCACCGGTTTCTTATGTGGTTTTGACAACAATGCTGTTGATCCACGCTTGTTCCCAGCCACGCATTTCTGTTGCGAGGCCACATGACTGCGCAGACACCCTTGGTCGATGCCCACGTGGAACAGAGTTCCTCTCTTCAGCAAATCTCAGGCCTCGAAGAGAAAGAAGGGCTGCCAATGATGGGCTTACATGGCCAACCGATAAGCCAACTTGGAATACAGGCAGTCGAGCAGGCAATTGCGTCCGCTGATTCTTGTTCCTTTCTGAGCCTGGGTGCAGCCTTCTCAAACTACATACTCAGACTATTTTGACTGGCATAGAAGGCAGCGCTTTGCAATCGTTGCATCCGAGTTCTGTAGCGGCGACTACCCCTAGATTTGGCGAACGGCACATCAGTCACGGTTCAGGCTGTTGGACTGCATCTGGGTTGAGAATCTGTGAAGGGCCTAGCAAATTCTGGCTCGATATCTATCCCAGCTAGCATCTCCCTGAGATCGGGAATCTAACCAACACGTCTAATATCAACCTATCAATTTGAAGATACCATGACTTGATTATACAGCATCACATCAAGTTATCCATCGATTATATAGTCAAAGTTGCGTCGCGTATATTTGCTTCAGGTTGATGAAGAACGAGCAGCAACATTGTTTAGCAGATGCGCGATTGTCGTGCATGTGGGCGTGGCGATCGTTAAACAGGCCTTGAAATGGCGGGAAATCAATGAATGCCCGCAATCTTTTGGCATGTCGCTCTCGGCAACCGCAATTCGATGGGGGTTAGACTGTGGCCTCTATGGGACGATGTTCAGGATCACTTTATTCTGGACGGGACCCCGGGGGTCTTCGGAACAGGTGGAGGGTGTTTCACGACGCACTTCAGTATCCCAGGCCTGCTTCTTCGAGGATGGGCTGCCAAGTGTGTGCTGGGTCGACTCAGTCAATCCTGGATGTGACACTTGCATCCGTAGAGAGGCGAGAATGATATAAACGCGACTGTCATGAAGTCCGAGCAGAGCTTCAAAGGCTTGTCTTTGCTTGTTTCCAAGCTTCCCCCTTCAGCGGTCCGATCAGCGGAAAGTCTGGTCGACCTGAGGAAGCTTTCTCACTCGAGACCGTGGGGTGACACCACCGTTGATTTCTGATTGGCGCCGTCAGCTCTACCAAGAAGTCCGGGCTGCTGCTGAGAATATGCTACCGTCAAGCCCAGAACCAGCTGCTTCTCAAATCACAGCGTCAGCAGGCTCGAGGAAGTGTGAAGATGTCGGAGTGGTCCATTAACTTGTCTTGGCTAAATCTGTTGTCTCTTTACTGCATGTCCGTGCGACAAAAAGTGACGCCACGTTGGGATGCGAGGGTGGTCAGCCAGAAGAGTCTTGAGACCCAGCTGGAAGAACAAAGGACGTCGTCGGACAATACCAAGACGCTATCCCTGCAGCTATTGCCGGTCAGGCGTCTGGCGGCCACACTTGAGATGCTTCTGACGTGCTCAGCACTGAGAAGCTGGAGAAGGAGAACATACCCCAGCTTCAAATTACTTTGAATGAAGCCGGGGAGCCTCGGTCGATGCAATCGCTGTCACAAATTTAGATCCTCTCTTGACATTCATTTGACATTCACTCGACCCGTTGAGGGGGAGCTGAACCTGTGGAGCCGCTGCAAGCCATCGCCCTTGTCTTGACCAGCTCGACCAACAGACAGCTTCGAGCAAGCGAGCTTCTTCAGCCTTTACAACAACAGATGCAGCCACCTTCGAAATAAGGCTGCCGCCATGACAAGCGGCTGGCTGAACATACCCTCGTTTCTCGCCCGATCACCCTGATATGACCAGTCAATTTCAGTATTCTTGCCATGAGGTGCATGTGAGAGCGATCTAAACGAGGCGGGGTCAAAATGTGACGAGCAAAAAGGTGCAGCGTCAGGCCCATACTCATCATATCGGTGTCATGACAATCACAGAGATAAAAAGGTGGACTACACCTGTTCTTGAGACAGGAATACGGGGTATCCCTCTTCCCTCACTGCCTCAACCGCTGTTTCGTCAGGATGGTGTCTCTCTGGGCCAGAATCGTTGCCGTGTTTCACTTCATTCTTCTCTCTCCGCCCAGAGAACAATGGCCTGATCAGCATCCGCTGTCCGTCTCTACCAAGGCCTCCGGGCCTGCACAACCAAGTCTCCTTGCTGACGAACGCGTGCCCCCGAAGCCGTTCCTCCCTCCCTCGGCACCAAGAGGCTCCGACTTTCGCTGTGAGTATCCAAAGTTGAAGGACTACAAGTTCTGTTCCACGTATGGTGATCGGTCCTGCTGGCTCAAGCACTCGGATCCTGCCAAACAATCGTATAATATCACCACGGACTACGAGAAGGTCTTTCCTGAGGGTATCACTCGCAAGTACTATATCGAGATCAACGAGAAAACTATTTCGCCGGATGGAGTATCGCGGGCGGCGATGCTTGTGAATGGCACTTACCCAGGACCCTGGATAGAAGCGTGTGTCCGCCTCTTTGACATGCTAAGCTCATGAACTTACCTGTGCGCAGCTGCTGGGGTGACTGGCTGGAGATCACGGTGAATAATACTCTTCAAACCAACGGCACCACGATCCACTGGCATGGGATCCGTCAGTTGCACACCACCGCCAACGATGGGGTCAACGCCATCACGCAGTGCCCCATCGCTCCCAACCAGACTTTCACGTACAAGTTCAGAGCTATGCAGTACGGCACATCCTGGTACCACAGCCACTACAGTCTGCAGTACGGTGATGGCGTGTTGGGCCCCTTGACGATCCACGGTCCATCATCAGCGGACTTCGACGAGGCACAACCCCCAGTGTTGATGTCCGACTGGTTGCACCGGCCGTGGTATTCTGCGTGGTGGGACTCGATCAAAACTGGAGAGAGACCGGCTGACCCGGACAACATTCTGGTCGGTGGCGAGGGGACGTGGCCAGCCAGCCTCCCAAGCAAGGAGTTCCGCCTCGATTTCGTAAGGGGGAGACGCTATTTGCTTCGGCTCATCAACACTTCGGTTGATACGACCTTCGTTTTCTCCATTGACAATCACAAGATTCAGGTAGTTGGGGCCGATTTTGTTCCAATTGTACCATACATGACAGACCATGTGGTGGTCGGAATCGGTAGGATTCGTCCCACGGGCCACTGCTATGACTGACGATGAGCACAGGACAGCGGTACCATATCATCGTGACAGCAAATCCCATGGACGGCTACGACGATGCTTCTTACTGGATCCGGACCATACCAGCCGCCGGTTGTAGTCCAAAAGCGATGCAAAGTATCGACAACCGAACCGGCATCATCATCTACAAGAAAAAGGACCCCGTAGACTACCCTCGTACCTTCAGCATCGAGTGCCGTGATGAGCCATACGGGAAACTGGTGCCGGTCCTCAATTGGACGGTCGGGTCGCCATCGAACATTGCGGCCAACAGTGAATTTGACATTGGGTTTGACAACATCACCGCAGGCTCTCTCTGGCCCGCAAGTATCCAGAAACCGCGTTGGAACATGTACAGCGACACCATGTGGCTGAATTTCTCTAACATTACGCTCTCGCAAAATCTCAATGCCAAACAGAATGAGTTTAATAGCCATTCAGTGGTTGTGAAGCAGGATTCGGCCGAGGACGCCTGGGTCTATTTTCTCCTGTCCGGCACCGGCATCCCGCGCTCTGGCCGCCAATACTTCCCGATTGCCCACCCCATCCATCTGCACGGGCATGATTTTGCGATCCTGCAGCAATCCAGCCAGCCGTACCAGATCGGCGGGTTGAACCTGAACTTAAAGAACCCGCCGCGGCGAGACGTGGCGTTGCTGCCTGCCAGCGGCTTCCTGGTGCTGGCATTCAAGGCTGACAACCCCGGTATCTGGCTGATGCACTGTATCTTCCTCTCCTATCATCTATGATTCTGTCAACTGCTAACCGAAGGCCAGGCCATATTGCAGTTCACGCATCAGGCGGGCTGGCAATGCAGGTCATCGAGAACGGGGGCAAAGTGAAGCTCGATCCCTTTGACCAGAAACAGCTGTGGGACACGTGTCAGAAATGGGATGAATGGGTGTCCAACCACCATTTCCTCCAGGATGACTCCGGAATCTGAGTGGAATGGTAAATAGATGCTCCGTTTCGACAAGTACACGTCTAAAAACGTTTGGAGATGGGTGTTCTCGCGACTGTAATGAGTACACATGGATGCACGCAACACAGAGCCGTATGACCCGCTTGGGGGAGAGTCTAAATTACAGTAGCAGGCAGCTGCTTGAATGGGAAACCCAAAGACAACTTCAAGACACTGATCCCATCGGAGATGCAGGCACTCCCGGAGCGGTGTCGCAGTTATCCACCGAATCTCGAAAAGACAGTATGGAGTGCAGTGATTGATAGACTTCCTGTACGGAGCTGCCGTGTTCATCCCCAACCGGCGACCATACCGCATTTAGCATGAGCCATCCGAACTTGGCGGAGTCGTACGGCGGATTCCAGTACGGCGGATTCTTATGTCATTTGACGTCAAGCAAAGCCCATCACGCCCATGCAGGCGTATAGTTTTACTTTTCCCCACCCCATTCGGAAGTAACGCCCCTAATACTGTGTACACACAACCGTTGTTCAAGAACACCGTCGCGAATAATGCCTCTCTTCGCAAAGGGAACAGGAGTTCCCCTCCCCCTGTCTAATGCCTCTAGCGCAGCACCACCCTCCGCGGAAAGCCAGGTTCCCAAACGCATCCGCATCAAAAACCGCCGCAAGACCTATCTCGACCGGCATCCCGAATATTTCGGCCCGCAGCTCGAGCTGGCAGGTGTGCCTTTAGCTCTCCCTTGACAGGTAGGTAAGGCAAACTCACGTCTTCCACAGATCCACTCCTCTACGACCGCCTTGTGCGCCGCTTCCAGACGGCCGAAGAGCGCGAAGCCGAAGGCCGACGCAAGGGCTACTCGGGCATCTTGGAGGCGGACCTGTACCGCAGCGAGGCGAAACTAGAGGCGCTGCACCATCCTGACCCGAATGCCTTGTTTACGTATCGACGGGGCCCGGATGGCGAGATCTTGGCCGAAGAGAAGGATGAGGTGTCTACGAACAAAGAGGAGGGGCTGGACAGGTGGAAGTGGGAGATGGAGGCTCGGTTCCTGAGGGGTGGGGATGACGACTTTGACTACAATGCCGTTGACCAGAATTCAGAGTACGATGATCGGGTGGTTGAGGAGCGGGATGCGCAGGATAGGTATTTTGACGAGGAGACGCCGCATTTCGTAGAAGGAGAGGGAGAGGGAGAGGGAGAGGGAGAGCAAGGCGATCGGCGGAGGAGGAGCGGCAGTGAAAGCAGGCCTCGTGATTTGAAAGGTGAGACGGGGGTGCAGGATTTTTGACAGCCTCTTCCTGTGGCTGTCTATTCGCGTGGCTACGGACTCGGCGTACCCTTCAGCGCCCTTCAAGGGGCTCGGAACCTCAAGCAAGGTGCGCTACGAGGCATCCGACCGCTTCTACCTCGTGACAGTCCATTCGCCCGTCTGCTGAGGCAACATGAGCATTGCCAATCCCCTCGAAAGCGCGAGCTGAGGTCCGGCGTTGCGTTGAAGGGGACGCTTCCTAACCTCACAGGTACGTGTGGAATCGACCTGTGATAACTCCGATATCCATGCATGTCCTCTCATGCAGTCAGGATATCCATGGGATCCATCAAGCCTCTGACACTGCTGGCACATCGGACATGGGGCATCCTCCTGAAGACCTCTTGCCCCTCTGTCTTCTGCATGAACTCCTGCCACTCTCTGGTCGCAATCCATTCCTGCTGGGCGCGCTTGTCGCGGAATTTCATGATCAGGACGGTGTCATGAACTTCTCCCGGAGGAGGCGCGGGTTTCTTCCGTCGCGAGCTCTCAGGTCTGGGATCTGGGATCTCTGCCGGATATGTGTCGAACTTGGAGACCAAAGGAGAGAATGCGGCTTGCATGCCCAGTCTTGCAATCATGGAATCCAGCTGATGTATGGGCTTGTCCTCTATCGTTCCTCGTCGCACGAGGTCCGGATCGGCCGGCTGCATATTGCGCTTCATCTGGGAAGCAAAGAAGTAAAACATGCAGGTCAGCGGTCGTTCGCCGTCAGCAGCGTGACGCGCCTGTTGTTCTGCTGGAGTCTCTCTTGCGGCATGTTGTTCGCTGAGACTCGTTCGGCGCAGAAGCATTTTGTCGTCCTGACAAGGAGATCAAGCATGCAATAGTGATGGCGACGAAGGAGTGTTTCGGTATCGGTATACCATCGTCTGCTGTAGGAACACACAACGAGGACAATCCGGTGGCATCTTACGGAAGACAAGGTACTGTACGGAGTACTCCTTACGGCTTCGCATTCTGGGCGTGGCCCCAGGCGCTCGTGATGAGCCTTCCCCGCATTCTGGGCTTCAATGAGACTGCCCGGCTTAGGGCGGTGATGATGTATTTGTGTGTCCTGTTACGAGTGGCTCAGTCCCTCCAACTCCGCTAGGCGCTTCAAGGACGCTGTCTCACTCGCCAGGGCGTTGCACACTGCTTCCTTGGTGCTGATGGTGACTGATCTCGTACCCTCTTTCGCGTGCACGCGTACAAGAACCCAACGCTCAGAAACCGTGAGATATGGCTTTAAGTACTCCGTACCGCTCCTTGAATCCTCCGTCTTCTTCCTTTGGTGCTTTTTAATTCCCACACTCTCTGCAAACACGACAAACTATGCACAGAGTCTGATGGCAATAATGACAGCCATGTCGCCGGTGCCTCGCGCTCTCTCCCGGCGACTTCGGTGGCCGCCCCGATCTGATCTGATCTCTAACCCCACAAACTTTTCTAGCCGTCCACAGCCGTCCCCGCTTCTGCGGTCAGGTACGAGTCAGCTCAAGCCAACGAGTGTTGAAGCTCGGCATCACCGCGATGAAGCGGGCCGCCGAGAACCGCTGTGGTCGTCCGCCGTCCAGGTACTCCGTATACCTTCTGTACCACTCATCTTTCGTCCACTACGACCAAGCGAAGCACCGAGCTCGACCTGCTAGCTACCTGCGTGGGGCATATCAGACGCATGCTGGCACAACGACGACGACGACATATCCTCGGCAATAGATAGTGGCGGGCTCCAGAGTGCAATGCCAGAGCCATGCGGGCGTTCTTCCGACTGCGGTCACCACGATGCCATGGACAACGCTCATACCTACAAGCACGCCGCAGCCTCCTGACCCTTGCCAAGTTGAAGGGCCCCTCAGAGCCCCCACTGCTCGAGGAGACAGTCGGCGAGAACTTCTCCCGCATCGTGTCCGCCCACGGTGATCGCAACGCGGTGATTTCGAGACACCAGAATAAACGGTTGACGTACCACCAGCTTGACCTCGACAGCAATGTGGTGGCGCGAGGACTACAAAGTCTGGGAGTCAAGAAGGGAGACAGAGTCTGTGTATCGCTGGGAAACAACCTGGAATTCGCGACCATCACATATGCCTTGTTCAAGCTCGGAGCCATCTTGGTGCCCTTGAACCCAGCGTTTACGGCGACTCAGATCATCTCGGCATTCAACCACCTCTCCGCTTCGCATCTTGTCATTGGGACCGAGACAAATTTACCATACAAGCCACCCCGGCCCAATGTGTCGCTGCTCGAGGCCATCGTGCCTGATCTAAGAGGCTCAACACTGGCTTCGGAAACAGTCCCCTCGCTCAAGAAGATCATCTTGGTGAACAACTCTGCAGGACGCATCGATCCGACTCCTTTCCGCGCAACGACACCATGGGAGTCCATATCCCAGGATTCCGACAGCAGTCCTCCGACGCCTTCTGCTCCCTTGTCAAACCATGAGGTGGTCAACATCCAGTTCACCTCGGGAACGACCTCGATGCCTAAGGCTGCGTGTCTGTCGCATCGATCCATTCTGAACAACGGCAATCAGATAGGTGACAGGATGCTCCTGACGCCGCAGGATGTCGTGTGCTGCCCGCCACCTCTATTCCATTGCTTTGGGTGCATTCTAGGGTACATGGCAACTGCAACGCATGGCTCAGCGATTGTCTTCCCGGCCGAGGCCTTCGACCCGTTAGCCTCGCTCAAGGCCGTGCAGGAGGAAAAGGCTACAGCCCTTTACGGCGTCCCGACCATGTTTCTCGCGGAGCTCGAGCTGATCAACGACGAAAAGGTCGCGTACGAAGGCTTCCAGTACCTGCGCACGGGGATCGCAGCAGGATCCTCCGTCCCAGCTGAACTGATGCGGAAGCTGCACAAGACGTTGAATCTGACGGAACTGACCATCTGCTACGGCATGACCGAGACATCGCCCGTCTCCGCAATGACCACCACCGACGACCCGATCGAGAAACGGATCAACACGGTAGGCCGCCTCCTCCCGCACGTCGAAGCCAAAGTCGTTGACCCATTCGACCACAACCGGATCCTCAAAGTGGGGGAACGCGGTGAACTGGCTGTTCATGGGTATCTGGTCATGAAAGAATACTGGGGCCAGCCTGACAAGACCGCCGAGGCAATGAAGACCGACGAAGAGGGCAAAGTCTGGATGCACACGGGCGATGAGGCATCAATCGACGAAGAAGGCTACGTGAGCATCACGGGCCGCATCAAAGATTTGATCATCCGGGGTGGCGAGAATATTCACCCATTGGAGATTGAGAACTGTCTGTTCGCCCATGACAAGATCGCCGAAGTCAGTGTGGTAGGTTTACCCGACGAGCGGTATGGAGAAGTGGTGGCAGCCTTTGTGGTCAAGAGACATCATCTGCCACCAGGCGAAAAGGATATCACGCCCGAGGAGGTGAGGAATTGGGTGAAGGAGCGGATGAGCCATTACTTGGTGCCAAAGTATGTGTTCTTTGTGCAGGATTATCCCAAGACGGCCAGTGGGAAGATCCGTAAGTACTGACCAGCTTCCTTGATGGCGTGCTTTAGCTGACTTGTGTGCCGATGCAGAGAAGTTCAAGCTCAGAGAACTGGGCGTGGAGCTACTCAAACAATCAGAGAAGGAGAACGAAAACGCTCGCTGAGTATCATACTGATTGCTAGCACCACTGCCCGGCAAGTATCGCGGGTGTTCTGGATATCTCTTGAGCATTTTAACCCTGATAGCGAACTGTAAATAGCACATCAAGGAGCATACCACGCATCAATCATCAATCATTGTCGTGGCGTCTTAACGGACGATCTCGATCGCGGTCTCTGTCCCGCGAGGACCTCCTCTCCCTGCTATCCGTATGATGGTGTCTGTGACGGTGCTCCCTGCTCGTCTCTCGATCCCGCGAGGACCTCCTCTCCCTACTATCTGTGCGATGGCGTCTGTGACGGTGCTCCTTACTCGTCTCTCGATCTCCATTGCGATGGTGACTTTCATCGTTGTGCCTGCGGCGTCTATCATCATCATGGTGATCCCTCCTCCTCTCCTCGCTATTCTCAGTGTCCCGTCGACCATTCTTGCTCTCGCGGTCGTCATGATCCCGGTCTCGATGCCTGTGACGGTGACTGTGCCGACGGTCTCTGTCCTCCTCGCTCTCCCTGCCTTGTTCTCGATCCTCGTCACGCCGATGTCGATGCTTCTTCTCCCATCTTCCATTCTCTCGTTCTTTCGCTCTCTCGACCTCCTCCCTCTTCTCCCGGATGAGATATTCTCGCATAGGATCTTCCTCCTCGCCGTCCGGCCTGATAGCCAGCATCTCGTGCAATTCTTGCTCTTCCTTCAGTAGGCGCCGTCGCTTGTGTTTCCCCCTGTGATTGTGACCGTGAGCGTCGCCGCTACCGACATCATCCTCGGTATCACTGTTACGATCACTCCCTCTCTTCCCGTTGGAATTCATCCTCTCTTCGGCCTCCTGCTCAGCCTCCAACCTCTCGATACGGTACGTCTCCTCGTCCTCATCGTCCCGCTTCTTGTATCTCGTATGGTCGACCCTCAAGAGCCGGCCCAGCACGTCCGCTCCCCCAAGATTGTCCACGGCGAGATCGCAACTTCGCTGGTCCTCGTACTTCAGGAACCCAAAGCCTTTACTTTTGCCGGTCTCCTTGTCGCGGACCAGATTGAGGTGGGTGGGGTTTCCGTACTGCGAGAAGACGATGCAGACATCGCCTTCGGTGAGGTCCAGGTGTAGGCCGCCAATGTAGATCCACGCGGTGTCGCGGTAATCGGCGTGCCACGAAGCGGAGGGAGGCGTTGCGTTTTCGAGTTCGCGCTTGTTGAGGAGCTGAGTTTGTCGGATCGCGTTCATGATGACGGTCCGTTTGATAAGGTGCAAATTATACACGGACCGTTTCCAGAACTCAGCACATCCTTCGTCCAAGGGTCACAAGTTGCCGTGAAGATGCAAAAATTCTGGTGTCGATGCTTGCGGAGAAACATCTTTAGGCGGCCCTGACGCTTAAAATTAAGCTCAAGCATAACTAACTTAAGGGGGAAAGGGGATTTCCCACGGTGCGCCATGCGGAGAAAACGCGATCTGCGAACCCCAAATGTTCATCTTCAGTTCATCCAACGCGTCGATGTGTACAGTACGAGTATTGCACTGGGCCCTGAGCTTTCAGCCGTTGAGGGTTGTCGCCTGCACCTAGTCGCCGCCGCGCAAGAGTAGTCCCTCCTTGACAATGTTGACGGCGTCTCAACCCAGTCCCGCCTTTCCTCGCCCGTCCCCATCGACCACAAACGTTCCCTCCCTCCGCCGCCCGGGCAGCAAAGATGGCGACAAGCAAGCGATATGGGTTCCGATGCTCAACCGAGCCTCGAAAGGCAAGGATCTGTCCGAGAAACAACTCATCGTCCTAGGCGGCACGCCCGACCAACAGCGCGAGTTCCTCGACCACTTGAACCCTCCTAACCTACGCCCTCGGTATGCCAACAACGACAGAAGGCGGCAGCCACGCACGGCACCGATATCAAATCGCTATGCACTGGGCTACACATACCACGATGTGCTGGACGCGGATCAGGAGGACGTCCTCGCCAGGCTGAATGTATACATGCTTGCCCATCCGTCGGCGAGCTTCGCACCGCTGCTCAAGCCGCTTCTCACGGCAAAGACGGTCAAGCACACCTTGATCACCATCCTCCTCGACTGGTCAGATCCCTTGAAATGGGCCAGGCAACTACGGCAGTGGATCCGCTTACTCAGGGCCGTGATCCTGACGTTGGACGAGCAGACGAAGATAGAAATGGAAGAGGTCATAACTGCGTGGAAGGAGAAAAGAGTCGGTCCCGACGCACCTTCTGCACAACTGGGCGGCGGAGGCAAAGACCCCGCCGAGCAAAAGTCGGTCGTACCGCCGGGACCGGGCGAGTGGGATGAAGGACTAGGGATTCCACTGTCCGTGGTGTGTATACAGGCCGAGAAGATCCAGAACCTGGAGCGAGACTACGGCTGGGGCGAGGATCAATTTGACTTCTTGATGCAGTGGCTCCGCTGCGTGTTACTCAAACATGGCTCTTCATTGGTATACACCGCGACTTTCGACTCAAACAATGTCCGGACGTTGATCCATTCGAGCCTGAGCATCCACTCGCTCTTGAAACGAGAAGTCGCAAAGCACAACATTGTCGACCGGGACAAGATCCTCGTACCTCCGAACTGGGATTCATGGGGCAAGATTCGCATCTTGAAGGACGGATTCGACCCCGAGGCCGTGGGGAATGCGTGGTCCGTCGAGATCCAGTCACCCCCTGACGAGAAATTCGATCTGTTATCTAGACCGACAGCCGGTTCGGAGCAAGATCACCCCACGGAAAACGGCGAGGACGCAGACTCAGCTGTACATCTCTTCGAGTCGACCCTCCGTCATCCCACCTCTGCGCCCCAGTCCTTCCAGCCACGCTCCCAGGATGAAACGGTTTCGGTGCCCACCGTGCAAGAGTTCCTCCAAGCCCAATATGAAGTCCTTGAGAAACTGAAAGCCGAGGATGAGAAGGCAGAGCGAAAGTCTCGCAAGGGAGCCCCTGCACCGACGGGGTCTGGTGTGGCAGGAAGTGTTGACGGTGGCAGCGAGGACGTGGGGCCCAAAGGCGTCAGTAATCCAAGGATGGCGGAACATATCGGCCCATATCAGATTAATGTGAACGGCATTGATTTTGACCCCGAGGAGGCGACAAGGCGGTTAAGGGAACGGGAGAGTGAGCGGCAGAATGCGAAGAACCTGCCTTCTACGTCCGGTCCAGCGGGGACGAGTACCCCGATGAGGAGGATGGGGAGTGATCTTGGCGGAGGCGGTAGCGAAGGCACACACACTCCTACAGCGAACGCGGCGGGAAAGCAGAGTAACGAGGCGATGTCGCAGTTCTTTGCCAATCTGATCAACAAGAAGGACAAGAGGGCAGCTGGGGGTGCGAACGCCAGTGCCAGCGCCAGTCCCACGCGTGCACCGCATGGGACTTCCGGTTCGCTTGTCCGGGGCAACAGTTCGAGGGATATCGGTGGAGAGGGGAGGAGGGAGAGCTGATGGGGTGATGCGAGGTCAGGGAAGTGCGAGTTTGAGGTTTGAGTTGGAGCGTCCGAGCATCAAGACTGAGAAGCAGACTGAGTGTCCTGCTCGAATTGGGAGACAGGTAGAACAACAGGCAGTACGTCTACCACACACGGATTGTCAGCAGGCAGTATGTGTTCCAGTTTCACTTTGTCCCGCAACTCTGTCGGTGGCCTCTCCTTCCATTCTTTATAGTCAGGGCTTGCCATATGGCCTCGAAGTGCGCCTGCCCTTGTGCAGGAAGTCAAAGAATTCCTTGGCCGGCTTCCTGTCGTTTCCATCCTGTTCAGCCGGTATCCCCCTCCAAGATCCTAGTGGCCACTGAGCGAGAATCGAACAAATTACCTGGTTGACGAGGCTGGATGGCAGGCTTCTCATTTCGATCCTCCTCCTTTCACGCGCCAGCACTTGAGTGACTCCTAAGAACTAGCCCATTCGGCCAAGACCCGGAGTGTCAATACTTCAGGTCATCTTACTTCTAGGCGTGTACAACGACCCTCATCTCCATGACATCACAGGCGCCGCCAATACTGACCATGTGGACATTACACCTTCAGAGTACTCCGTACTTGTACCTTGGTACGCCCTTTCGGTGGGAGGTGCGTCGACCGCGCGTCCAACTTCGTCGAACCTTTTCCTCCGCTGCCGATAAGTTCCTTCGAACTGAGCTGCCGACTATTTCGCACCTGTCCGCCAAGGTTCGACGAATGCTTACCGCGCTGGTTCAAACTCCGACAAGCTACCTACGACACATATGTAATTACAGCCGCTAGCCTTCCTGCCTGTAGGCATCATCCAAGTCACATGAAGTCGGTTCTCGCCATGCTGCAAGATGAGAAAGAGAGTGCCCGGCACTTGAAGGGCGATAGTCGTGCTGCGAGCGCTCTTGGAACAGGGTCTGGCGAAGCAGCAGATATCGGTGTCACGACAGCGTGGAAGGATACAGAGCAACAGTCTCCACATGTTCCAAGCCACTCGCCCCGTACCCCGGATGATTGGGACGAGGGTCATGATGTGCTGTCCTTGTTGTTATCTGCGACCCAGCTGCGGCCAGTGCAAACTACAGGTTCTCGCATGTCTATGCAAAACCACACCACCCCTACCTGATTGGAACAACGTCGCGTATGCAGCGTGAGGCGATGCAGCTTGAGGCGGAGCAGCGAACAGATCCAGGATGACCAGACATTTTCTCTGCTCCGCCACCCATTTCGGGCGAGCAGTTGCCTTCTCTGCCTCGCTCAGCCTCTTCACGCCGCCAATGCTGAGGTTGAAGAAGCTCGACATGCCCTGCTGGTAGAGATTCTTTCTGTCACATAATGTTCGACTCATACATCACATCATGTCGCGGCAATATACGCATGTACCGCTTTCGAGTCCCAGGCACATTCGTGTCGTGGTGCTACGACCGGCTGAAAACCTTGCGGCTCCCCTCGATTTCTGTATCGTGGAGACATCGCTGGATCAGCCTCTTCCATATTCTGCAGTATCATATGCATGGGATGCTCCGTCCGGGAGCACTGAACTCAACTGCGGTAACGGGAGTTTGCTGGTCACGCCTAACTGTGAAGCTGCTCTTCGTTATCTTCGGGGCAAGACAGCGACTCGACGGCTGTGGATCGATAGCATATGCATTGATCAAACTGAGAATGCCATGGGCGAGCGAAATCATCAGGTATTCCTCATGGGCGAGATATTCAAGAAGGCGGACGGAGTCTTGATATGGCTTGGTGAGATGGATGAGGATACCAGAATCGCCATGGTTGCGGTCGACAACGTTATCAAGCAGCCGAAACTCGGTGAGACTCTCACCGACCCAAGTGCGAGGCCGCAAGCGCTTTCAACTCGTATGGAAAGCGAGCACATCTGTTGACAGGTCTGACTGGATGACAGAAACCAGATATAAGGCAGCGGATTTTCTCTCTCTCATTTTCAAGCGATCTTGGTTTCATCGCATGTGGACCATTCAAGAAGCCTTGCTTCAGCATGTTGATCGGGTCATAGTCCAGTGTGGCAACACCACCATCCGGTGGATATACCTCCTCGGCGTGGCCTTCGCAATGGACGGAGCGGAGGCCGGCTGGACTCCATGCGCTCGGACCGTGCTTGTACATGGACGGCTGTTAACCTCATTGATACATCTGGACCGGGAAAGATACGAACGAGCACTTCCCGAAAGCGCGACAGTTTTGGAACCTTCCGCGGAGTCTGAACCACGTGCGGAAGGTTTTCATTTCCCGATCAGTGTCATTTTTGATGACGCGAAGGGGAAATTGGCGACAGATCCCAAGGACAAGGTTTTCGCACTGTATGGCATGTTCCAGGAATTTCAAATTGCAATCCCAAGTCCTGACTACAACAAACCTATGCAAGAGATATACAAGGAGTCGGCAATTGCAAGTATCAAGAATGACAAGGACTTATCCATCCTCTATTATGTACCATCTGCTTCTCGCCATCCAGGACTTGCTTCGTGGGTCCCGGACTGGAGCCAGCCGGGCTGGGAGGCAGCGGGCTCGAGATTTTGTTTCAGGCGGGATCATTTCGACACAGCCAAAAATACGAGTGGAAGATGGCGATTTTCACCGGATTCGAATCATCTTATCGTGTCGGCAAGAATTTTCGACTCTGTCGTGTTTCGGTTAGAAGGGCTTACCAAAGGCAACCGGCTTTCCAAGAAACTGTGTGATGGAAACGTATACGACCTGATAACCACAACTGGAAAGGAATGGGTCCGGATGTTGGACGCCTACAGAGAGACGTTTGAGATCATGACGCGTTGGGTTAAGAGTACCCACGGAAATTGCTATCCTACAGGAGAAGATTTACAGGAAGCTTTGCAACGGACCCTTTTATTTGACACCCCTGCCCTCATCTCCCTTGTTGCCAACTGCGATGCCTTCAAACCATGGTTTCGAGCCGCAACAGCCAGTGATTTGGAGTTTGTCAGAATGGGTGTTGAAAATATCAACACCACTCAACCGAATCAGCCGTACTCCGTGGGTGAGGCGTTCTTGAAGGCATGCCTGGAAGCCCTGACACCTTCGCAATTGTTCTCCATGGTTTTAGAATCTATTCGGTGGTTTCAGCTGGTAGCCATTTTTCATTGCCACCACAAATGCTTTTTCCACACGAAGAAAGGGTATTTCGGCTTGGCACCAGACTCTCTGCCTACGCCGATCAGCCCTGGAGACGTGATCGCTGTGGTACAGGGCATGGAGATGCCGTTCTTGCTCCGGCCTGTCGACGGAGGATACAAACTTCTCTCCCATGTCTACGTCCACGGTATCATGTACGGAGAAGCTTGGCCAGACGACGCAAACGAGGTGGAGGACCTTGTATTGATTTGACACGAGACGAGTGATTGCCATGACGTCTAGGATGTATATCCGACGATTGTGCCTGCGGATCTCGAAGCAAGCTCGGAGCCTTCATTCGGAACACTTGAAACGCTGCCACTCCTGCGAGTCACAGTTCGCTTTCAAGATCCAGCGTCTTCTCTATATCACCGAAGGGGCCGGGGGGACAGACCACACGATCACAGGCGAGGGAGCCTGCACGGCACTATCTCCGAGTCTTTGCAAGCACAAGTGCATAGGGCAGCGGCTATTGCATATTGCATATGCCACGCTTGGAGACCACGTGTAAGGCGAACGTTGGAAGCCTTCAGGACCAGCTACGATACAGCCAAGGTGCAACTTACGACCTTGGAAGAGCGGCATATTTCGACAAAGTCGCCTCGTGACGAAGTCCTTTGGCCATGGAAGTATCATCGTATGCTGACTAGACTGACGAAGAAGCATACGCCGGGCAGGACCCGGTCTTCAAAAAGGGGGTCATCTGGGCGTTTATGCGTTGGAACGATCATTCCTCGGTCTCTTCCTTCCTTCCTGCAGTGCAAGTAATGTAGTCTATTTCTTTACGGAAGAAATTGCCTGGAAGAACAGGCTAGTGCTATCGAACATGAAAGAACGTCTCTAACCATCTGATTTGTGTCGGCGTCGTCCCATCTTGAAAGGTCACAACGCCGCATCTTGTCAATGTACCTATAGGCTGTAGGTCAGTCAACCGACCAACCGAGCCAGCTGCAGTACCGATAGTCGTCCGTCTTTCTCCCGTTGATCCCTCTATTTACTTACGGTGTCATGTTTTGCCGCATGCCGGTGATAGTGATCGTGATGATAGCTCCGCCGACTGCGCAATTCTTACTTAATCCACGCACCCCCCCTCGGCCGTCCACCCCTCGATCTCGACCCGTCCCAGCACTTCCTGCGTAGGTACCTCCTCGATCAGCGCGTCCCGCAGCCTCTGCACCTCCTCGGCCGTGAGCCCGCACCGATCCGTCAGGTAGGCATGGATCCCGCCGAACTCGCCGTCCAGCACGGTGCGGAGGAAGGCGCGCATATTGCCGGCGCGACTGCCGCAGATGCGGGCGGCCTCGTCGCGCGAGATGGCGGGTCGAGAAACATCGCCGTTCTGAGCCGGGGCCTTCCCACCGCCACCACCTAGACCGGTCTGGCTGATGCGCTCGATGAATTCTTTCCGCCACGCGCCCAACCCGGGCTCGGTGAGCGCGTACTCCCAGCAAATGGTCTCCTCGTCGACACCCACCAGCTTCATGACCAGCGCGCCGAAGACGCCCGTGCGGTCCTTGCCCGCCGTGCAGTGGAACACCAGCGGCTGGGGGGGTTGGGGCTGGCGGAGCAAATGGCGGAACATGACGCGGTAGGCGCCCGCGCCGTGCATGGCGATGTCGCGGTACGCGCGCACAAAGCCCTCGCTGTACGCAAAGTCGTGGGCCGGGTCGAACGACTGCTCGGCCGTGTACCATTGCAGCTTGCGCGCCAGCGCCACGGGCCCGTAGTCCTCGGTCTGGTACACGGGGACGAAGTGCCGCGTCAGGCCCGGGAGAGAGTCGAGGAGGCAGCCCGTGTGCGGGTCCGCGAGAGGGTAGACGGCCTTGCCGCTCGACGACACCGTCGCTGCCAGGCGCGAGATCTCCGGGGCGGACCGCAGGTCGTACATGTCGTGCACGTTTAGTGTCGTCGTGAGGTACGTCAGGCCCTGGGGCGTCAGGTGGGTCGGGTGCGCGCAGCGGTAGAGTAGATTCCTCTTCAGGACGTAGGTCTTGCCGTCTGCGGTAGCAGCACCAGCAGCACCAGCAGTAGCAGTGGCGGTGTCGGATGACGCATCACCACCACCTGTCACAACCGTTGTTGGGGGCAAGCATTGGTATCCGCCTAGGTCTCTGAAGTTGGGGACGCCGTCGACGTGCAAGAACGGCGGGGTGGGCAGGTTGTCCGGGAACGCAATGTTGAAATCCTTGGGCTCGGGCGTCGTTTCGCGCTCGGCCCGCGCCTGTTTCTCGAGCGATTCAATCTCTCGTTCCGTGAGCGGCATGCCGTTGGCGTCCGAGAGGCCGGCGTTCGGTGGCGGTTTGGTGTCCATGTAGGGTTGGTAGGGATGGTCTGGCTGTGCGGCGTTGTTGTCGGCGGGATCGATGGTGGTGGGATTTTTGGGGATCTGCGCCATCTGATGACTAGACTTCGTGACGCACGTCTGAGATGGTGGTTGGTGAGGAGCCGGGTCCTTTGATTCTGGATTAAGCCGGCTGCTATCGATCTGGATTCACGCCGGTGCGTTACTGGTCGAAATGCAGCAGTTTTCACGTCCGGTTCTTCTCTGATACGAGACGCTGCAGTGTTTAAGCCGGTTGTTTATGATAGGAGACGCAGCAGTGTCTGGCCAGGTTCCCTTCTGATAGTCTGCGGTATTGATACCCTTTTCCCCAGCCAAAGGCAAGCCAGGCGACCTTTGTGATTTCTGACCAACAGCCAGCGGGAACGTAATCAGGATTTGTCTGCAATGCTGCAGAGCACTTCTCGTCAGAAGGGGACGTGAGATATTGTTCCCGTCCAGAGAGCCTCGCAAATCCTTTTTGCCCTCTCAGATTAAATTCAGCCGTCGGTTTCCCCGTCGATCTACAAGGCTTCGGGATTTTCTGCAGATGCTTCCGATGCCGGCCGCCTATGTGTAGGATGGGGACAGGCTGGGACTTTAGCCGCGATCGACCAGATATTAGCAGAGGAATTCCCGCTATGGCTTAAAGCGTGAACCAAGAGGCCGGAGCAAACAGCATGTATGAAAAAGAGGGTTTCATTCACTCACTCACTCACTGTCCGTGAATGGGGATGATCTCGGATAGGTAGGTAGGTACTGTAGGTACTGTAGGTACTGTACGGAGTATATGGGGAAGATCAAACCATAGCGGGCGGTACTCGCGAAAACTAAACCGCAGACCTCGGCCTATGCATGGCCGCTATCGCTTTGCTTGTTACGGTTCCCGCTTTGCAATGGGCGACGTGGCATGCGGCATGTGTTGTTGTCAGTGGCTTTTGTGGCTTCGGCTGTTGTCCCGTTGGGATACGAGATACGACGCTGCTGTCACGTGCAATGGCGCCATAGTTCGGCGTGGAACAATGAGATATTCCGTCGTCACTGCCATCACCATACGCACCATCATCGTCTGCTCTTGTTCGCCAATCATCCACCCACGTCCTTGGTCTTGGACTACACGCGAGTCTCCGCTTCGGGTCGCGGGTACCTGGTGATACCACGTGGAAATTCCTCGGCAGGCATGTTCATGACGAAAGCTCACAGGATAGGGCACACGGATCGTGTCTGCGCTGGCAGAGGCGGTCAGGAGCATTTTCGCTCACATGATCACCATTGATATCAGCATTGAGCAGCTCACAGATCTCAAGTATGCAATCCGATCCAGCACGTAACCGCAGGAATCTTCGTGCCCCTTGGCCAGCGTGGCTGCGGCTCCTGTCAATGCTTTGATGTATTCATTGCGGCCGTTATGGAATTTGTGAACGCAGTCTACCACCCATTTTGGCCGTCCCAATGCAGAGAACCCCCTGATCTTTAGCACTCCTGATTCCTGCAAAGCCGAACCCAACTTGGACGGAATATATGGACTGTTCCTCCTGCGCTTCCGAGCACTTCGTAACGCAAGCAAGAGTCGATGACACATCCAGAGACAGAAAGGAAGAGACATCGCGCCTCTTGGCGAGTCACTCTCCAACGCCGTTGACGGGTCCATTCCCCATCAGTCATACCGCGACGTCCCGTCACCCATACTGAAACGATGCTGAGGCAACCGCTTGATTGGTGGGGGCAAATGGTCGTGCTTGGGCTGGACCTTCATTCGTGCTGCCACCATGTGGCAGTCTGTCTTGGCCACATCAATGGCATCCGCCGTCGAGTCGGCATCTTCTCGTGAGCAGCACTCGATGACTCTTACCCAGCGGTCGTTGAGGGCATCATTGATGGTACATCGCCTCTCTGGGTCCGGATGCAACATCTTCAGGATGCACCTCCGGATCGAGTCTGATGGCAAAGCGTTGAAAATTGGCCCGCATTGGGGATGGCAATTCTCATCGATTGGGGCATCTCCGAAGCGATCCAAGAATGCCCTCCACCCCTCCAGAAAGCGAGCATAGTTCGTCTCTTCCTTGCTCGCACTTTGCCATGGATTACCACTGAGAGTCATGGTCATGAAGAGAATACCACATCCCCACACATCCAGTTTGGTGGGATCGTACTCCCTGTCCCGCGACAGTACCTCTGGCGAGATGTACGGTCTCGAACCACAGATGCCGGGTGCAGATCTTCGCGGATTTCGCATGCCTTGTCCGCAACGCCCTCGCGAGCTTGCAACCCCGGGATGATCGCCACAAAAGACTTCCGAGACACCAAAGTCGGTGATTTTGATATAACCGTCGTCCGTCATCAACAGGTTCTCCAACTTGATGTCTCGATGCGCAATCCCGTGGATGTGCAAGTATTCGACTCCACGAAGGACTTGCTTGAAGAAACAATTCCGATCAGCAGCCTTCAAGTATTTTCGTTCCATCAGACTGAAAAGCTCCCCTTGCTGGCAGTACTCCATGACGTGGTTCCACCTGCCGTTGCTGGTACACAGCCGCACAGTCTGGACGATATTCGGGTGGTTGAGGGATTTTGCAATGGTATATTCCGATTTCACCTTACGGATATATTCCTCCTCGGTCTCTCTGGAGGATCTCTTGCGGAACTCCTTGACCGCATAGAGCGGCGTTCCTTCGGTTTTCTTGTCACCCTTCCTCTGCATGATCTTCACCGTCGAACTGGCACCCTTCCCGATCTCTTTCCTGCGACCAATCTTTGAAGCTGATACAAACTCCTCATCCAGCGAACAGACGCTGACAACGAAGTCATCTCGAGGATCCACGCTCAGGCGCCTGCTCTTCACGCCGGAGCCTTCTAGAGCGGGAGAAGAGAAAGGGGATGATTTGGCCAGCGGGCTGGAGGTGCTATCATAACTACTACTCCGACGCGCGTGCTCTATCGCCGGACTCGCATGTTTGGGCTCTTTGTGAGATCGTATCTTGGCTAAGAGGCTGAACCCACTAGAAGTGCGCGTTGGTAAGGGTGGCTCACTGGCCATCACCGACAATGTCCCTCCACGGACAAGATCGATTGAAGCGGGGACGGCGAGAAGATCGATCTGATGAATAAACTGAAGCCCGAGATGGAGCCAGCGTGAACAGCGCTGGAGGTCTGAGCGTGCGAAGACAGACAACTGAGGTAGGTCCTCCGACTTGCTGACACCTGAGAAGGTTTATCTTGAGTTGGAGTTCGGGGGAGGACTGGATCTCGTCCGATGTCGAATATTTGGTGTGGTGAGTTTAGATCCTTGTGGTGGGGCTTCCCGAACAAAAGTGACTCTGATATGCTCGAAGTGTGATCCCTGGTCTCAAGGACTCAAGCGGATATGCCACAAACGCACTATGAACGAATAGTGCCGACGATGGAGGCTGTATCACCGTCCCAAACTACGCAGGCTGTACCGGGACAATGGCGATTTCCCGTGGGTGAGAACCGACAGAGGGCGAAACGTTGTCTTTTCCACCAAGCGGGTCCAGATTCTTATTAAGGTTCTTGAAGATAAGCTTGTGCTCATTGAGTTCGGCGGTTCAACCGGCGAGCCCAACAATGGTCGGTCGACTGGATGTTGTTGTCTTGGGAGACTCAGAAGAGTCTCGGTCCGCGTGGCTGCCACTCGTCGTGTCAGTGGTTGGGGTTGAGGTCTCAGATCGGCTCTTCCTTTTCCGCGTCTGGTCCTGTTTTGGTTGCTCGATGGGTTTGATGTTGGTGTGCCGCGACGCTCGGACGAGTCGCGGCATCATACGGCGCACTCGCCTGGTGTTGATCCTGTTTATGAGGATGATATTGTGAAGGACAGGACCTAGGTACCGCGAGATTCGAACAGCCGGAATAGCAGAGGGCGGTAGATCGGAGTGAATGGAGTCTCGATGACGAGTTGGAGTAGTCTTCAAGCAGCTCTTTGCTACGAAATCGCTCGGAAGGCAAGTCAGGACTATACTCGGATCAGCAGTGGAGGCTTTAACAAGGCATTTAAGCTATTGAGAGAAGTGGTGGACAACAAGTGAGGCTCCGCATAATAGTAGTTAGAATAGACAAGCATCGAGGCTTCTCACATTGTTTTTCCACCGTTGGATCGAATGGCACGGAAGCTGTAAATGCACGATCGGCAGGTGCAGAGGAGACGAGTGCAGAAGCGTGGGGGATGATGCCACCCTGACAGCCGCGTGCCGGATTCGCAGAGCTGACAGAATGGGCTTGTCGATCACGACGGACTCGGCTATCGAGGAGGCGCTGACCGGAGGGTTACATGAAGATGTTCTCAGCCTGTTGTCAGTGTCCTGGTAGTGACACCCCGTACAGTGGGAAATAAATAATCACCTTGATCATTGTGAACACTCATCTCAAAGGTTCCTGCCCAAGGTGTCGAGGTCTTCCTCTCGTGCTCACCGGCGGTGCTTTACTGCTTCCGCCCTCAGCTCGCTTCGGTCAAGGCTACTGCAGCCTTCGAACTTGTACATTGCAGCATGCACTCCACGCTGGTTGTAATCCGAAAGGTGTTGCCCTCTTTGGGGTCGCTGCGAGAGGTCACCCCCGCGCACTAGGCTGGGAAGGTAAGAGCACAATCATCCCCCTCACTTTCCGCTGAGTGCCGCTTCATTATTGCCTGAGTGAAGCACCGGTCAATTACCTCTTCGTGAATCTCGCTTTGGAGTCATAGGCGTCTGATTCCTTGGAAGATCGTTGCCTGGGTTCGCGCTGGAACCTGACCTCGCACTCATTCCCGCCTCGTTAGGCCATGCTTCGCAGACGAGTTGTCACGCCCCTTCCTTCATCATGTGTCTAATGTCTCTCAGACGAAATTCCGGGCTAGGCCTGGGTACACGGTGCGCGATTTAATTCACCGTGCAGCCCCTGGCAGTGGTCAGACTGAAAGGACCGGTGTGAAGAGTGATGTCGTGGTGCAGCTCGCAGGTGAGACAGCAGACCTTGGATATCGAATCAAGCCTTTCTGTCGTGCGACTGGCAGGCTGGAAGCGTTTTGCGGAGGAGGGGCACCGCGCTTCTAGAATACAGTGGCACCCCGCCACCAAAACAGTTTGACTGGCAGTCGGCCACCATCCATCTATCTCACTTGGGCGTAACTCGCTGGGCTACATGCACCCCACGCTGGTGGCATCTAGCTGATAGCTTGTAGCCCGCGAGCCCAGTAGGCGTCTCTTTCCGGGCTTCCGTCCATACATTGTACCACCAAATCAGGAATGAATTGGGAGGCGGCACACGGTCAGAAGGCCCGTCAGGTACCGGGGAATGGGACGTTGGTCCAGCGTTGGGCTGCGGCAGGAAAGGTTCGGGCCTCTGTATATCTGCCCATGCTACCCAGTCAGTACGCCCGTCCATGCTCACCACTGGAAAAATGCAGCATGCATGCATGCTCCAGCGCAACAGAAAAAGGAAAAAAGGCATCTCATCATGTGCCTCTCGCATTCACCGCTAATTAGAAGAATGTACTCTGCTGCACAAGTATCCATCGCTGACAAGCAATTGAGCCACTGACCTTCTGGCTTAACATGACCGCACTGTCTCTCCACCAAAGCCACGAAGCCCAAATAGCTGGTCTCACCTGACTGCTTTCTGCTGAAGCCTCACTCTGCGTTCGACCCATGCCTGCATGAGACCGCCTTGTTGACACGTCTTCCGTCTTCCCCGGCTGCCTCTGAGTGTCTCGTTCTTGCGCCTCTTACTCGCCGTGGCCATTTAGGTCCTCTCCCATTCCAACAGATTGCTCACGCTGCATACGGGCTTCGATCTCTCTGAGCTGGCTCTCGCGTGCCAGTAGCTCTTGTCGCTTCTCGTTGATTTCACGTTGCACTCTGCGGGCGCGCATTAGCCGATGCCCATATCGACGGAAAAATCACGATGGGGGCTCAAAGATCGTCGTCTTTCAGAGAGGGGGGGGGGGTGTGTTACTCACTTCACTTCGATCTCCCTCAATTTTTCCTCTTCGCGTCGCAGCTGTTCTTCCTTGAGGCGGACTGATTGGTTGGCGAGGTCCTCAGGGTTGATGGACGAGTCTTGGGCGCTGTGGCACAAAGCGTTAGTCAAGCTGCAGAAGAAGCAACGAGCTGTGGGGTACACACGAGACGCCCCCTTCCACACTCTTGCTGAGTTTCTCTGTTCGGTAGTTCTCGTAGAGAAAGTCGTGAGTGATTTCTTTGAGGTCGGCAAGATGCGAGTGCAGGAGGGCGCTACGAATAGCCAGGAAATCCGAGTGACGAGGGTTGTCGACTTCAACGATACCCCACGGATACTGTCGTGCACGAACCCGGCGCCCGCCAATCTCGATAATGTCCTCTGAACCCACAATGGCGAAAGGCATCAAGCCACGTAGTTCTGCATTCTCCTCAACGGTATCTTCATCATCTTCTTCAATGTCGTAGGGGAAGTTGTAGACTGGGATTCGGTAGTGCTCGATGTCTTCCATGACCAATTTCTTCGACTCAGCCAATTCGGCAGGGGTCAGCGAATCGGCCTTGCCAATGACTGGGATGACGTTGACACGTGGGGAGAGACGCTTCATCAACTCTATGTCAAGCTCGCGCAGACCGTGACCGGTTGGAGTGATGAAGTAGAGCAGAGCGTGGATCCGATTGTCACGGAATCGAGGGTTTCTCTTGATACGAGACTCCTCGGCCAGGATATCGTCGTACTGTCTCTCGAGATGGCCAACAATTTCGCCAAAGGCCGATTCGTTGTCAATCTGGTCGCCGAAGCCGGGAGTGTCGACGATGGTCAAAGACACACGGGTGCCCTCCTCATCCAATTCCAGCTCTGTATGTGGCTGTCAGATTACAGATGTCTCTTGTGTATGTAGCTATTTCTGGCACGTACCAACAGTTACTGGCTTGATTCTGACGCCTTCCTCGAGGTGGGCATTCGCTGCGTCGTCTGCGTCTTTGGGCTGGAGGACTCGCCTTCCACAGAGTGTGTTGACAAAGGTGGTTCGGCCTTGTCGCGCGGGTCAGTACAGGGTCAAACGAAACTGAGTTCAGAAGCACGTACCGGTTCCACTTGCGCCGCAGACCATGAGACAGAACTGAATGCCCTTCTTGACATTCTTCTTCCGCCGCACCTTCAGTTGCGCAACACGCATACAGTTAGTTGAGTTCATGATCAAAAGAGGTGTCGTTGGTCGGGTTGGTCAGGGGTCAGGGTGAGGACAAGGACATACCGCATTCATGGGCGACGACATGTTGACGAACGACTAAGCGATTAAGCTGGGCGCTGGCACAAAAGACGACGCTGCAAGACGATGTAGTTGACACGGCTGAGCGACTAATCGGAGGCGTAGAAGAGAAGGAGCAAAGAGACACGCACGGCGCTGAGGGTGAAGCGAAGGACGACGAGGTGAAGCTGCACTTTTCAAAAATTAAGGGGAAACACGACGAGATCGACACGCCAATGGGCAATCCCGGGGTCGCGCTTTCCCTGTTTGAGGCACCAACAGCGTCTTCAGCCTCGTCTTGGAAGACTGCGGGCTGCTCCCACCTTCTGGGACTAGGGTGATGCCGCCCTGACTGTACGCCAGTGTGTACCGGGTACTACTGCTCGACCCTACCTCGGCCGTAAGAGGATTGTGGGGTAAGCTACAGCGGATCATGTCGACCCCATGATCTCTATGAATCTACACAGTAACTTTGCTAATCTCGACTTGGGGTGTCAAACTCATTAAGCTCGAGGCGTTGGTCATGCTTGCTTGTGATACCGAGGCTCATCAAGTCCTCCTAGACTTCATTTCCCATGGCCCGATCAACATTGAACGATGAGTATAGACCGGCTGTCTTCGAGAAGAGCTAAGAAGAGCTGCGAGCAGTGCTATCATCGGAAAGTGCGCTGCCATGGGAGATCCCCAGGCTGCGAACCTTGTCAACGGCTCGGTTTCGCATGCAGTCTTGTCCAGGGAGCGTCTGATGATAGCCAAAGCCCTTGTCCCACTATAACGCCAAACCAACCTCGAAAACTTCGCGCCGGAAACGCGTGTTTGCAATGCCGCAAACAGAAAAGTCGTTGCAATCAGGGCGTACCTCACTGTGCGAATTGCGTCAAGAAGAAATGGCCTTGTGCTTACGCTTCTCCATATCAGCCTGGGGAGTCAACGCTTCAAGAGCATGATAGACCCTTGAGTCTGCACCCCGAAAGCGTCGCAATGTCGCCAGAACCAGCTGCCCACGGACTTGACAATGGACCTACGGAACTCGAATTGAACGTCTCCCAGAGTCCAAATTACACTCTCACTGCGCATGCTCCCCTCTTTGGACCTGATAAATCGACGAGCAGCCTTGTGGACGAATTCTTCCGTGTTCTTTACCCCGTACCCTCCTTTTCCTTCCTCCACCCACGAACCACTAGAGAGCGCCTGGCCGAAGGCTCTCTGGACGAGGCACTGGTCTTTGCAATATGTGGCGCCACTACCTCCCTGCGATACACGGAGCCAGAGAGCCGAGACCGGAGCCTCTCCTGGATCTCTAGAAGTGAGGAACTGGTGTGGCAGCAGCTCGAAAGGCCAAGCATGGCACGACTTCAAGCCTTAATTCTCTGCATTGCATATCGCACCGCCACTGGCGCTTCGCACAGAGCGTTCATGCTCGCAGGCCTTGCCGCCAGAGCCGCCGCCGCGATGAGGCTCAATCATGAGAGACATGATCTAGACCCGATCAGCAACGAGGTACGACGGCGCACGCTGTGGTCGCTGAAAATTCTGGAGCTGTATTTCTCCATTGGACTACCGGAGTACGAACTCCTACCCCTTGAGAATGTCTACCTACAACTTCCGAGCCGCGAAGAGAATTTTCAGGACAAGGCACCCGCTGTACAGATGGAAGGCGGTTCCTACAAGCTCTTTGTCAGACTGACTTCGATACGGAGAGACATCATGAAATTGACTCGCTCCATCGCTCTCTGCGACGAGCCATTTCCTCAGCTTCTCAAGTTGGTTCGCAGCCTACATAATGAGCTAAGCCAACTCCGCAGTCAAATGCCGGTGGATCCAACCTCGGCAAGCACAGGTGTATTGAGGTGTGTCTCAACCCCATGGCTGGCGAGGCATTTGGTGATGCACCTATCATGGCACCAATGTCGCTGCGACCTCTATCGCTTACTGCTCAAGGGCTATCCCGAGGCCGCTCCGCCAATAGTCCTCGCCGACCTTGACCCGGATGCCATGAGTGATGCGGTCCAGATGTGCTCAGAAAGTGCTCTGTCGATGATCCAAACGCTGTCGGATGTTAACTTACATAGCACAGACACTCCCATCCTGGAATATGACACGGCAATCTGTGGCTATCACGCCTGCCGGCTTGTGTTGTTCCTTGCACATGCACAACCTGGTTGTGCCCGATTTTCGAAGGAGTATGCCATTAGTCGAGCAGAGTTGTGTTTGGCCGCCATCAAGCGGTTTTTCCGGCACTCGACCCCTGCCGGTCCGATTTTGAAAGACCTCGAAAATCTGATATCCAAGTGCGACACTTCTCCGGCCGAGTGGACTCATCTCACCTTGAGATCTTCACCTAGTGAGCAAAGCCGAGATCCGCTGCTATCGGAGGTGGCACGAGCAAAACAACGTCTGGCAATACACAGTCTACTACGACAAGCAGATTTTGAGGATGGAGAACCCTCGGCTGTGGTTTCTCCGTCCAGTGTCAGTACCGAGATCCCCTCGGTACGACATCGTAATATGTACAAGGTTCTATCGCTGGAACAAGGTCGGGCCATACGAGCTGACTCGTCCTTGGGCTATGTGCCACAACCTGATGCGCAGGTGCAACAAACCGCTGGATATGAAGATGTGCCTGCATTCTCCTCACAGACACTCTTGTTCCCTTGGTGTGGATAGGAGGACCTTGACGAGTGAAAGGCATGCCCGAAGCAAGTCCACAGCTGCTTCAAAATTTTTGAAAGGCCCGGATTAAGCTGTTCTGTGAATTGACATACAAGCCCTTTCTCGACTCTCCGCATCTGCTTCGCGTAATGCACTGGGGGGTTCGGGGATGGCCGAGGCTCGAAATTCCCGGGTCATCTGTCAATCTTTGCATTCTTCGGTTCTGTACGCCGGCTTACAGCCATTCGGAAGCCAACCGCCGGCAGGGGCCCTATTTCCGCTTGTACTGTGGCGGAAATCTCGCCTCTCGATGCAGGCCACGGATGTCGGTCGACAAGTGGAACAGCTATCAGGATGTCGGTTGACATGCTGACCAGCTGTCAGGATGTCGGTCGACAAATCCCCGAGGGGAATGTCCACCCATCAGTTGACCACCCCTCCTCTCCACGTTTAGTGCTGAATCCTCTCCACGTTTAGTGCTGAATCCTCTCCACGTTTAGTGCCGAACGCCCTCCAGATTATTGAAGCCATGTGGTAGGGAGATTGCCACAGATTTGGATTCGTCGGACGTGAGAACGGTCGGACTTGTCAAGGTTACTTATTTCGACGACCCTGCTGCGCTGGGCGGTCTGTCTGGTTGTCTATTCTAAGACCGTCTCGAAGATCGCAGGCTCACCAGCTATCACGCTTTCATCATGTCTTCTCGACTTGGTACTTTCAGGGCCTTCTTCCTCGTGGGAGTCTGCTGTGTCGGCTCGTTTCTTTTCGCTTACGACACCGGTATCATTGGCGGCGTCCTCACCCTGAAGTCTTTCCAGAATGACTTTCGATATAGCGACAAGCAGAAGACCTCTGTGGCCTCGAACTCGAACAGCCTTCTTCAAGCTGGAGGTGCGAGTTTTACGGGACACCGTAGGAATTTGCTGACAGGCCGCCAGCGTTCTTCGCCTGTTTCTTCACATGGCCATTTACCGCACGATTCGGGCGACGTTGGTCAATCGCACTAGCCTCTGCCATTTTCTGGTATGTCTCCTTGAAATCCTACTTGATGATCTTTCCTCGTGGCAAGATCTTCAACCATCTATTTTTGTGCAGGCTGCTTGGACTTAATATAACTAATCTTTTGTGACCATAGCGTGGGTGCCGTCGTTCAAACCATCAACACGCATCACATTGGAGCTTTCTACGCCGCCCGAGTTGTGTCAGGTATTGGTGTGGGCATGGCTACAGTCATGATCCCAATGTTCAGCGCCGAAATGGCTCCCAAGAAAACACGTGGTCAGCTCGGCAGCATGTTTCAGTTCTTCTTCACACTCGGAGTCATGACTAGCTACTGGGTCAACTACGCTGTGTCTACGAAGTTGCCCTCTGAGACTCGTCAGTGGCAAATACCGGTCGGGCTACAACTTGTCCCTGGTGGCATTCTTGGCTTGGGCATGCTCATTCTCCCCGAGAGTACTCGGTGGCTTGCTAAGCGCGGCCAACACGAGGCTGCAATGAAATCGCTCATCTGGGTTCGCGGCGGCGAGAGCGAGGAGGTCCGCGCTGAGTATGGGATCCCCCTTTTTCCCTCCGAGCCGGCACTGATGGTGTTCAGGATGACAGAGATACTCGCTGGAATCGATGCCGAGGTTCAGGCCACAGAAGGACTTACCTGGCGAGAGATGCTGCTGCCAGCGAACCGATGGCGTGTCTTCGTGGTCGTGACACTGCAAATTGGCGTTCAACTGACTGGCAATACTTCCCTCGCTTACTACGCCCCACAGGTGTTCCAGACAGTTGGCGCCGGCGACTCCAAACTGCTCATCAGCGGTTTCTTCGGCGTCATCAAAGTGGTGTCCTGCTTCATTTTCCTTGTGTTCTTGGTCGAAAGGATCGGGAGAAAGAAGGCCTTGATGGGAGGCGCGTTTGCCATGGGGTCGTTGATGCTAATCGTGGCATGCCTTACCGCCACCCATCCGCCCAGCAAGGACGCGACCAGCGTGTCGCCTGCAGGTGCGGCTTCTATCACTATGATTTATCTGGAAGCAGGTATGGAGCCTCAGGAGTTCTGTCGATTCGCAAGCTAATCCGGCTCCAGCTGCCTACAACATGTCGTTCGGTCCGGTCTCGTGGCTGTACACGGGCGAGATCTTCTCCAACCGGACTCGAGAAATAGGCATCGCCATCGGTACCGCCACGCAGTGGCTCTTCAACTTTGTCTTTTCTCAGGCCACTCCACACGCCGTCGACAACCTCGGCTGGAGAACCTTCCTGATGTTCGCCATCTTCAACGCGGCACTGGTAGTCTACGCGTGGTTGGTTATCAAAGAGGTAAGAAACATGCGCTCGTTCAACATCACAAAACATTGGGCTGACAAGTTTTTAGACGACTGGGAAATCTCTCGAGGATATGGAGGCTCTCTTCGGCTCGAACAAGACACAAATTGGTGCTGCCAATATCGAAGCTGCCGAGCACGAGCTCGAGCTTGCCAAGAAGGACCTAGCTTCGAGTCACGTCGAAGCGAAAGCATGACCGCCTGTCGTGAGCCTGAGCAGGAACATTTAGTCGGAGCCCGGCCCATCTGGAGAAGCCGCCACCGTGGTTCGGGCATTGAAAGCTTTTTTGAGGTGGAGGAAGAGCCTCGCGAGAGGCAACCGTGTTCCGGGGAAGGGAGGTCGCTGACGGCTGCACGTCATGTCAATGTCATGTCCATGCTGGGTGAAACCCATCAGCTTCATGCGATGGTTCCGTCCCCGTTCATGTTGAAGATTAGCATACTGCCTTCTTGAGTCTGGGCGTCAAACCGCGCGTAATGGATTGAACCGACATCGTCAAGGCTAGGTCCTGGTTAGCGAAGAGAAATTCATGTGGATACAAAAACAACCTTCCACAGACTGTCCTTCGCCTAGATACATGGAACTAAGCTTCGGAGACGTCGTCCACGACGACCACTCGACCCAGCCGACTATCCCGACCCGTGTGAATGACGAGACTTTGGCGAGAATGGCGACCACTGACTAGCACCGGCCGACATCCGTAGCCCTCCATTGCATCCCACACTGACATGGCGAGGCCCCGCAACCCCGGACTGTAGCTTCGTCATGTTCTCGGGCACCTATGACAGGTTTCTCCTGGCGAATACCTCGGACCTCTTTGCAAAGATGTGCGAATTCGGGACCCTGGGTCGAAAGGCCACAGATATAAAGCCCAGGATGGAAAGGGTTCTGTCGCTCAGCAAAAGACCACGACGCTGTTGAAGAACATGGCTGGTGTCTTGCTCTGTTTGCTCGCTCTCGACATCTCGACGGCCTCTTCCGCTGTGCTGTTGCCGCGGCAGGGAGATTCGACATGGCAGGACACAGGGCTCCCGGCTGCGCAGCGAGCTGATGCCCTGTTGCCTCAACTGAGTTGGGAGGAGAAGATTGCGCAAATGGGCGGCATTCGACGATTACTCGGGGCCAATGCCACATTCAACCGTACAGCGTGGGACGCCTTGTATCCCTTGCAACATGGGATTCTGAGCTACGGCTCGCAGCTCAACCAGGCTCAAGATGTTCTGCCGTACGCCAACATGGTTCGGGAGGAACAGTTGAACAGTTCTCAGGTGCCGTGGATCACGGTGACAGACTCTGTCAACAGCATCTATGTGCCTGGAGGTACTCTCTTCCCCGCGACGCTGTCCCTGTCGACATCCTGGAACCTCCCTCTGTACGAAGAAGTCGTGGCCGCCATCCGGGACGAGAACATGGCACTTGGAACGCACTGGGTTCTGAGCCCAGAGCTCGACATCGCGAAGGAACCCAGAAACGGCCGTGTTGGGGAGATGTAAGTCGAATGTACAACCCCTTGTATTAAGACACCTTGACTAAACTCGATATAGGTATGGCGAAGATGTCTATCTAGTCGGCGAGTTCGCCGCTCAATACGTCAAAACCATGCAGGAACGTGATGAGGGTGGTCGCATGAAGGTGGCGACGACCGTCAAGCACTTCCTGTACGGACAAGGCTTGGGCGGCGTGAACACGGCCAGCATGGACGGTGGCGTCAATCACCTATACAACGATCTGGCCATTCCTTATATCAGGGCCCTCAAAGAGAATCCGGCCTCAATCATGATCTCTTATTCCTCTATCGACCGAATCCCCATGTCGATGAACACGGCTCTCATCCAGAACATGCTGCGAACAGAGATGGGCTTCACCGGTCTGGTCATGTCGGATGCTATGGGGATTTTGCATCTGTACACCGAATCCAAGGTGGCCTCGTCGTACAAGGATGCCGCCATCAAAGCACTGCGGGCCGGGCTACAGCTCGAGCTTGCTCCCGGTCAGCCGGCCTGCTTCCCATATCTGGTCAACAGCTCGGATGATCAAGAGATCGTGGATCTAGTGAATGAAGCGGCCCGCCAGAACTTGATCATCAAGTTCGACACTGGCATGTTTGATCTTCCTCTGCCGACTATGGAGAACCTCGACCGAACCCTGCGTGCACCTCAACACTTGGACGTCAACCGTCGAGCTTCACGAGAGGCCATTGTGTTGCTGAGCAATGACGGCTTCCTTCCGCAGGCAAATCTCTCACAGGTTGCGCTGATCGGCCCCTTTGGTGATATCCTTGACCCGGGCTCCTACGCTCCAACGACCAGTGCGAACCCAGAGTACGGACGTACTCTAAAAGGCAGCTTGGAAGCCCGCATGGGCGCTGAGAGCGTCCGTTACGTCAAAGGCGTTGGCATCCGGACCACGAGCCCGAATGACACGGCTGGTATACAAGAGGCAGTCGCCGCCGCCAGGGCTGCCGGTGTTGCCATCGTGTCTCTAGGCTCTTTGTCTGTCTATTCTCAAGACGCAGCCGTGAACGAGCGAACAGACGGAGAATTCTACAGCCATGCCAGCCTGGCTTTCCCGGGCAGCCAGCAACAGCTGCTGGACGCGGTGCTCGACACTGGCGTCCCGACAGTTCTTGTGCTGAATGGTGGTCAAGCCTTTGTTTTGAACAATTCAACCATGCGCTCCAGTGCTATTCTTCACCAGTTCCTCGGGGGCGAGTTCTCCAGCGATGCTCTGGTCGAGATCATCACTGGCCAGGTCAACCCCAGTGGCAAGCTCACCATCAGCATGCCACAAGCGGACGGTGCCTTTCCGATATACTACGATTTCCTGCTGTCGGACAACGTGGGCGGTGGGACAGCCAACCCTGCCGACCCGAGTGTATGTGCGGGCGATTGGAACCTTCCCTGTCTCAACCGAGACGGCGCTCCCATGGCATTCGGCTACGGTCTCAGCTACACCACATTTGACCTCTCGGCACCTGAGATCTTGTCGAACTCAAGCGGTGTGTCCATCTCCTGCACCGTCACCAACACCGGCAATATGGCTGGCAAGGAAGTGGTCCAAGTCTATTTCCGGCAGCAGTTCTCGGACATTGAACTTCCCAACAAGAGGCTGATCCACTTCCAGAAGGTGGAACTGCAGCCCGGCGAGGCGCACCAGGTGGAATTCGCCATCGAAAAGGCCGATTTGGGCTACTACAACAATGCGAAGTATCAGGTGGACTCGGGCAATTACACCTTCTGGGTGGGATCAAGCTCTAGGATGTCCGACTTGAAAAACGCCACGATCAGTCTGTAAAGTCAGACATCGTGGGTAGGAGACGGGCGGGTATCAACCATGATAGCATGGCCACGGAAACCGTGGGTGCAGTCAGGACGTGGCCTGTACATAATTACAGCAGATACGTACATACCAACTCGAAAGAATGCTATAAGCGGCTTCTCAAAAAGGATTTCCTTCTACACATCCATACATTGTGGCTAATTACCCTGTGATAACCCCTACCCCAGATTCCGATGTTGTCTTCATGCCGTGAACATTAGCGTGGCCGTGAGGACAAGCAACACCAAGCCAAGTCTCGCCTGCCCTTACGGAGTATGCACCCGATCCTTACGGCAAGGCAAGGTTGTCGACCGACATCCGCCGCTTGTCAAGAACCAGCCACCGAAAGCTTGAGGCCTAAGCACACATTCCCGCTTTTGTCGACCGACATCCGTAGCGCTGACAGACAGTCAAGGTCCATTCCCACAGGTAGCGCCGACACGCCCAACGCCGACCAGCTCTGCGGGAGCATCGGCCCATGTTGCGTCCAGAACAGTCGTCTGCTGTGTGCTCAGGACTGTATCATCCGGCTTCTAGAAGGGTAAACATAATCGGGGACGACAGGGGACGGCGAATCATCTCAGGACATGGCGAACCCGGAGCCGCCACCCGTATCTCTGCGGTGAAGTTGAAGTAATTAGGATTAGGAAAGCCTGTCGGTCTCATCAGGCATCTCTCTTACGTTCGGACTGAGAATTCTGGTCCTTCTCGTCTTCGATATACATACATCCTTCTCTCGTTCATCTCTTACCCTGGGCATTTTCCCGTTGAGTGTAGAAGGATATTCCTGGTGGTCACGTTGCTCGACCTAACAAAGCATTGTGGTGAAAATCAGTCGTGAAGCCGTCGCGTGTGCCTACCACGAGAAAGCATCGCATCGACGTGTGGGAACTGAACCATGGCGAAGCCAAAGCGACCCAACATCCTGTTCATCATGGCCGACGACCACGCGTCGAAAGCCATTTCCGCGTACGGAGCAAACATCAACCACACGCCGCATCTGGATCGACTGGCCAAGGAAGGCATGCTGCTGAATCACTGCTACGTGACCAACTCGATATGCACGCCTTCCCGGGCGGCCATCTTGACGGGCACGTACAACCACGTCAACGGCGTGGTGACGCTGGAGAGTAAGATCAACAAGAACCTCCCCAACGTGGCGAAACACCTGCGCACCGCGGGCTACGACACGGCCATGATCGGCAAGTGGCATCTCGGTGAGGGCGACACGTGCCGGCCGAGCGGGTTTGATCACTGGAGCGTCTTGCCCGGCCAGGGCGACTACTGGGATCCGACCTTCATCGACATGGACGGCCACGAGCGCGTGACCGAGGGCTATGCCACCGATGTCATTACCGACAAGTCGCTGGCCTGGCTGGCCGAGAGACCGAGAGACAAGCCCTGGTTCCTCATGTGCCACCACAAGGCACCGCATCGGAGCTGGGAATGCCATGACAAGCACAAGCACCTGTACAAGGACGAGATCAGGGTCCCCGACACGTTCTCGGACGACTACAAGAACCGTGCCAGGGCGGCCAAGGTCGCAAAGATGCGCGTCGCCGATGATTTGACGTACAAGGATCTCGGCCTCGTGCAAGCCGACGGCGGGAGGAGGAAGCTCGGCGAGATGATGTGGGACGGGGCTCGCAAGATCCCGAACAACGCCCAGGGCTTGCGCCTGATCGACGCGGACGACGGCACGGTCTTTACGTTTTCCAACGACAAGGACCTGGGCGAGTTCAAGTTCCAGCGCTACATGCAGCGGTATTTGCGGACGATTCAGAGCATAGACGACAACGTGGGAAGGCTGCTCGACTGGCTCGACGAGACCGGCCAGGCAGAAGACACGCTCGTCATCTACACCTCGGATCAGGGCTTCTTTCTCGGCGAGCACGGCTGGTTCGACAAGCGCTTCATGTATGAGGAGAGCTTCCAGATGCCCTTCATGTGCCGGTATCCCCGCGAGATCATGCCCGGCAGCGTCAACAATGATCTGGTCAACAATGTCGACTTTGCGCCGTTGTTCTTGGACTATGCCGCGGCCAGAAAGCCCAACTACATGCAAGGCCAGAGTTTCCGGAGATTATTAAGGGGCGAGGCGATTGAGGATTGGAAGCAAGTCGCCTATCACCGGTACTGGATGCACAACGACATCATCCACGAAGCCTATGCGCACTACGGCGTGCGAGACCAGAGATACAAGCTCATCTACTGGTACTGCGAGCACATGGGTGTCGAAGGCGCACGGCCGGGTGGAGAGGAGTATAAAGAATGGGAGCTGTTCGATTGCCAGGAAGATCCATTGGAGCTGTTCAACATCTACAGCGACCCGAAGTACCAGGACATTGTGGCGCGGATGACCGGGCTGCTGGAGGACAAGATGGAGGAGATTGGAGATGAGCCTGTCCACATCTTGAGCAGCCGACAGCCCTTGCCTCTTCCGAGACTATGACGGTCGTGTGGGCGAAGGGGTGGATTTAGATTCGACCTGGAGGTGCTGGGTAGCGTGCTTAGAGGTCTCTCCAGTAGAACCAGACATTAAGTGTAGAGGGACAAGAGATATAATACTCTCCCAGACCCTGTCTCGTGAAGGATCCAAGAACATTGATCGCCGGTTCACCTGTGGTCGTCTCGAGAACTCGATTTCTTACGTATTGTTGAGCGCGTGAGAAGAAAGGTGAGCAGAGGTATGAGAAGAGTGAGAGGAGGGTGAAGCACACGGTGTACAGGTCGCGATGGGTTTCTTAAAAGCGGCACATTCCTGGTGAGCCGCACGTGATGCTTCCCGCCTCTTGCTTTCTGTTTACTGCGAATCGTCGAGAGCTCAGGCGACTTTGGTTGGAGTGTTGCTGATTTGAATTCGATGCGATCATTTTGATGCCCTCTGCTGGTGCTGCGGTACAGTAGTCGTGGAATCTTCTGTCACAGGTCCTGAATTCAAGGCAGGTACCTACCCATTAGGTAGGTCACTGGGTTTCATATTGACCTTGTTCCTCATTCGCAGCCTGTTGACCGTCGCACCATGTCGCATTCCAATCGACGCTCCGGACATTCACGACGGCAGCAGTCTGTCGACTTTCCCCGCTACCCTCCCATGTCACAGTCACAGTCGCAGTCACAGTCGCAGCAGCCAGTATACGCACCCGCGTCCGCAGCTGAAGCCACCACACCTCCGCTTGCACCGGTCCCTCCAGTCGCTCCGATGCCTGCTCCGATGCCTGTCGTGGTCTCAGACTACGAATCGGACAATCAAGGCTATCAATCAGACTATCCTACCAAGCCGCCCCCGCCCGGTCGTACCAACGAGGAGCTGAACCTCGCTGTCCTCAAAAGACACAACCCGCAGATAAAGTCCATCCTCTCGATAGCTCCGTATGCGGTGGTCTATGAGTTTTCTCCGTTGCCACAGCCGGAATGGACCAAAACGGGTGTCGAGGGCTCGCTGTTCATTTGCGAGCTCACGCCCGGACCATACGGCGAAGACAGGTACTCAACAATCGTACTGAACCGACGGGGACTGGACAACTTCGAGGCCGAACTGAGGGAAGGTGAAAATGCCGGGGTTGAGATAACAGGTGAATATGTCATCATCAGTTTCAAAGAAGGCCATGAACAGAAGATCTATGGTGTCTACATATTCCATGATGGCCCCGGAACCTCGACCGAAAATGCCATGCAGTTGAATGGCGAGCTCATGAAGTCTCTCGCCGACCATGCCGGCGCCAGCCGTCAAGCTGCTGAGGCCGCTGCATCTGCGGCCACCGCCAAACATACAAATGGGCACATTCAGCAAGCAGGGGAGACGTTGAACAATTATCAGGCGAATGCACCTAGCGCGGGCCAACAGATCACTCTACAACAGCTCTTCGGTCAGCAAAGGGCGAATGACGCCGCTTTCAGCGTGAGAGGGCATGAATACGACGGTCATATTCAACAGCCTCCGCAGTCAATGATCAACCAGCAACAGCCTGATATTCTCGGCGACCTCTTTAGGAGAGCGGGTCTTGGGACGCGATAGGACGCAGCTGTGTGATTTTGCCGCTTGCTGGCTGCGTGAGATGAGAATCAAGCTTCGTCAGTCCACAGTTCTTCCAACCACTGACGAACCCCTTTCGCCACGATCTCGCTCTGGTCCAAACACCACGCGTGCAGCAGTCCCTCTGACTCCAGGACACGGATTGTTAGATTGTCCTTTGGACGAGAGGTCTCTTTTGTGCCGTTGACCTGGACCGCCATCTCGTCAGCCTCGGCTGTCTCTGCAGATCCAGCAACATGGCGTCGTCGTACAACAGTCCCTGGAGCTTGACTCCCGATGATAGCCTCCCTCGTGGTCTCTGCAACCCAGTGGTCATCCTTGGTGAACCAGAAGAAGAGGTTCGGACTTGGGCACAGTTCCTCTTCAGCAGCAACCACCGGAGTCGCAACATGACTCGCTCCCCAAACTTCCTTCCCCCACCTATTCTGTCGAATCTCTTTCATCTCCCAGCTTGCCATGTGCAAAGCTTGCTCGACACCTCTCTCACTCCTCAGGAAGGCCAACGTCGCTTCAAGCCCATGGCTACCCGGCTGCATGCCCGTTAATCTTGAGACGAGCGAGGCAAACCATGATGCAGGAACCAGCCGCAAGAGGACGGAATGAACCAGGATTTGAGCTAAATTCGGCAGGAACGGAAGGTTCGTGAGAAGGGGCGTGGCTATCAGCCCAGAGGGCGAGAGATGTATATCTTGGATCGTGGGCGTGAGAAGTATACAAGCCGAAGGTGACCAGGGTGGTGCTGATGCTGACCTCGAGCTGAGCATCGGTTTGGCCGGAGCATTGGAGCTTGTCTGAAGATCTTGTCCTGCTGTATGCCGAAGAGGCATGCCGTCCCGTGGATGCCGTTCATGCCATAATCTGACCAACTCTAGGCAGATATAAGCTCCAACACTATGACCCATTAATACTACCTCCACAGGGTCACCGTCCTGATTCTGCTGCATTCTCCCAGGCTCACCGTCCTGCTCCTGCTCCTGCCGCATTCTCATTCTGTCCACCAAATCCTCCACCCTCGCGTAGCTGAGCTCGACCTGGTCGCGCAACGTAAAAAACTTTACATTGCCACGCTTGAACGTCGGAGGATAGAGTAACCTTTGTTCTTCCGAGTCGTGTCCGTTCGCGTGTGAGACGGGGTCTGAATCTGGACCTGACTCTGAATATGAACTCGCTGCACCTCCTGGTCCTCGCTTCTTCATGCCCGTCCTCTTCCCTTCTCCGTCAGAGTCAGAGTCAGAGGTACCATGCGTCCCAATCCCATTCCCATGCGTACTAGGCGTCGTCCTCTGCACGTCGAACCCACCAAGACTCATCCCCACGAGCACAACGACGTCCGTCCAGCCCATCTGCTCGAGGTCCCGCACGACAAGCGACAAGAACGCACGATAGTACGCCACTAGGCCCGGGTTGCCCGTTATGAAGAACACGAGCTTGCGCGTGAGCTTGAGCCTCGCCTTGGACTTGGATCTTGCCTTGGACCTGGATCTTCCCGCGGTGGTGCACACCTTGACTTCACCTTCGGTCTCCGCGGGACTTGATATCCGCCTCACGTTCCGTTCGTGATCTGTGCGTTGACCCCCCGGCCGGGATGTGCTTCCCGCATGTACGAAGATGTTTGCCGAGATTTGAGATTTGAGCCGCCCCTCAGTCGTCATCATGGTTGGAGGTTTGTTTAATTCATAGTTACTTGTGATGTGGAAGGGCGGTAATCGATCTCTACTGTAGTGCTGTACTGTATTATACTTCAAATGTTGCAGGATGTGCTGGGGGTTTGGACCTATATCCTCTCTTCTTTGAGGATAATGGCTGCTGGTCGCTGGCTGCTGGCTGATGGCTGGTCGATATGATGCCTGTGATGATACCGGTGAAGGATGAAAGTGCGTGTCGGCGTCAGACTTGTGTCTAGGTATTTAGGCCTTACACGTATGACGAGCCTTGCAGGCTTTTGTCAGACGGGAACAATCGCTTCTCGGACAGGCGATGGCTCGTTACCCACGATTCACAGTCAAGGTCTACACTCAAGGACCATGCAACAGACTTCTTATCACATCCTGATGTGAACAACGAAGGAATCTTTCAGCCAATTCCATTCGGCCTGTTTGGCCTTGTCTCCTGTATCTATTTCTGTGTGAGCCTTTCTGTGCAGCTACCGTCCATCCATGCTGAACCATGCCGCAAACTGAACATCGGCCTCACCAGGGGATGACAAGCCGGCACATCATGCCCATGAGAAATGAGAATCTCTTTCGCTCCCCGCCCAGTTACATGCGTGTGTATCCTGTCCTCCCATCACTCGTCATGCACCATAATTCGTGAAATCGTAGCGCAATGCTCAAGGGGGTATCTCCAGCAAGCTCAACGCAGGAAAGAAAATGAAATCACTATTGTACAAATGCAGCTTCACTGATCGCTGCCATATCGCTCTGCGACTTTTCCTTGTCACTTCACCAGATGGCGGCTGACTAAGACCGACCGTCACGATCATGACTGGACGCAGGGCGATTGATCTGATTGGGGTTCCAGTAGGTATCGTCGTATGAGCCGCGCACACTGGGGTTGTTGGTGTTCTGAACAGGCTGAGGTCGCTCCGGCTGTGCCAGCTTCCTTATGTCCTCTCTGCCGAATGGCGGCTGTACAAAACTGTACTTCTTGGATCGCGGGACACCAGAGGTGGCTGAGGCTGGGAATGGAGTGAATGCTGAACCGTTTGGTAGGTGCGGCATCGGTGGTGTCGGATGATAAAACGCGGCCTGCTGTAGCTGCTGCTGCTGCTTACGCTCTTGGGCCAGTCGAGCCGTCTCTTTCGCCTGCCAAGCCACAGGATCGTCTCGCTGGAGACGCTCATTCTGATATTCTTCCTCGGCCGCCTTCTGCTCCTCCGCGTCCAAGCGCTCATCGTCCTCCTTCTGAAACGTCTCGGTCAAGACAATGCTACGAACAAACCCAAGGTCGTGGATGATGGCGTCAAGGACTTTCGGATCCTTGCCAAGACTCTCGCTGAGATCTTCCTGGGGGACCTCTTTGACCGGAAAGAGGTATTGCATGTCGGTCTTCTTGCTGGCATTTGGTCTTGGTGCCTTCTTGTCGACCACGCGTCCAAACAGTTGAGTCTTGAAGACGGCGGTATTGAACAACTTGTCCTCAAAAGTACCTCCAGCTTGAAAACGATAGACAAAGACTGGTCTCTCCTGGTTCAGACGATATGCCCTGCCGATGGCCTGTTGCTCCCAGATCGGATTGAAGCTGAAGTCAAACACGATAACACGATTCGCGCCTTGCAAGTTCAGCCCCAGACCTCCCGCTCGCATCGAGATCAAGAAGACCTGGAAGCGGTTTTTTTCGTTGAACTCCTTCACCTGTGCTTGTCGTTCCGAGACCTTTGTCTTGCCATCAATTCGGCAGAACGTGCAATTCATAGCTGCCAGCATGTCCGCAAGGTAGTTTAGCGTGGGGATGCTGTGACTGAATATCAAGGTCTTATCTCCAGCTTCCGTAGCCTTTTCCACAATGCGCTGCACAGCAAGTGTACGGTAAGACAGAGTTGGATCGAATAGAGCGGCGCGGTCATTGATGTCGGGAAGGATCTGTAAGACGGCCTCCATCGCCTGACGCATTGGGCCCGTAACGTCGACATCGGTATCCTCCTTGATAGCTTCCGGTGTCCTGCCTTCCTCAATAACTGGTGCTTCGTCTGAGCTTTCACTCAGATCCTGGGCATTACTGGTCTGATTGCGCACGTCCTTACCCTCCAGTGCCTTTCTCTGACGCTCTTGCAGTTTGGTGACAAATCCAGCAGGATGGTGGCAAAGCCATGACAGCATTGCAATCCAATCCCAAATCCTGGCATGGCTACTTCCGGCCCCCATCAGAGCATAGGTTTGTACCATGTGGTGTACGTAGATATTGTACGCGTCCGTCTGCAGTGGAGTGAGGGGTATCGTGATGAAAAACTCCGTCTTCGAAGGCATATCGTTTTCAATGGCAGTGATATCAGCTCGGTTGATCTTGGGATCGAGATCTCTCTTCAGCACATGCAGCTTGCGAAGTGCGAGCCGCTTTTCGTGTGCAGTGCTGTCAGACCAGAGACCATCTCTGATAGGCTCCGAATACTTGACACGAAATTGAACCATGGTGCCCAAATACCCAGGCGCGATCCAGTCCACTAGAGTATGGTACTCCTCGAGATGGTTGTTGAGAGGCGACCCGGTCAGAGCAATGCGACTGATTGTCTTGAACCGCTTCGAATATTCGTTGATCTTTGACTTGGGGTTCTTGAGTGTATGGGCCTCATCCGCGATGACCATGCTCGGCACTTCCAGCAAAATCTGCTCAAGATCAACCGCGACAGCACCCTTCTTTTTGTCCTTGATGCTGTTTGTGATTGATAATCGGAAGCGCTCGTACCCCATGAGTAACACGCCGCCCTTCTTCGACCAATTCATGATGGCTCGGGTGTTGTCTTCTGCTCTCGGAAGGTCGCATTTGTGGATAGCGCCGAGAATGGTGGTTCCTTGAGGCGTCCACATGAGAAGCTCATCCTCCCAGTTGTTGAGTAAAGATGCCGGCGCAAGGACCAGAGTTTTGTTGCGTTGAAGATGCTGGGGAATGAGTTGTCTGACTTTCGGGTCACTGCTTTGACTACATAGCGAAATGGTTACAAGCAGTGACACCACCTGCATTGTTTTGCCAAGTCCCATTGTGTGTGCCAGGATGCAGCCTTGGTGTTTCGGGTCTTCAATGATCTCCCGCCACATGAACTGTAGTCCAGCGACTTGATGTGGTTTGACACGTCCGGCAATATGCTCATGTAGCTCGATGAGTGGCTCCTCTGTGTTGATGATGACATGAGAGTCAGTAGTGCCGTCCGGCTGCATCATTGCAAGCTTCTTAGCCATGTCTTTGCGACGCTTTTCTTGCGCTTGAATACGCATCTTGTCATTGTACTGCTGGGACATAGCTTCTTGACTCTCTTCGACTTTGCGCTTTCGTTTCTTATGAGAAGAGGGTCGGACGGCTGCTTCCAGGTCATCCGTCGATATATAGTCGGCGATTTCGGTTTCCGTGTCATCAAGCATCTCAATATCCGACAAAGCTTCTTGGTCCCTCTTTCGCTTTTGCCCTTTCTTTTGTGCGTCATGCTTGAAGCGAAGCTGGAGGAGCTTTCCCAGTGTCTCAAAGAAAGGATGGAGCGCTGTGTCTTTGTCTTTATATGCCTGCTGTCTGTGAACCTGGTTGACAGGGTTTTCCAGAGCATTGTAGCCAGTGCAGTGTGTGACATAGAGCAAGACCAATATCCGCACAGATGATTGATCCTTGCGTGGAAGCGCTGTGACCCTAAAACCTTTCAAATGGACGATTGCCAATCCTTCGACTAGGCATTTCTCCCTGACTTCGTCGGTGGATAATGTGGTCAGAAGCGAAGCTAGATCAACAGCAGACTCCTCTGCAAGAGTGAAGACACACTTTGCAAGCGCACGCCGAGTGTCTGCAGGCTCCATATCGGACCAATATGCAGCCCTCATTCCTTCAACGTCATCCCACTTTGGTAGATTCGTATCATCGTGTGAGGAGGTGTGACATGGGCCAGAATCCGCTGTTTCAGAGACATGGCTGGGCGTCTTCTTGTGTGGCTTGACTTGGACCGGATTGAGCTTTGGTGTGTGGACGCTGAAATCGCTCGATGGCCCACTGGTGGTTCTCTCCAGCCCTGAATAGGGGCTATCAACGGTCAAATCGATAGGTGCAGCAGTAGATCGCCCACGGTCCCGGTACTTGGACTTGGGAAGGCGTGGGGTGCGGTCCAGGTCAGAATCATCTGAAGATCTGGCTTCCTTTGCCAAAGAGGGTTTTGGCTTCGTAAGAGGGACTTGACGTCTAGGGACCGGTGTTTGAGGAGCCACCTCGGCCATAATGAGCTTGGTCTTCCGTCGATTTGGTGTGATGATATCGTCGTCATCATCGCTCTCCACATCCGCATCGTCTGCGTTGGCATCAGGCATCATTGTGTCATCCAGAGGAGATTTTTGTGTGCCCAGCGGAGATCCTGCTTTGGCGACAGTGGGTTCTGGCACCCCCTTATCGGCTTTATTAATCGGTTTCCAATTCTCCGGGTTCCATTCCTCTGCTTCAGGATCATGGTGAATGGATCCGAGATCGGAAGAATTGTCGTCGATATCATTGTCGTCGATGAAGGTATGATCATCGTCCTCTGAATAAGCTTCTGGCTCCGACTCTATAATTTCTTCTCCTTCCTCGAGATCGTGTTGCTTCGGCACATATGCCTTCGACAGAGCTTCCTTGCTGGGTTTCTCTGGAGGTGAATCCTGCAGCATGACCTGGGCGTAGTAGCTGTATTCTTCGTGCTGATGCACAGTCACCTCAAGAACCTGACACTGTCTCTTGACTTCGGCTGCATTGCGCCAGGTGTTGCCGGCCACCTCGCGCCTAAGCTTCATCATTCTTTGCAAGCAGTGAGCCTTGGACTTCCTGAAGTACTGAATCTTGGGCTGGCGGTTCTTTAGGCGGGCTGCTTCTATCCAGTGGCGGTAAGCTCTTTTCTGGACGCCGGCCAATTTTGTCTCCCACCATTCGTGCTTGAAGTCTTCAACTGCCTCGTCAATCGCAATTTCCACTTGTGCGGGAGTCAAGTTGGCGGGCCGACTACGATATTCCACACCCTCTGCCTTCTCCTCCTCCATTTCCATCCAGGTAGCTTCGTCGTAATCACCTTCATCACCTGAGTCGCCGTAGAGCGGGAGGCCCTCATCCAAGTCCTGAGGGGGATACTTGTCGAGAAGATAGTCCAAGTCAGAGCCAACTACTCCTCCCCGAACACTCACGGTTCCATCGTCTGCGACGTTGGCGTGGTGTGCTTCGCGAGTGATGCTCGAGACAGATCGTCGTCCCTCACGAACCTTGCTCAAGTTCAGAGCCTTCAGCTCCGGATACTCTTCTACGCTGCGCACCTGAGGCAGCTGGCTGCCTGGCAAGAACAACGTAAAGTACTGACTCGAGAAAGGACCCTTGACCAGTGACTCGTCGTAAGGCACCCTGACGCGCAATCCACTGCTAGGCAGTACCTCTGTTCCACGGTGGAGGAAGGATCTCATAAGGCGGGCGACTGCACGTCGCTGGCCACTCGGGACTCGGATCGAAACGTCAAATTGCCGGTTTTCATCAAGAGGAACACGATAAGTTTCATCGCCCTCTATGGTTGTCGATCTCTTGTAGTAGAATATATCCTGTATAGGAACTGCATCTTCTGCAAGGTAGCCTTCGTCATTTGATCTCGGAGGGGCGTTCTCGGGTAGGTCGCTAATGAGAGTCGGTGCAATCCTCTTCTTGCCACTTGCTTTTGGAGACTGTTGGTCTCTGGGTAATGGGGCAGATGGCTGCGTTTCGTTTCCTGTCTTGGAACCGGCCTCTTCGGCGCGAGGTGCCGCAGCAGAGCTCGGTTCCAACTCCTGAATCGGTTTAGTCGCAGGTATGTGCGCGAGATCCGTACTTGTGTGGGATTTGTCTGTAAGTCTAGGTGCCATGAGCTCCGGCCCGGAAGGTGGTGGCTGGTCAGCAGGAGGAGGTGGTGGTGGCGGCGGCGGAGCTCGCTGTTGCCCGAAACCGCTGGCAAGCGAAGGTGAAGGGGTATGACGGGGCTCAAGGGAAGGGTGACCGATCCCAATGCCCATGCCGTAGTATACGGGTGACTGGGGGGCTGCCGAGAAACGTGGGTGCGTGATCTGAGGAGACGGAAATGTGATGGACTGCATCCTGGCAATATTGTCCACTTGGAACAACATCTGCTGATAACTTCTGGACTTGGCTCGAAAGAAATTGATAGCTTTCATGATGACATTCCGGATGCCGTATGAGACAATTCCGAGTTCTTCCTTCAAAGCCGGCATCTCAAGGGTCAGAAAACTGTCTCCATCAATATCATTCTGCCGGAAGGTAGGCTCAAGCGCCTGGCGATTCTGCTTGTACTGAGAATTGGCAGAAGGCAACCATTGTGGATTGGGTGCGTGGCACAGTTCATAGACAACTCGGTCGATCGACCACGCCCGCGGGTCGTCGTCTGCTTCTGCGGTCGTCTCCATGATGAGTCGTAATCGAGAGAAAGGGTGCGATAGGCCGTGCGGGCAACGGGCAAGATGAGCGACGTGTGGGTGGTGAGAAGTGGTCGAAGGAGGCAACGTTGGTGGTTGACAAAGAAGACCGTGCAGGCATTGAAGCGCAGTCACATGGCGGCGAAATCAACTACTAGTAACGACAGGCAGTTGTGGTGGGCAGAGGGACAGTACAAGCGCTTGTGAAGGAGCGGCTGTGATTGAAACAAATAGAAGAGCAGGAGCCCCGGAAAAAGAGAAGAATGGCACGAGTACGTCGTTGACATGGCACAAGACACACCGGACCGCAGTCAACTGCCTCGCCTGTCTTGTGAGATTTCATGCAGGATGTGTTCCAGAGCAGTCATCTGGGATTGATCCGGGGATACAGTGAACAATGAGGCTGGCGGTTGGGAAGTTGCCGTGGTTGCCTCACGAGGCAGATGGAGCGAAGAAATCGAGTGGGGTTCAAGTTTTAGCTCCAGATACGCGCCTGGAGCACTTTACGCGGTTCCGAGGTTGGAAAGTAGGCCGAAAGATTCGTCGGCTGACTAAGAATTCCGCGATGCCACCAACGCGATAATTCTGCGGGGCTCGATCATCGCTCCGAGATAGTTGTCAAAGTCTTGCCTCTCACCGGAACACTACACCACAGAATCGACACGACGACCCCAGATTCGAGTGCTCTCCTGGATTGTGGAGATAGACGACCATGGCGCATCACGCAGGAGCCGAGATTTATACCGACTATCCACCGCCTTTGACACCTGAACAAGAAGGATATCTTGTCCAGACGGTTAAAGACTGGGTCGTAGAACATGCGCTCACGGTCAGACCCTCCACGGCGATAGTGCCAGAGGAAACGAATCCGGTCAACGTTCTCGCCACAAGTGCTCCAGTCACACTCTTCCCCAGCCCTTTCCCCAAGGCGTGTTTTGAACAGGCAAGGAGTCTTCAGCAGATCTACAACGAACTTTATGCTAGCATAGCTAGTGATGAGCAATGGCTCGAAGACATTATGAAAGAGTGAGTCAACCATGTCACCGTTGATGCGAGTTCCCGGTGCTTCGAGCCTGGCGTGTTCGAAAGGCTCGACCTTGCTCTGCTAAACCCGTTTCCAGGTTGATCGAGGTCGATGATTTCCTCGCCAATCTCTGGAAGATCCATCTCTCGGTCAAAGAAGAAGGCTATGTTCAAGACTTGTCCTTAGGCATGTTCCGATCAGACTACATGCTACACACGGCCGAGGATGCGCCGGTATCACTGCGGCAGGTCGAATTCAACACGATATCTTCATCCTTCGGAGGTCTGGCTTGCAAGGTAGCAGAAATGCACACACACCTTGCAACGTTTCCCTCAGCAAAGCATCCACTGGCATATCCACCACACCCGCTCTTCGCCAACTCGACTGACAAAAGCCCCATCAATACGATCGGCCATCCTCCTCCAAACGAAGCAGTGTCAACCCTAGTCGCCGGCCTCGCTGCCGCCCACACTGCATACGGACCCTCGCGCTCGGACCCTCCGCTCCCAACTTGCATCCTCTTCCTTGTCCAAGACACGGAGCGCAACGTCTTTGACCAGCTCGCCCTTTCCACGCATCTCTACAACCACCATCACATCCCCTCCTTCCGACTACCGACGAGCAAAATCCTTGCCTATACGTCCATTCCCAGCAAAGACACCAACCCTGCCCGCCCCTTGATCTATACTCCGCCCTCCTCCCCTTCCACGCCCTATGAAGTGACTGTAGTGTACTTCCGCGCCCTCTACGCACCTACGGAATATAACACCCCTACATCTTGGGCCGCGCGCCACCACCTCGAACGCAGCGCTGCGATCAAATGCCCCTCCATACTCTTGCACCTTTCCGGGTCGAAGAAAATCCAACAGGTCTTGACTTCTCGGCCTCCAGATGCAGACCACTTGAAGGCATTCCTGCCAAATCACCTGGAAACTGCCCTGGAGAACCTGCGCTCAACATTCGCCCCCCAGTACTCCCTCTCCGCCTCGCAATATAGTGCTTCAAGCGAGCCCGAAGGAGTCCGGCTGGCTCTGGACGAGAAGACGGCAGCAAATCACGTATTAAAGCCCCAGCGTGAGGGCGGGGGCAATAATATCTACCGCACAAAGATCCCGCCGTTCTTGAATTCCATCCCTCGGGATCAGTGGAAACAGTATATCCTGATGGAACTGATCCATCCACCCGCGGTTGCCAAGAACACCGTATTGAGAAGTGACGGACAAGTCGTGAGTGGAAATGTCATATCCGAGTTGGGAATCTTTGGGACTTGTCTGTGGAAGAATACACCAGGCAGTACCGTGCCGGAGATCTTGCATAACACCGAGGGTGGGTATTTGTTGAGGACCAAAGGGAAGGATAGCGATGAGGGTGGTGTTGCTGCGGGATTTAGCTCCTTGGACAGCTTGATACTCTATGCTGAGACTTAGAATATAGATCTCAACAAGAAGAGATCGATAGAAAGTTGGAGAGGGGTACTTTTCTGTAGTTGAGGGTACCATCGCTCAGCTCTACTTGAATACCTGTCGGGGAAAGACTGATGGCCTGACCATTACCAACACCAAGACGAACTGGAAAAGTGTTCCCCTACGCCGTCGACCTAGGGCGGCACTTTCAGTCGCCTTTCGCGTTCGCCTGACCGTGGTGCAGCGCCCTTTCTCGGCGCCCGACTCTCCTTCGGCGGCGGGAACTTCGACCTCCTCGTCAGGTATCTCCGCGGAACAGCGAGAGCCGACATCAGAGCTTTTGATGGAAGACTTGCAAGGTGAAACAGGTATTGAATTGGCACAACAACGACAGCACAAGCCCAGTTGGTTAGAATAACGACGTAGTTGTTGGGTATCCGATCTGCATTTCGCTGAGCAGCCGCAGCCAGGGACACCACATCATTGAGCCGAGTCTCGAGGTCTTGTAGCCGAGCTTCGATCTGGACCGATGAGATTGTCGATCGCTTCTCATATCGACGCATGGCTCTGTTCAAAGCATCAACCTCCGGTTGCACAGTCTTCTTGACCTCCGAGGCAACGGTCGCTGTTGTTCTGGCTACGAGTGCATCGACGTTGACTTGCTCATCATTTTGCTTGCCTGACTTGGCAGCACGGTCCGCCACGTATACTTCCAGTTCGTCTAGCCTGTGGGTGAGGTCGTGAAATTGCTGACTGTCCGCGCGACTTGAGTCGTTCAGGAAGTCCATATTCGCTCGTCGCTGCAAGAATAGAGTCCTCCGCTGCACCATCTTGATCAAGTGGGATATAGGTCGTATCTCGGCGACAAGGACGAATATGCTGAGATTGTAGTTGGAGACCAAGCCCTCTGATGGCCTAGAGAGTTGTGATCTGATGCTGTGCAGGAGCCAGGCGGCGATTAGCGGAAAGACAAAACAAGATAACAACGCAAGGAGCTCATGTACGCGAAGCTCCTTCTGCGCAGCCGCCGCGTCTGCATTGACAGGCTTGGCAGTCAAATTGCTCGTGTTAGGCCTATCTTTAGTTGCGCCCTCCTCAGCAACCGCGCTAGGAGAAAGTGGGTCGTGTTCTTCATCCTCCTCATCGATCGGAGTGAAGACGGCTGGAATTGTCGAGTCCATCAATATAGGCGTCTGGGCTGCACGATACCAATCCCTGCAGCGTCCATTAGATCACGTTGGTACGAATAGGGGGATGAGTCCTCACCATGGAGACCTGAGAGCCCAATTCATGAAGATCGCGGCCAGACCCAGCAGGGTCACGTCAGTAATGAAGGCACTTCCATTCTTGAAGAACAAACCACCAACGGCGGGCAGTAGTGCAAGGCCCAAAGGCAGCGACTGCCAATGCGAACCATCGTCATGGTCGTGGAAACCGTCTTCATCCTTTGCACGAGGTAGTAATATATCGTCGGTGGATGTGCGCAGGGACTTTCGTGTCTCGGAGAAGGTCTCAGAAAGGAACGAGCTTCGTCGCCGGTTAAGCGCGGGATTTCCTTCCGCAAATGTCGATGCTCTCCCCAGTGGCCGTTGCCTTAGACCCTGAGGCGAGGGGCTGATTTGGCGACCGGATGTTGTAGGTGGAGGCAGAGTGATTGAAGACGGCTTCTCAGAAGCCATCGAGCTGAAGAGCTTTTGTCTAAATCACAGGTAGAGAAAGAATAAAGCAACCGCGGAGGTGACGTCGGCTATTTGTTTGCCATTCGCATCCTTGAGAATCAAGCGGTGATGGCAGGCACGGTATTTAAGTGAAGGAGATGGTCGATGAGCGCTGTCATCACGTAGGGCCTCCCTGCGCCTGTCCAATGCTGAAAAGAAGAGGATTAAGAAAGAATTTGGAAGAACGCGACGACGAATCCATGGAACAGGTGGATGATTGATAGTCGTTGACAGGCTGTGAGTGCCGCAATGGCAGCTGTCCAACCAATCACAATGGCCGATGCCTTAGCTCACCGGGTTTATGTTCTTCCGGCCGCGACGCGCTTGGGAACATCTCGACTCTCTGGCTCGAAACGTACTCCATACTTCAACTCACTTCAATTTATGTCACAACAACATGTGATGGACATATCAATTCGCAGTAGACTGTTCTTCTTGTATTGCCCTGCTAACGTGGCAACAAGGCTCGTTGCAACCGACAGCTCACTTGTAGAGGGTGCTGGCAACGTGCACATGAACAATTTCAGAACACACACAGAAATCATGACGAAGAGCTGCCCACACTATACTCGCATCATGAAATCCTCACGAACCGAACTGCACAAGGGCCCAAGCCAGCATTTCAGGTCCTGTCAGGTCCTGTCCGTACGCCGGACGCACCCTCTGGGGTACCCTCTTTGAGCAGAGCCTTATTCAACACCCCTTCTGGAAGGATGTCTTTCAGATATCTTGAGGACCCCACCAATACCTCCATCTCTGCCAATGCTTCAAGGTAGTTGAATCAAGTTGAAATGAGACCAGAAGGGAATGACCTGTGAGGACATGGATGCGTGGCGGAGGCCTTCTTCATCTCCACCCTCTTTTCCTCCCACTTCTCTTTCTATAATGCTCTTCCTTCATCTACCTCGCCCGCAAACATGTCATGGGCAGTTTCTTCTTTGGTCCTGGCACCACTCGCTCTCCTGGCTGTCCTTGCAGCTATACCTCCCCTGATCGTCCAGGTACGCGCCAGAAACTTTCCCGCCTCGGTTCTGATCGCCGGCGTCACCATTCTCAACATCCAAAACTTTGTTAACGCAGCCATATGGCACTCGCTCGATACCTCCCGTTGGTGGAATGGGAAGATTCTGTGTGACATCGAAGTGAAACTCTACCTTGGAACAACCCAAGCTATGGGCGGAGCCATAGCAAGCATATTTCGCCAAATCTCCATCATCCTTCACCCTACTCATATAGCAGTGGCACCTACTCCACGACAGCGTCAAATCACCTTGGTCATCGAGTCCATACTTTGCATCGTGTTGCCTGTATATGTCATGGTCGGCCACTACCTGACCCAGCGTACCAGGTACTGGGTCCGACTTTCATCTGGCTGCATAGCAACGTTCGACATCAACTACGCTGCTCCCTTCCTGACTTATCTGTGGCCATTAGTCGTATCCCTCATCGGCAGCACTTACTGTCTGATCTCCATCCTTCGCCTGAAGCAGCATCGCAACCAAATGGCTTCGGTCCTCTCCCACACCCTCGGAGCCACGACTTCGCGATTCTATCGGCTTTTCGCACTTGCATGCACGCTGCTGGCAATATACTGCCCGCTTTCACTAGTCAGCTTCGTCCAGGACATTCGCATCCCAATGCACAAGTATTCCTGGCCGGATATCCATCCTCCTGACTGGTCGGAACGATTTATATTGGGTCAAGACACAGCGCAGAGCGAGCGGTACATAATAGTTGACCGTTGGGCACAAGTCCTCACAGCATATCTGGCATTTCTCTTCTTTGGACTGGGCCAAGAAGCAACGCAGATGTACAAGGGTTGGATTACACGAACACGCAGTTTCCTCTCTGCATACGCGAAATCAAAGTGCAAGGCGTCGACGCAGCCTCGTCGTGAACTCATGTCACTCGAGGACGGACTTGTTGTCGGGTTCTCGGTCGACCATCACACCTATGAGCATGCTCGAGTGATGCATCCGCACCACTCGAATATATCAGAAATGAGTGGCTAAGCCGGAACCATCAGCAATTATTGGATTCGGAGGGAACATTGAGGGTGAAGACGTATTATAGACTTTTGGGGAATATAGATCCTTGTAGGCAAGCCTGGTGGTACTCGACAACTGGCCCTGCCAGCGCCGCGCAAGCGTTATGTGAGTGGGGAATACAACGAAGAAAGTAGCCAGCCCATCGAAACGAGCTCAAAACACGGCACACGACTCTCCGCGTTGTCCATGAGGTGTTATTGTACACAAAAAGTCGTCGTCATATTAATCGGAATGCTCTTGCTAGAGCGATCAAACCACAGCCTCCTCCTCTTTGGATTGCGGTCTTTTCAGCACCTCGATTTTCGTCTGTACAATACTCAGCGAGCTCTGCTTCTTGCCGTCTGCATCGTCGTAGGTGCGCATAGTCGCATCGCCTTCGAGGTAAACCAGGGTGCTATACCATTAAAATATCAGCTACTTGCCTGAAAGAGTCTGGCCAAAGACATTTGCATAAACTTACCCTTTACTTAACCCCATAACATAATCCCTCTGGGGACTCCCTTCGGGTGCAAAACTAGCAACGCGAAACCATGAAGTCTGTCTGTTGTCCTTCGGGCCGAAGCTGGATCCCACAACGTACTTGATCACCTGGCCCTTGCCGGTGTCTGCAAGCTCTGGGTCCGTGCCGAGGCGACCAACTAACGTCATTCGCGCGAGCTGAGAGGGGCGACTGGTTGAGAATGTACGCGCAGAAAAGCTGGGGATGACTGAAGCCGTGCGGCGCGCAGGGGAGAGAAGAAAGGACATGGTGAATGTACGACACCGAGGTGGCTGGGATTGACGGTTGCGGAATGCGCAAGAATGATGCTGTCAGACAAGAGAATCCTGGATGGTGACTCGGACAGCGAGGGCCGTAGCGAAGGCAGATGATGGTGGTCGACTGGGTTGCTGAAGGACGTCAAGGACTCGACCACTGTTGATGGTTCAACTGCTACCTGCGCGGCGGACGCGATTTCGTCGCAACCTCGAGAAGGTCGCGCGATAGGGGCAGCCGAGACTAACCGCATCCGTCAAAGTGCATGCTTTCGTGGCTGGTTCCCCGCCGCATATGTTTTCCTTCAGTTCAACCTCATTTCTGATTTTCCGTGACCTTGCCATGAGGAGCGCATCCTGGTCCATCATCTCAAGGACTATCATGAGCACCAGTCAACAGAGGGGCGCCACAATGGCTTCATCCGTAGGGACTGCATCTTCCAAGATATGTTTTCGTCCCTTGCCAATCCCTGTTCGTCTTCCGCGAGCTCATTCAACCACCAGTGAAGTGTCAGCATAACTCAATCCCAGCGACGAGTAACTCTGTACACTGCGTACTATTCTACAACCCCTTCTGATATCCATCCAACAATGGGTAGGTGTCGGATTTGCCTTGGAAGATTCGGACAATGGAGCGACCTTCGTCGCCGGAAATAGCCACAAAGAACGGAAGCACAACTGGCGGCTGAACAAGACTCTCTGTTGGTGCTTAAAGATGAAGGGCAGCCTCAAGGACATCTCGTCACTCATCAAGTTCGCATTGCTTTGCCCTTGCGCTCGCTTTCAATCCGTATCAGAAACTTACCAATGGCCCCTTCTGATTTTACTATGAGCCCCGTCGCCTGGCTGTTCGTCTCCCTATTTGCCGGCATTATTCTCATCCTCGCCCTTGTATACCTCTTCGCTCTGAAGATCAGACGTGACAAAAAGAAAGCTGAGCGGGAAGCCGAGGACGACGAAATCTTCGGAAAAATCATCAAGAATCCGGTTACATTGCCTGCAGTATAGAAGCACCGAAAATCACTTACAAGTCTGCCCACCATAGTCGAGTGCAGGTTTCAATATAAGCCGGAACCAGCTGAACCGAGCCAACACGAGCCAACAGTGCTCAGCAGACTGTACTCACCCAGGGTCTCTTTGTCCTTCGCAAGGACACTTCTGAACGCGCACAGTGACCTTCGACCAACGTTCCTTTGTGCTCAAACTTACCAAGGATTCGGCTCCTCCCACTTCCACTCTAGGTATCTGTCTTGTATCACTCCAATTTGTAAGAGCCAAACAGCCTCGGGTCTACCGTGATGGTGCCTCTGGCTGCTCTTATTATCCTCAGCACGGTAGGACTTTTCGCCACAGGCACATTCATCTTCGCAATATACTACACGACCAAGACCAGACTAGACGCAAGAAGACTGCAGAACCTCGAAGCAAAGCAAGAACTACATACCCCACTTAGGGAAACAGCAGCAGAGCCTGGCCTCAACTCTAGAAGTGGCACGCCACGACCACCGCGTCCACCGACGCCTGAAGCAGAGTTTCCACCTCCGCTCCCAGATGACCTAGTGAAGCAGACAACTGGTAAAGATAGTACCGTAATAGCCCGAGCAGAGACACCACACCCATTCTTCCTCCCCCCAACAACTTATCGGCATACAACTCCGCCACCACAAAGCTCTCTCCGACCGCCTACCCCGGGAGCTGAGTACCCGCCACCCTTACCACAAGACTTCCCTGGCCGGGCAGTCTCTCCTTTACCACCTCACTCCCCTCTTCTTCCTCCTGCTCCCTCCCTCTCACCGCCGACTAAGGGTCCACCCAGAGCGAGATCCAGGAGCAGAGGCAGGAACCCAAACCCGCGCCCACCTTGCCCCACAGCCAAAGACAGACCAGACAGCATGCACGAGATTTATGATATTTACAGTCAACTGCCTCCTACGCCAAAGGCTACACCCAAGAGTGCCCCATCGATGGTCACGACGTTCGCGCAAGCGGAGAGCAAGTGGGCTTATTTTGGGGAAAAGAGGGCGGAAAGTCAGACGAGGGGAAGGGAAGTGAAAGTGAACATGGTGTGAATGTATCATGACATGTTAGTAATTGTGTAGACTTAGTATGAGAAGTCATCTTATCGCGCCTCTAATTGCAAAACTTGATTGCCGCCGTAGAATACGAGCTACGAGCACCGCCAACATTTGTCCTGTTTGAGATCTTTGATGAAGATCTCACTTGTGGTAGAAGAATCGACCGTGAAAGCGGATGGACAGCAAGTGTATGACGTACTTTGACCGCCCCCCATAAAATGATTGGGCGGAAACAAACACTACCGAAACATCGATTTTTGGAAATGTGGCGGGACTTCTAGAATGGAGAAGTGAAAGTGCCATGTGAGGACAGTCCAGAGTGGGTATTAATCCTCATTGGTTTCGAAGCGATTCAGGGTGGAAGGTGTGGTGCAACGACTCTGCCCACAACCGAGTCACCCAGAACGGTGACATCGACATTGACGGCCGCCGAGATGATTTCTCTATTTCGTTGACGTCTACACCGCAAGTTTGAGGTAGAGTCGAGGTCAGCATCAAGGACTCCCAAGCTTGTATACTTTGATGTCTTCGGCTTCAACTGTGTCGCGCTCTTTTCTCTGCATCTCCCAAGTCAGAGATTCTTGACGACAATTTGGCGGCGACGCACTGGACATTGAACGAAACGCACCCAAGGTTTGGAATTGCCTCAAAACGTAGCAGTCCATCTTGAATTTGTGCTGTATCTGCATACGATCGATCGAGATTTGCCCACCATCGACCATTGGTTATCCGAGTATCACCGGATGGTGGTTTGGACCCTCTGGACGGATCCCTCGCGTGACCCCACTCTCCCCTTGGAAAAGGTTTCCCGTGCCACGCTGGTGCTGTAGGTCCTCGACAGGCTATTGACAGGGTGCAGTAAAAGAGCCGCATCAGCCTTCGACGGGACGGCTACAATTTTCCGTCTAGCGATACGTCACTCGGGCTAAGCCGTATCCAGGGGTTCGAACACCCATCTTCAGCTCCTTGTGGAATGCAAGCGGAGGCGACTGTGGGTGTCTCTTCCCAGAAATGGAAACCCTTTCAATGTTACACTATCAATCCATTTTACCCGTACATCAGGGACTGGAGGCACACACCTCCAAGAATAATGACTATATGAGTTGTCTGAGTGGGCAGCCCATCACTTTATGTGTCGCGGGATCCTTCTCACCGTCCATATTTACGTCCATAGCCTGCCAACTGGACACATACGTGAAAGCATAACCATTCAGTGGGTACTCAAACCTGAGCCCTTATGTGTGAGTAAAATGCTAACAGTCAGAGCGGGGGCATACAGTACAGCGATCTCACGAGGTTTAAAAGTCGAATCAAGAAGAAGCGCATTAGATCTCCCCCGTGGTCGCACCCATATCAATGACGTACGATCCCCAGCCGGAAGAATAAGACACCCCCCAGAGCAATACACCTGTGCAGACACACGACCCACTCAATGGAGCACGCGAAGGCTCCCAAGACCCCTCGCACACGCAAACGGACGCCTCACGCCTGCGACGAATGTAGGACCAAGCGAACGAAATGTTCTGGAGGCACAAGCTGCGTACGCTGTACGAAAGAGGGTATTGCTTGCATCTACGGCGATCGAAGCATACAGAAGCGGAAAAAGTAAGTCCTCTTCGTTCATCCTCCTCTTCCGGCACTGGACTTATACAGTAGTATGTCCCGCTGCTAAAACGCAAGCCAGGCATCTAGAACAAAACATCCGGCGCATCAGACTGCTGGAGGAGCAGAATTTGATCCTCACCAACGCGCTGTGGAAGATCCGCTTGAGTATTGACCATGCCAGCGATAGCAGTAGCACTACCAATAGCATCACCAACAGCGGTATCCCTCGAGTTCTCGATGTAAGATAGTGCTGTTCAAATCCGACAAGCCCAGTTCTTTGGCTGCTGACCTGATAGCAGTGGATTCCAAACCTCCCATCGACATCACATTCGCGGCACCAGAACTCTCCTCAATACAAAGACCATGAGGCCGGATGTTCTCCCGAATCGACTCACCGGGCTGAGTCGCGAATGGGGATACGTCCAGAGGACACCACAGAGAGCACGGAGAGTACGGAGAGCACAGAAAGCACTGAGAGCACTGAGAGCAAGCCTGGCGGCTCGAGCGTGATGTCCATAGACGACATGCTCTGCCAGTGACAGTGGCTCCACGGTTCACGAACCGGACTACCTACAATATATTTACAGCGAATGTCGGCACGAAAATCACATGTGGTAATTCCCATGGGGCAGCCGGGCTCGGGACGGAAACTTGAATAGGGCTTGTCTTTCTAGTATCAAGCGAAAAGGACGAACGAACAAATGGAAATCACCGAGGTTGGTGTATGTCCGGCGAGTGCGCCAGAAGCCAACCCTCGCTCGAACTGAACCCACAGGCTACGCTCCCGGAAGTCAAGCTGCTACGTTCTAAGATCCGTTCTGGAAAGGAATAACTGGGTAGTGACGAGACGAGACGAGACAAGAAGGCAACTTTGCTACTTACACACACCGGCTGAAGAAACCAGACTCACATCACATCTTTGGGACCTCACTACACCTAGAATGTGGATATGGGTGTTGTTGCGAGAAATATCAATGCGAAAGCGCGATATGTTCAGTGTTTTTTTTTTATCTCATCTCCTCTCAAGCGTTCGTGATCCCCTGTCTGAACCTGAGCAGCATACACACACTCCCTCTCCCTCTCCCTCTCCCTCTCCCGTTTCATAACCACCTCCTGGGCAGCTGCTGGCGTCCGTGTGCAAAATATCCGGCCTCATAACTCCGGCACAGCCGGTCTCTCGCCTGCATGATATACCAGTGCAGCCTCTTGCGGGCTCACCTTCTGACTCTTCACTCTGGGCGCTTCGCTCAGGGAAGCCTGTCTCTCCCCACCTGTCCGAACACTGGCCGGTGAGTCTTCGCCTCCTAATACTGCTTGCAGATCATACCGCGGGCTGTGCAGAGGTGAAGGACCTGAAAAGGGACTCCACGCAGCAGGAGACCTGGCTTCTACACGAGGTTGGTTGCGGCTGTGGTGCTCGTCGACTCTGGTGGGCGTTTGGGCGGTCTGTCCGCGTGGATTGCCGTGTTCATTTTCTTCGTGTGCTCCTAGAGCGCCGTGCATGTAGTGTGTCGGCCTCTTCCCCACGGACATGCCGCGAATCGGTCTGATGGCCACCGCCGCTGGTGGTGGTGGTGGTGGTGGTGGTGGTGGTTGTAAATCCCCCATCTCGATAGGCGAGGACTTGGACCACCAGTGCATACTCTCCGCCACGGCATGCGCGGTCCCGGCTCGGGGGTTTTCTATCTGTCTGCGCTGGTGGCGCCGCTGTAGACAGACGCAGACCAGGGCAGCGATGGGGAGAAAGACCAGCACGAGGCCCAGGAAGATGAAGATCGGGATGGTGGATTTGGAGCCTCTTGGTGGCATGACGTGGTTCGATGCGGAGGATTTAGTGTATGATGGTATGTGTGATGATTTTGTGGCACGATGCTGGCTGGATGTGGTATTCCCGGCGACGGGGTTTTGCATAATGATGAGTATGTATAAAATTCAAACAGACGGCAGGTTGAGGTGGAAAGAGGCCCTCTACCGTGCAATTTCTTTCTCCGGTGTTCCTTTCTCTGCTGTATCATGGAGCGTTTACAGTTATTGTAAAAGGCGTGACTAGTTCAAAGAGCGACAAAGGAATGGCGTTCGTTGTGGTCACTTGCAGACCATGCTTTGACAATGCTGCATACGATGGTGAAAGAGAGAGTCAGCTGCTCTTTGTGCTTGAGACCTACCGTGTTTGTTCTTGCAGCACGTGTGACCGGGCGGTGATAGCATGATGGTCATGAGCCATATTCGAGAGGAGAAGTACTCACTCGATCCATGCTATCAAGTCGATAGCTTCGCTTTCTGTCCCCATGCTTAAGTAAGGATTGGGCTCCAGCCAGCCAGTTGGTCATGTCTGTAAGTGGGATGGAAAAAGTCGATCTTGACGACAGCAAGCAAACGAAGCTGGATTCGAAGTCCTGTACTGTGCACAGCGACTCGCGGAGAAATCCCAAGCACCGGAGCAGCGTGCTGTAGATGAGCTGCGGTCGTATGGCTCCAAAGAGACAGCGACCTCTGTCTAGATCCGTTCAGCCGTATGAAAGGGTTCAGTGTCGAGCATTGGCGCGCAGATAGCAAAAGTAGAGCTACTTGGCGATCTCTCTTCCTCCTCAGCAGTAGCTTCGGTATTATGCTCTCGATATGGCGAGACCGAGTCATGTCTGGCACCGACTCTAACGGGTCGCGCTGCAGGGGAAGCCGAAGTTGCTACAGTGCCTTGTGCAGTGTTTGAGACTTCGATTAGAAGTAGCTTCACCCTCATTCAGTCGCATTCCTTCGTACAGCGTAGGTGTGAAATGTGAAGAATGACAAATGAGAATTGATCGAGGCCACCAGTGTAGATCGAAGTCAAACCAGGTATTGAGGATCTGAACTACTGTGTACTTCATGATCACTGATCCTCAAGGACAAGCCCATGCAGTTCATACAATCAAGGATATATCTTTCCTCAGCACAACTTCTCCCGCAATCGACCATAGGATGTGGAAAACAGGGCTTCCCGTTCGCTCAGCCGTACTTAAGCCACTTGCCGGTCCGTTAGTACTGAGGTGGGTGACCACTTGGGAATCCGGGCTGTCGATTGTTTTTGTAAAATATCTATCTAGAGGAATCGAAGTGGCGGTGGAGGTGTTATATGTATTTTTTTTTCCAGCGACGGATATTGCTTAATTACTTGAGCGAATAGGCGGTCGGCACGGAAAGGGGGCCACTGGGGGTGCCCTTGGCTGAGTCATGCGTGCATAAATATTGTGTACCTCAGAGACACTGCGTCGGATGCCTTTCACGCACAGCCACGACCCGTGGACGACCCCTCTGATCAGGCCATCAGCCCACAGAATCCTTTGACCATCTCGGATCGGGTACACACTGCATCTCGTACAGAACAGTCTCACTCGTAGCGCTGGTCGGTCTGACCCGGAGCCGAAGCATAAGGCAGCAACAATTGCATTCCCACAGGGCTACCTGTGCAGCTCACTCGACGTCAGCGAACGAACTCTAGCCGTACTGATGAACCTACAGTCCTCGAGGCCTTAAAAGAGACGGCATGTCAGCAAGGGAGCGAAGTGAGGCACTCCTCCTCGTACACAGTCCAGGTGTATGTGTATGTGTAGGTGCACGTCACTTGCTTGATATTATTCTGCATCTTCAGAGGGACCCTCGTGCCTCGTTCTTCTTTGACGGGTCGTCACACTACCAAATACCCAAATCACAGCCATGCTCGCATCCGGCACGTTGACCACGGTCGTCATCCTCCAGCTCATACTCGGCTTCGCGGCTCTGATCCTCGCGGCCTTTTCCGCCGTGTGTTTTGGCGCCGAATTCGGGTACGGCGTCGTTTGGTGGTCGGTGAGTGAGAGCCCTTGCTTGCTTCCTCGTTGCCCAAGGTCCATATGGACATACCGTCGTCGCTACCCCCCTCATTCTCCCGACAGCACGTTAAAATGAGTATCTATCACCTACAGTTCGGCTGGACATTGGTCATCGCATGTCTACGATGGTGGACGCACGACCTCGGCCGCTCCGCCGTCGAGCAGATCGTCCATCTGGCGTTCGAGACGTTCGCGCTGATCGACTGGGTCGTTGCGACCGGCGTGCTGGTCGCCTTGAACGTCCGGCTCGACAACCTCAGAAAGGAATACGAATTTGACGTCGACCATGATATCCCGTTGCCGGACGAGTTGGTGACGCACCAGTTCACGGCCCTAGGGATGGGCGGACTGTACTGCAGCTACGCGTTGAACGCGGTTACCGGCGTCATCTTGTATGTGAATCCGGGTGGTCCCCGTGTGTGCCTTTCTGTGAGGGTGGACTCCTGCTGACACACGGAAATGCGTATCTAGCGTTTTGTTCTTGATTTCCACGCACGATAGTCTGAGATGGCTGAGGATGTCGAGACGAGCAGCGAAGGACGACCTGGAGAAGGAATACAAGTATGGTCATCTGTAGTGGGGGAAAGACTCGTCGTGAACTAGGACTGAATGGACTGTTCGAGGAGAGGTTGAGTTGACCGCGAGGGCGTGGTGTAGTCGAGTGGTGGAGGGCACTGTATGCTTTCTAACGAGCATGAAATGGTCACGCTCACGCACTCTTGAGATATGCCAATCAGGGGACTCATGATTAGATCGAGCTTCATCACAAGCAGGTCGTGCCACTCACCCACCCCACCAGGATACGGCCGAGCGTGGCTGATCAGATGAAAGCCCGTCCCATCGCTCAGTATTACAACATACTTATCTACAGGAGAAAACTGTCCGAGCGTACGACACCAAGGCTGTACCTCTCTACTCATCCCACCAGCGAATACCCGACATCTTTCCCACTCCCCATCTCCATCAGACGTTTCCGCATCCCCTCGGCTCTCGCGCCCTTGGCGCCCTCTATCGAGAATTTGGCCCTCCCAACCCACTCGCCCACGCCATGCTGGAGGACCTGTCTCGCCCGCTCCGTGCCATGCCCCGCCAACCCGACCGACCCATGCAGCGTCATGCGCCCGAGCTCCCGCGCGGCGTCAATGGCCCGGTAAACGCCGCGATGCAAGATGTTGCTATCATAGAACACGGCATCCCCGGGCTGCAGCGCGACGACGACCTGGCCCGGTAAATTCGGCTCGTAGGGCGCGGCGTCGCGTTCGGCCCGCGTGCGCACCCGCCGATGGCTCCCCGGCACGACGACGAGGGACGAATCCTCAAACAACGCAATATTATATTGCGCGTGCAGCTGGAGTTGCCTGTCCTCCTCGCGTGAGTTCAAGTTCAACTGCCGCGCCTCCTCCTCCGGCGTCACGTCAGGCCGCACGTCGTCGCGATGCCACGCGAGTTCGAAATCCCGCCCGCCATCGGGGCTGACGAGCAGGTTGAACAGTTCCATGACGAGACCGTCGTCGTCGTCGTCGTCGTCGTCGTCCTTGAGGCCGACGAGTTCCTTGACGACGTCCAGGACCGGGTCGCCAAAGTAGACTTCGGCAAAGGTGTCGCGTGTGGGCATGTCCGGGTGGAGCAGGTGCTGGACGCCCCAGATGTGGTCGCCGGGCTGCCACTCGTGCCAGGGCGGGTATTGTTTGGGCACGGTGCGCACGTGCGGCCACTTGCCTTGTCGGGCACGGTCGGTCGTGTATTTGCAGGTTGCTTGCATGGCGAGGAGGACGTGTTGCGGGAGGAGGTTGGGGATTTTGACGAACCCGTCGCGCCGGAGGGCGTCGAGATGGGGGGTCGACGAGACCATGTTGCTCTCCGGCTTGAATTGGACTGGACTTGAATTGGATTGGACTCGCTTTCGGACTTGGATTACTCTTCCAGATGTGTACCTGGATTGGACCTGGATTGGACTTGGACTTGAATTGGACTTGGACTTAAAGCCCTAGGGGTGTAGTAGCGTGATTCTGGGATCAGATTTTTATGTAGAAGGCGAACTGAGTGTCGACTTGGATAGTGTTGATCCCAGTAAGTCCCGGTCATGCATCAGTATATCTGTGAGTACTCCGTATTAGCACACTGGTCGTCGTCCGTACTACTGTAAGCATTCATTCATTCATTCATTGATCGATGACATGGACACGGGGCGACCCAAAGGCGGGGTGGCTGCGGCGGTTGTCGGTTGCCCTCCCCGCACAAGGCTGCACAAGGCCGCACAAGGCTGCACAAGGCTACAGAGGGCCACACGAGCCATGGTAAAGCCTCTTAGCCGATGAACAAATGTGACCCCGTGCTCCGTACTCGTATTGTTCTCGTGGCAGGAGCAGTATTTTGGCGTGAAATGAAGCAGGAGCATAGATTGCCGAGCCAAGTCTTTCGTCAAGAGACAATATCCTCCGATGGCGTAGCTTCCCACAATCTGCAAAGTCCCCATCATGGCTCGGCCGTCAACCCGGTTTTCCCAAATCCAAGTCTATCCAAGTACTGTCCCAATGGCAAAGACAGACCACTCTGGTACACGATAATTTCATCCCACCTTTCGCTAATATGCAACAAGACAAAAAATGTCCAGAAAGAGTCCATCAGAATCCGTCCCCTTCCCGCCATGGCCGTCCAGCCTCCAGAGCTCTCTGCCGCGGATCGCTGCCCCGAGCGAAAGCTTCCTGCTTCAATTGCTCCAGCCGCGCCTCCGTGTCCCGAACCCTAGCCCTCGCCTCTTCAGCTTCGGCCGGCACCTCCTCCTCCGCCTGGAGCCGGCGCATCTCTGCACGCATGTCAAACCACTGTTGGAACTGCTCAGCCCCGCCAAAGCAGATCCCGTAGCCATCGCAGTAGCAGACGTGCATGGCAGGACACAGCTCCGACACGCCGGCGAAGAGGAACTGCCACGTATACTCCATCACGCGGCCGGAGAAGACGTCACTGAGCTCGGTGTGGAGGATCCAATCTCTGTACCGGACGTATTCCTCCCTTGGAATGGCTCGGATGCGGTCCCGCGAGACGGCAAATTGCGCACAGCAGGGCTGCGAGATGGCCTTTGGAGGCGGCAGCACGTTCGGGTGCAACTCGGTCCACACGGCGAGGGAGAAGGCGCGCTCCTCCATCTTGCGGTGCGTGTCGAGTTCCTCGTCCGGCCGATCCAGATGCAACCAGTCGGGACAGCCGGGCTCGTGGTGACACCGGAGATTGAAGTACCCTGCCCGGATGACGTGGGCGTCGCTGAGATGTTCGATCGTCTTGATCATGTCCGAGTCCAGGAGATCGTTGTTGTGCCACGTCGTCCTGTGGGCGTGGACGAAGATGGAGACGTCGGAAAGGTCGTCGTAGTGGTCGATGATGTAGGACAGATACACCATTGCTTCGTGACCTTTGTTGCGTGGGATCTCGTAGCCGGGGGAGAGAGATGGCTTGTCCACCACGTAGATGGCCTTGGATACGTTGAGGCTCGACGTCTCCAGCCACGACACGTCTTCGGATTCTTGTCTGGCAACCACGACTGTCTTTGTGTAGGACTGTCCATGTCCTTTGGGCGTCCCGGGTAGGTACTCGATAGTGGCACCCTCTGGGGTGTATTGCGTCGTGATGACGGGTAGCCTCTTCACATCCGCGTCCGGATATCGAGGAAGATGCCACCAGAGCAGGAGCACCGAGACGGCCGCGATGACGGCGACTGAGGGCCGTAGACGCCACATCGTGGCCTCCCGAGAGCAGACGACGAGACCACCGCTCTCATCAATTCAATCAATCAGTCAACAGGTGTGTGTGTAGAGACCGGCCAGCGCTGACCCGGAGCTATCTCGAACAGGACTGCTCTTCGCCAGCAAAAAGGTACGTATCTGTCTGCATGTGCGCCTGTGAAGGGATCTCTGGACACCGCTGTGTTACCCGGAGGACCGTGTACCATTCATTGGCTGCCCGTTGTCGAGGCAAAGGGCATAGGGAACGAAATGAGATTTCTGCAAAGAGCAGCTCCGCGCTCCCAGCATAAGGCTGGTGCTGGCAACTTGACAAAAGCCATGACTTAATGAACCATCCACCTGATCCCTGCGTCTTATTCACAAATCACGATGCGCCTCAAGTCAAAGCAGCACCGGCAGTGGCAGTGGCAGTGGCACCAATGGTCGAGCAGACGCACAAGCTTTGACAGGGCCGCCTAGCCACCCACCCGTGGACCGTTTGAAGGTGACACACGCCAGGGGGCTGATTCAGGCTCCACAGGCATGGGTTTCGGGCGTGATTGGGCTTTGTCCCGAGTTGATGGGGGAAGCCTACGAGAACGTAATTAAGGCTCCTCCTACGGAAATAGAAAAGGACCCGCCGATGCATCGACCACCAGAAGCGCCAGGAAGAAGCTGCCTAATTGACGCCATGGAGCTTGTTTCAACTGTTGTCGATCCCCCGTGGACATGGCCTGTTATGGCAGCTGGTTCGGATCAAACATAGGGAGTACAGAGTGCGACCGTAGAAGACAATAATAAGCGCACACAAGATCAGGATATTGCTCATAAGGAAGTGCCGGTGCTTTTATACTGCCAAGTTACGCTCTCTTGCGTGCGGGAGCAAGCAAGCTGATGCGCCTCTCTTACTGATCTTTCCCCGTCCCACAGGGCGACATGGCCTAATTAGAGGCGTATTTAATATATGGGCACCTTGAAAGCATCAAGATCGTAATTCCAATAATCGACACTCTGCTGGTCGAAGCGGCACTCTGGACTCGTGGCATTGTTCCCTCGCCACACCGGCCGTAGGGGCCACGCACAGATCTGTTGATTCCGGCCCTTATTCTCGCCCAGCAGGACCGTCGCATTGAGCGTCTGCGGCGCGATCCCATGCTCGACCCAGTCGATCATCACGGCCAAGTTGGTCTGCGGGAACGGACCGTCCGGCTGCGCCGGGTTCGCTGCGCAGTGCGTCGCGCCGGGTACGAGAAACAGCTTGAAGAACTCGTTCTGCGCCGCGGCCGAGTCGTTGTAGCTCTGACCCGGGTTCATGATCTTGCGGACCGACTCCCAGTACCGGACCGACGACGCCGTGGGGATCCCCCAGTCGGCCTCGCCGTGGAACATGAGCACCTTGCCGCCGGCGTCCCGGTACGGCGTCAGGTCGGGCCAGGTGGTTTCCAGCACGCCTTGGAACCGCTGCATACCCTCGGTGATCCAGTCCCTCAACGTGTCGTAGGTCACGCTGTCGAGGTTGGGCAGGTTCGAGCCATTCCGCAGGTTGATCTCCACCTCGACAAAGACACCGCCCAGACTGATAATCGAGAGACCCCATTGCTGTGTCGTGACGTTGTAGCCGGTCTGCGCTTCCGTCATCTGCGCTCCCGGCGTCGGGGCGAAGTACACGCGTCGACCCTGGGTGTCGTGCAGGCCTTCGAGGATTTTCTTCGCCACGGCAACGGCTTGCTTCGTCACGTTCCCCCGCTGCGCAGGGATTGCAGGTGAGCCAGCAATGGCCGGCGTGGCCGGACAGGAATACGGCTGCCCGGCCATGGTGGAGAAGTTGTCGGCCTCGACGTATTGCGTGTAGCACAGATCCGTCCGCGCGACCACGCCATCCGTCTTCCCATCGAGCGGGTCGCAGTTGATGATGGTCTCATTGACGATCTTCTGCAACTCGCACGGCGACGGGTAGTAGTCCATGGTCTGCTCGACCACGTTCGGATACAGGAGCTGGGTCTGCTGGAACGACCACCGAAACGCGGGCGCGCCGACGATCGCACCATCGAAGGAGTCTTCGTATCGCTGCACCTGGCTCCAGCCCTCTCGACCACCCTCGGAACAGCCCTGCCAGTACGTATACAGGGTCGTGTCCGTCTGCGTCATGTTGAAGAACGATTTGGTGAACGCCTTGCCCAGCTCGCTCATCTCTCGAATCCCCTGGTAGCCAAACATATGGACCTTGTGCCAGTTGAGCGTGCCATTGGCATCCAGCCACTGTGTGATGGTGTTGCTCTGCGCGGCGCCAAACCCGGCGTCAGTCAATCCGGACACAGCGCCATGGATGATGCCCCCGGGCAGTGACTGGTTGCCCGAATTGATGGCATAGCCGCCTCCGCCCGTGGCCAGGAAGCGATTCTGGAATCTGCCAGGTGCGGGTAGCCAGTACGTCAGAGCCACTTGATCCTCCAGCCCGTCATGGGAATATGTGAAGCTGACGTTGCAGTAGTCGAAGGTGGCATCCGGGTAGAAGTTGTTGTCCGCGACGCTGACTTGGGTCACCGGATTCGCGGTTACTGACGACGGATCAAGACTCACACCTTGGTAGAAGCCAGGTGGCGGGAGATGAGCCCGTACATACGACGGCGTGCAGACATCGTTGAGAGTGGCTGCTGTGGCGCTGGCGAGCACAACAGCGAAGACCGGGACGTGGAAGCGCATGGTATGTCCCTGCGCCTAGAGAAACTTCTGGGCCGAACGACACGGACACATTCGTACCTTGCTCTAATACTTCTCGGGTGTTTATATAATTATCTCGCCAGAGCTCTCGAGTTCTCGCCTTCCCATCCATTTGCCTGAACGGGACTCACCGCATCAACCAAGAGGGGTATATTCGCTTGCCTGAGTGGGACTGACAGCAAGCACCCATGGTGGAGAGGGGTTCTGTATTGTGTCACTGTGCACATCCCCAAGATTTTCATCGGCATATAAACCCCAGAAACGTCTGTGGCGCAAACAGCATTAAGATCGAAATGTGGAGAGCTGAGGATGTGGCAGGGGGGCTCGCCACAGCCGGTCCACTGATGTCTGCTCTCAGGCAGGGGGAAGGTCGGCTCGCATATCCTGTGTTTCGAATCTCGAAGATCTCGTGCTCCCCGTGGTGGCCAAGGTTGCCCAAGCTCGTCTGGGTTGTCGCAGCATTGACTGTATTCTTGATTGACGACATGACTTGTCAGCGAGTATCGGCTTCCCCTGTTGTGCGCCTTTGCACTGCGCAACCCATCGAACGATTATGCTACATTATATACATATGTTGTGACGCCTGTTCCACTGCGATCCTGTTCAATGGCCACTGGACCAGCGCGAGGAACTCCGGCCTCAGCATGCGCGAGATGGCTTGGATCAGTCGAGCCCCTACTTTGTCCAACCACCAAAACCCGTTGAACGCGTGCAAAGCCACGCCGTAATGTGCTAGAACCACGAGCGCCATCTGATCGCGTTCCCTAAGGAGGCGCACCAGGTCTCCTCCGACAAAATGAGGCCAACCGATCATGTCGTCAAAGATCCTGCGCTCAGCATCCTCGCTAGGAAATGCATTTGTCAACATCCCAATGCTGCGTACATAGATCGGAATCTTTGCCAGGATTTCGCTGTTGTTGTTGGCCTCCGCTTCTCGCGCAAGGTGCTCCACGTAAGCCATGAGACTGCGGAGGGCATCCTGTGGCTCTTTGACCAGGTACAGGAGCATATCCCCGGGATCCGTCGTCCTGTCCATCAGGGGCCGCAGCACCCCTGCTCGTAGCCAACCCGCCCCCCGGGACGCGATGACGGTGGCGCCAATGACATAGTCGAAAACCGAAGTGATCTCGCCGAGCACGTCCTCGGGGTCGATTTCACCATCCATCGCTGAGATGAAAGAGTATCGGATGGGAAGAAGCAACGCCGAAAAGGCGAAGAGAGCATGACAGTTCCCCGGTGTTATGGTTCGCAGTTCGGGGATGTAGCCCGCTAGAGCCCGGGCTTGATGCTGAGTTGCCAGGTCTAGATACCTCGACTGCAGCAGGGGTGGAGACGTGTATCGTACGTGCATCGATGCCAGTGCCAGGAGGCCGTGTCTGAGAAATGGTTGGTCCGAAGCAAGAGCTGGAACGGACACCTGCCACACCCGGAACGTTTCCCAACGGTCACTCATGGTGAAGCAGGTGGCTTCTGACCAGCGCTTGATGAGGGCGTCGTCGTACTGCTCGAGATCCTCTGTCCTTTCATGAGGACTGTGGGTGCCCGCCGCTGATGCTTGGGGAGTACTACCTGAACTTCCAGGCGACGAGTGGAAAAGCGGACCTCCACTGGCATCTGACTCGAGGAACGAGCAGCGTCCTCCGAGTCTGTTACAGTTGGCACAACTCGGACGCTCTTCACCACATCTGATCTTCCTCTGTTTGCAGTTGGCGCATCCATGTCGAGACTTGTGGTGGAACTGTCGAGATGGCATAGCGCCTGGCCGGTCAGTCTCCCTAGATGGCAATGACTTGCGGGCAATGCTGCCTCTGGCTCAGTGCTATGACTTCAGCTCCCACTTGCGCATTGAATGTGACTCAAGCTGTACCTGTAACGATCTCGCTCCAGTTTGTGAGGGTGTGTGCCGAGTGCAGGACCAACCTCGACGGGACCCCCTTATATTCGCGTCAGGCGCGCTCGTGGCACGTCGAGCAAGACATTCCCGCTCGATCGAGGACATCATCACACATTCACCTGGAGGCCACCCAGGAGGCAGCATCTTTCACGAACCCACGGGTCTCGCCCGTCGTTAGTCGGTGCTCAGTCTCTGGGCAGTCGCTGGGAGGCTGCTATTGATGAATCAGGCGTGCTATTGTGCGTGTTCCCGCTCGTATATCGAAGTACTTCCACAGCGGTGGCAACAATAGCTAGCAGCTTCCAATCTGGAGCAAGGCGAGAGGTTTAGTGTAGAAAGAGAGAGAGACTCGCAGCATCCGACGGGTGCTTGTGGTTCCTATCTCTCAATCATGCATGCCGCTGACGGCGAACAAAACGCCTTCGCTAGCGAGCAGGAACACCCATGAGCCGGTGCTGGTTGGCCTCCGTCGACCTCGTCTTGCCGCCGCTTCTCGCCACAGAGCTGTGCCACCGACGACACCTCACCACAGGCGGACAGGCGATTGAGGATTCGATCCAGCTTAGGGCGAGCATCTTCCATACCACATCAAGTACGGTGTACGGGGAACGCGGTCCCGGTCCCTGTCCCTGGTCTCCACTCTTCTGTCAGCTGGACGCCGTACACAGGAGCATAATCGCTCCGTCGCCTGGCTTTCTCCCGAATTTGCTCACTTCGATACGGAGTACGAGTTATGATTTCTCGGCCATATCCTCTTCCTCTCAGCAGCGCCACACATGAGCTGCAAACATAGTCCGATGATGTCTCATGGCAAGCCAGCAGAGTGAGCTGCGATCCTACACAGCTCGATGCGGTGCGACCTTGTTGGGATCCCACAGAGAAATAAACTTTGCTGAATTGGGAACGCACCACTAAGCATACGAGATGAGAGAAGAAGAGAAGGAACACGTTGTGGGGAATGAATATCAATCCATTATTGAAGAGCTCCAAACCCACGACACTTCCGTCATTCCCATTCGAGTCTGCTGATGGTGAAGACTGCGTCAATGATCTCGCGTAAGGACCGATGATGGTCAAGTGGTACAAGTACAGGATAGGGTATGCCAGTGGTACAAAAGGTGTTGACTGGAGTCTCTCATCCCCTCCGCCGCTGCTCATTCATGTTTGCCATGGCTCGACAAGGTATCAAGAAGACAACGCAAGTGGCAGTCTACTTCTTCTGCTCGCCGGAGATGCTGCTAGCGAGGTCTGTGGGCAAGAGTCAGTATGAACGGCGCAAGGGACTGCAACAGTGAAACATACCTGCGGCAGCCTTGCTGGCGGTGTTAAGAGCATTGGCAGCGGCCTCTTGGGCTTGCGCAACGTAGCCTTTACCTGTCTCTTGTGCAGCACCAGCAGTCTCACTGGCCTTCTGACCATACTGGGAAGCAGTCTCTTGTGCGGCACCAGCAGTCTCACTGGCCTTCTGACCGTACTGGGAAGCAGTCTCTTGGGCGGTCTGAGCGGTATTGGAGGCAGCATCCTGAGCTTGGTTCAGATAGTCCTTGCTGGATTCTTGTGCAGCACCAGCATTGTCTTGAGCACTCTTCCCGATGTTGGACGCGGTCTCCTGGACGTTCTTCGTGGCTCCGGACAGAGAGTCTTGGGCGGAGCTAGTCTTGCTTGAGGTCTCGTCGGAGAGCTTCTGGGTGGTAGACTTGCTGTCACCTGTGTTGGGTCAGTGATGGGATCCAGAGTGGACGAGGATGGCGACATACCTGGCTGCACGAGTCCGGCAACATCGTCGGCAGTGTTGGTGGCACCCTCCTTGGCCTTGTCGGTGTACGACTTCTGGGAGTCGGGAGTGAGCTTCTCTTGAGCCTCTGCCAATGAGGTCAGTGAATGTCCCAGTCTGAGGGTGCTGGACTACACCTACGGTCGCTCAAAGGCTTTCTCGCGGCGTCAGACATGTTGGTGATTGTTGAGGATGAAAGCTGGTGGGTTGAGTATGCAGTTCTTGTGGTAAAGCGATATGCGCAAGTGAAAGTGAGTTTCTTGGGAAGATGTGGTGGAGGAAAGAAGTTCTGAAGTGGAAAAGAGAAAGTTCTGAAGAAGAAGAAGAGAACAGGAAAGCAGGCTGAAGATATCTCTGCTTTTTTTTTTCCGTCACGAGGCAAGGCAGCCGCAATACAACAATCGCGTCAGAGGCAGCCGCTGGTGTACAACAGGATGTTAATGGCGGGGTGCGAAGTGGGTGGGAAGGCGCCGTGTAAACTTTGACGTCACTGCCTGGAACGCGACATGGCAGGCGCACATGCAACAGTGGCAGCAGACCTGAGGTTCACCCGAGCAGCATGTGAGATGAGATTTCCATTGCAATGCACCAACGCCCAGTGATGGCAAGCTGTTACGAGTAGGCGTGTTTCGTGATAGGACGGGATCGCTTTGCAGCCGATCTCAACGCCGATCGTCTCCTACCAAGCCAAAACAGAACAGTAAGGGGTATCCGCTCGCTGAAGATACCGACCAAATGAATCCAAAATGCATGTACGAGTTACTGCGCACGTCTCCGTCCACCTCATTACCTCAGTATCACGCTCTGCCACCTTTGCCTTGTGTTTCTGCCACCATTGCATATCGCCTCTGGGCGATCTTGCCACAAGCAGCCATGCCTCCATCCACATGTCTCCTGGTCTGGTCCTGGTCCTCGATCTTTTCTTACGACTCGGACTTGGCCACTGTCTCTTCGGCAAGAGCTGGCTGCCTACCGGTAGTGCTCAGGTCGCCGCCCTTTCCACCGTACTCCTTCGGCAGCAGCTCTCCCAGCGCTTTAACCTTGCTGCTAGTGGACATCTCCTTGGCAAGATTGGCACCATTGCTCATCGGATGGAACTTCTTGATCGTCTTTGCCGCGACAAACAGCTTCATGAAAGCATAAATGAATCCCATGAAGGCAGGTACATTGACGAAGAACTTCTCTTTGAGGAGCTCTGGGTAGTTCTGAGCGAAGACCTTGATGGTCTCTGTGCTGGCAGCCTTCACAACGGGTGACTGTCGCAGGAAACTGATCGATTTGTAGTCGTGCACCTGGAGAATTTTGTACGGGTCGTATTCAGCCGTGATGGGCTTGGTGGCCTTGTCGATTGCAAGTGCTTGCAAGGCATCTTCCATGAGGGCGACGCGCCATTCAATGAACCTGCGGAGAAGGCATCAGCAAATACATCTTTACGACCTCGATTGCTGTTCTTACTCTTGTAGATCGCCAAAGGTCTGGTTCAGATCCTTGACACTGCCATAGATGTTCCAGGTAAACACCTCCCTCGCCTCGGGGTCGGTCGAGTCAGCATCGCCATAGACAGTCGTGTATCCGAGGCCACCGAACTTGCTGCGGTTAAATTGCCTCTTCAGTAGTTCGAGTGGTTTCATCTTGGCTCGCCAGTCCAGGGTCTTGGTGAGCGTATCCTTGGATTTTGCCAAGTCTCCATCGTATGCATTGAGGTACTTTTGCAGGATAACCTGGGTCGGGATGTGACTGGACGGGTCTGCCAGGGTAACTCCCCAGATTTCGGGATGCCCATGCGACTTGGCCAGTGCCCAAAGCTCTTCGATTGGAGTCGTGGTCTTTTCGGTCGGGACCTCCTTTTTTCCTTCGTCCTTCTGGTCAGTGGTCGGAACAGTGTCCTGGGTACTGTCAGCACGGTACTTATAAACCAAATGGCAAGCGCCATACATTGGGTGGTTCAGCCGACGACGGCTTCTCTTCACTGTCGGGAACAACGGCGGAGACCTCGCCAGGGAGAGTGGCATTGTTCGGTGCATCAGTGGTCCCTTCGGACGAAGGGACGATGCCAGACACCTCGCCCGGCAAGGTAGTGCTATTTGGCGCCGCGGTGGTTGCTGCGGTAGCGGCCATGGTGTCGGTGAAAGATGGTCTGTCACCGCAGCAGAGATTGAGATACACAAACTTGGGAGGATAGTGCTGTAAACCGATTGCGCTCTGTGGCTGAAGCAGCGTAGATAGCTGACGAGGCCCTGAAGGACAGAATCGATGCCGGATTCAGTTGTTTGTTTATTTCCGCCGAACTCCCGGAGCTTTTGCTTCGAGATCCAACAGCACGAGAGACGACACGCAAATCAGCCCAGATCTATGCTTCAGAGTCGGTCTCGAAGGGCAAAGGACAACTTTTGGAAAGCAAGACGTATTATCCGTATGAGAGGAAGCCTGAGGTCGCTGAGTTTCGACGAGGTTCAGGAGATCAATCTAGAAATATCCGGGGCGCCTACTCCGTAATCTTATCTAATCAACCGAGCGCCGAATGCTCTACGCGCTCCGGATATACCCGATATCTCCGCATCAAGGAACCACAGGGCGCCGGGTGACAGAAGACTACGTTGCTGAAGCTTTTTAACACTTGAACGAAATTTGCATTGCATGGGCTGGATTGGCCAGCTATATGAAGCACATTATGGACGCTACGAGTATTGGTTGCTCGACTGCTCCTCTGCACCATCGAGAAGTCACGGCATTATGCGAGCGGGTATCAAGTGGTGCAGGATTTTGTGGCATCGACACTATCGCCACTGCAGGTAGGGACCAGAACAGGAGTCCTGAAGCCTTTAATCTGTTGCTGATATCCACGAGAGCGGGATAGATATGAGACGGATGCTGTCTCAGGCTGGGAACGCTGAGGGTCCTGATTTGTCACATGGCTCAGCCTGTTTGTGTGTGTTGGAAACAGGTTACGATCATGCCTTTAGATTTGGGTGGGATTGAATTGGATAGGTCAGTTCCTCGGGATGCAGCTGCAACAATTCCGTTCTTCCTCCCCGCAGCGCTGTACTCCCTACCGTACGATAGAGAACACGTGAGCAGCAATCGGGAAGGAAACGAACGGAATGGTGGAAGAGCCCAGTAAGACGACCAGGCTCAACTCTCATGTTCAGCATCGAATGTGATCCCAGAACCTTGTGTTGATTCGTACTCTTCAACGACACATCAGAAGGTTGCTTTCGAGTTGTTCCGGCAATTGAAGAGCTGACGGCGTGTGTTGTAGGGAGCAAAGACGTTTGTTGTTCATTGGGGTCAGCACTGGCACTCTGGATTCCCTCCGGAGCGACGTTGGGGCTTGCAATTGCCGATGGACTGCGCCATAACTGGGTAGTAGATGATCTTCAACGACATCGCTGTTGACGGACCACGAGCCATCCCAGACCAAGCTTCTTACTTGGGCCTGGAGGGTTGGCTCCGTCTTGGAATGTTTTCTCTTGTGATGTTTCGACCGTCCATTGAGCTGTGAAGTCGGGGTCACGGCATGCTCAGAAAGGTGCTGGGGAGTTGGTGTGACACTTTGACTGGAGGTCTCGGACTGTGTTGACAGCGACATCAGACCATGTATAGCAGCAACTTCAGAACTTGTCGGAGTAGCGCCGGGAGACCGACAGGGAAGAACGTCGACGGGATCTTCGTCACTAAGCATCGAGGCCGGGGTCTGATCGCTCGTTGATACAGAGCACGCCTCGGCCCCGAAGTCCCGATTTGGCATGGGACGGTCTGTCGAAAGTGGCTTGTAGGATCTGTCAGGCAGCGAGCAAACTCGAGACAGCGTGGAACCAAATCCACAGGGGGTCCTTCTCTGAACGTGTGGCATGATCGGACCGGATGAAGACCACGAGGAGACGGATGAGATCGAAGACGACCGAGAGCGGGAGGTGGAGCACGTCGAATCTGATGACACCGACGCCGGTGAGGATGTTAAGGGAGTTGTAGTTCTACTCGGCAATTCCTGAATCGTCTCTGCAGAACGCATCAGGTGCTTCAGAGATGGCAGAACAACATCTTGTGGATGAGGGGGCGGACATCGTTCCAGACTTGCCTTGCGGAAGCACTCCTTCCGCAGGCTGCTACGCATGGCATCCATCGATGCAGCTAGACGAAGCGACGGTCTCGAACAGGTTTTCTCGCCAGTAAACTGGTATTGCAGACGAGGTGTGGTTTGTGGAGTTGGCAGATTTCCAAGCTGTGGCCGACTCGGTAATGGAAGACCACTGGCTGGACTCATCGGCACAGGAGTCTGGGGAGTATGTGAGCCGTGAACGCCGGACGCTTGGGGATTGCGTGCATTGTTCAGGTCTCCAAAGTTCAAATCCTCTCCGGGCGTAGCAGAGTTCGAGCTTGAGGAGTAATCCAACGGCCTGTTGACTTCCTTGCTCAAATGTGGCAGAGATGCAATGATATGCAGCTTGTTACTGGGTAGATTGGCGCGGAGGAAGCGATCCACGAGTGGTGATTCCTTGACGATGCTAGGATCCAGTTTTTGAAGTATCCCCGTCCACCACTGGCTCGTAAATATCTGCTGATCAAATTGAAGACTCTCGTCCAAATCTACTTGTGAGACCATGGCGGCGAGTGACGTGGTATTGAGGCCGGCCCCAGGAGGGCCAAAATGAGCATCAAAAAGCCCAGGTGTGAAACAGGGGCGCTCAGTGGACAGCTTGCTCAAGACCAAGACGATCTTGCTCCAGTTTTCGAATGTGTCTTTGGGCACGTGGAGGTCGTAGTTGATCGTTGCAAGATACTCCCGCTCGTTCTCGTTGATTTCGTTGCTCCGCAAGCCGGAAATTTTGCTCCAGGCGCGAGCCGAATAGTTTCGATCTTGCAGGTACTTGGACGCCAGCATAAGAGCCGACAGAAACATTCGGCGCCCGCACTGCATGGCACGACACTGAGTTCGTTCCGCTGTGTCGCCTCTGCACCGTGACGCAACTTGGCCTTGAGGCATCCTGGCCTTTAAGAGAATCAGGTAATACAAGGCAACTTGTAAAGTCGAGAAGCTGGTCTTGGAGCGACGAAGAGTCTCCCGGATGAAAGTCTCAAGAGGCAATACGCCGGCACCGAAGCAATCTGTGTTCATGGGTGGGCAGTCTGAGGAGGGCCAGATCGCGGTAATGAGTCTCTTCGCAAAAATGATGAGCAACGCTACAAATTGCTCCGTCACGTCCGTGTCCCGCTTGAGCTTCGGAGGGCATGATCTGGTTAATGAGCATGCTGATCTTCGAGTACGGCAGTGTTGCGCAGTGGTTTCTAAGCTGGCCTCTGACAACCAGGGCTTCGAACTCGTCTGAGGTGGCTGTTGTGGTCGGCCAGGGCAGGCTCGTCGGCAAAACTTGGAGACGCCGCCGGTAAGGCCTCGAAATGCATTGTCGATCGGACAATTTCCACGACCGGCTCCGAGGGCAGACTGCTCGTTGTTTTGTATTCCTCCAGGTATCTGCTCCTGGCATTCTAGCGCCGGATGAGAGTGGGTTTTGGTCAGATTTGGCAGCTGCTCTTTGCCGTCCTCATCCATGAAGGTGTCACTGGACGCCGTTGTGGACGTCCATGATGTCTGAGATGAGGCCTCGGAAGAATAAGATCCATGCGCAGAGTCGCTTACACTGACGTCGTCGTCAACTGAAGCAATGCTGCTTTGATCGGTGTCTTGCTTGGATCTTCCTAGATTAGGGATCCAGGGCCCTTGAAGATTATCTGAGTCGACATCTCGCTTGCAGCTGAGAGGATTCGTAGGCCGATATACTGGATCATATATCTGCTGGTTGGAGAGCCAGGCAGGTATTGAGTCCTGGACATTGTGTGGCGCAAGGGAATCTGAGAGGGCAACAACCCCCTCAAGTCCCATCTTATAGAGGCGATGTGAGCAGTGTTCTAGTCTTGAAACAAAACACCCTTCAACGCGTCGCCTATTTGTTGTGGAGGTGGTGGAAAAGGAGGGAGGAGGTGGAGGAAATCTGTCCCACAGGTATAAGTATGATGATCCATGTGCACGTTGCAAGAGCCCTTACTGAGGGGATGAGTGTCAAACCCACCGCTAGTCAGAGCACCAGAAGCTGTTTCGTGAAACAAGAAGACTGAACAACGTGAGCAGGGGTCGATGTCTCGACGAGAGTTATGCCGAAGCCTACACTCGCGCGGTGATATCGAGGTACAAATGCTCATGTGATTCAAGGCAATCCTGATCTGGCTTTACCAAAACAGCTGGTGACTCTGGCGGTGGGCTTCGACGGGCAGATGTTTCTTCTTTGGGCATGTATGACAACCAAGGACTCATGGCTGGGAGTCTGTTCGATGACTGTGTTGTGAGAGGAGAGTAAGGATCAAAGCCGTTAGGTGGCAATCACATCCACCTAGTCGACTGGCAACGGGTCGTTCGGGTGTTGTTGAGAGGAGTGACAGGATTCGCGACCGCCCTGATATCAAGAATTATAGTGAAGTCGTTGTGCTGGCAAGGAGTGAATGCGAGTCTCGCGATCGCAGGTGTTGTAGGTCGGCTGGCAGTGGCGGACCGAGAGCAGCCTTTGCCTCTGTGTATCCCGCAAGCAAGTACGAGTCTCTCTTTCGGATAGCCGTGGCGAATACTGATGAAAATTAAAGGTACAGTGTCTGTAGGCAGCCATGGCCAAGTGAGTCAGTTGTTTGTTTGTTTGTGTTTTTTCTTTCATCGTCCAGTCATGGGTCTCTTTGCGTGGCGAAATCGCTACCCGACCAGGAGGCTTTGGATGGGAGGCTTACAGCAACGACAGAAATTCGACAGAAGAGGACCTGCTGGTATACAGAACGTGAATGCAGTCGACTAGATCTTCGTGGAAAATAGGGAGCAGCCCGTGCTGCAACTCGAGGATGGCTTCATTTTGGTGTCCGTGGTGGGAGCACCTCAGTCTGGTGCAGGCGCTGGTAGGTTATAAGGGCTCAGCCATGTCGCCACACACTGATGACTGGGCTGTGGTGGCTCGCTGGAGACAGGCTCCCGGGCGACTCCAGGCCATCAGCCGATGACTCAAAACCAACCCCCCATCACCAATCCCCTAAGTCACTTAGGTGGCTCATTGCTCTACCTGAGGTGCCCTTCCCACTCCTCTCAGGCACATCTCTACGCACAACTATTCGGGTCAGGGGGCGAAATTCACTTGATGCTTCGAGTTACGAGTACGGCTGTCTTGAGATTTCCAACATCTTTGTACTGTGTCAAGTGCACGCTGCCTCTACTGTAGCTTGCAGTTCTAATTGACCATTCATACCAATTTGGTGTGGCGTGCACAGATGATGAGAGTGACCTATCTGCTCCGTATTCCAGGCGGCACTGCGGCACTGCTGCCTCATATACCTCTCAGCCCCGACTGTCCGCACTGGAGGCCGTTTTTCCAAGGTTTGTGCAACTACTCGTAACGGACCAGGCATCAAGTGGCCAATGAGTCCGTCGAGTATTCTGCCAATTCGCGGATTAGATCAGATTTCTGTTAGTCATGCCGTCTGATTTGTGCTATAACGGAATACATCTGCGTTCCTTGTCGCTTGGACGCTGCTTCATCTATCTCGCAACCTGGGAAGCAGCACGGGTGCCATATGCAACCCAACTTTGAAGTGTACGCTGTTATGCGAAGATATGCGAGAGACTGTCCTTGAAGCATGTCTCGGCATGTGCACAATTCAGATAATGGAACACGAAGAAGCAAAGCGATGACTACCTCAGCACACCTAATCAGCGCATTGCACACTCCGATTGCACCACTCAGGAGCTGGCTTGGTGGTGAATCACCAACAGTCCAATTGGCCACCGTGGGAAGGCCATGTTGCCGTGATGGAGTGGTGCAAGAGGTCTCCACGCCCTCGTCTGTGTGAGGGTGCAAGGTCGGCACACTGACCGACGGGTGAGGAAAAGCTGCGAAGGTCGCCAGAGGCGACATCGCGACGTGTGACTCAAACCAGATTCAGTCGGGCGGCGAATGAGAGCTGGGCTGCCCGCCACCTTTCCTTCTTCAGGCCCTTTCCCGGCGCACCTTGTCCGCCGCCATTCCGAGAGTCGGACTTGCCAAATCGCAAAGGATCATGCCAGCGCGACCAGGGCCGCGGCACCGTCTGGCAACCTCGGGCGCTACATTTGAGTCCACTCAGCATTCACACCGAAATTCAGCTTCAGATCATCAGTCACCGCCAGTTAGTGAACAGGCGCCGACGACGTGGACTGGGGCTGATTTTGGGGCGGCTGAACGCTGGCTTTGCCTGCGAAGAAGGGTGGGGGATTGAACCGGCGACCCATTCTTGGGGAATGTCATCTTGCGTTGGCGCGTGTCTCGGCCTGGTTCCCTGGTTCCCTGGCTCCGAATCGCGATCAGACTTTCCTTCATTTTCCGATGCACCCTTGGATAAGAGTACGGCCGAGCTTGGCCACCAACAGGCAGAAGCTTTGATTTTCCTTCCGACGATCAGGATGACCCAGAAACAGAAATTGCGAAGCACACCTCGGGCGTCATTTGGGGTCTTTGTCGCTGCCTTACACCTCCTCGCCCGAGTTGTGCATGGTGCACAAGGTCGGCTCGCTGTGTCTGAGTGAACAACCCAGGCCAACGGGCCTCCCGAATTTGTCATCCGCACGAAACTCCCACAGAGCGCTCGGTCAAAACTGAGAGATGTGACATCGCAGGCCAGCGATGCCTGCTTGGTGTTGTCGTCCATGCTGCACGGCGAGCGGGACTCGGATCTACCAGCACTCCGTACAATGCCACCAAGCCCACCTTTGCTCTTACGGCAACTGTTTCTGTCACAAAAGGATACCACTCGGTCGACGTAGCGGCCGTCTGTCCTTGATCGGAGATGGGTGGCACGGGACGAGATAGCAACCAGCATCCAGTTTCAGTTCAACCTAATACGGCCATCCAATCTCGAGTCCAGGTCATGTCCAAGGTCTTCAAGACGCTGATCCGGTCTCCGGGAACCCTGGCTGGTGATACCACCCCACCAGGCCGTTCTCATGTGAGAATGAGGGTTAACTGCGACGATTACATCCAGCTTTAACTGCACAGTGCAGTATCAGAACACAAGCCAAGTCGGATTCGATTACTCAAGGGCTTCAGCCTGCCCGAGAGCAGTTTCCCACGAGCTAGATGGACGGGGGAGGATCAAAGACAGTGCACGCCGCTTTGCAAGCGACCTTGTCAAGATCTGCAGAGTGTCTTGCCTTTGACTCGCAAGTCTCCCTCGAGAGGCCAGTTTTTGCTCCTTAGTCTGGCCGGATCTGTGGTGAATTCGAACAGTGGAAAAGTCCCAAGGTCTCCATGAATCGCCAGCAACTGAGCTGCTGCCTGCCACGTGACTTAGTCGACACTGCTGGTGCTGCCAATCGGTCAGACTTCGGCTTTATAGGCATGTGGCACGCTGTGGCGAGACACCCTTCGCATCGAATCTACGAGTATGGCTGAGGACAAAGAAGTGCGTGGGTATCATGGATCGGGGAGGGGCTTCTGCCTGTCGCGAGCCTCCCAGATCCCCTCACGCCCTTTTACACCACTGTCACCACGCAACTGTGGACTGGTACTGGCACTGTTGAGCCGGATATCGTACGCGGGTCAATGTGGCTGTGCTTGAAGGGCCCAGTGGCCAAAGCAGGATGGCGCTACGATGTGAGGCGAGATCAAATCAAGAGACCAAAAGGAAGGTTAGCCCACTGCGTTGTTCTAGAACGAGCGTGATGGCGCCTATCGGAAAACAAGCCCTCGAGACAAGACGTACTGTTGCTATGTCGTGCTGCGCGTCACGAGACTCCAGGACGATGGTGATGGCACGATATCGTGGTGATCTCTGGTATCGGATTGTGCTGCGCGGTAAGTTCACTGAAAGGCTAATGAACCTGACAAGGCCGCAGTCCTGCTCCAGCTCGCGCACGTCACGGAATCATCTCAACAAAGCGTATCATCGAAGAGGAGGGCATTAGGTAGGTACAAGATAAGCTGGCACATGTCTCCTATCCCTTAAGTTCCAGTGACCTGTGGACGTCAGATTGAACAACCTTATGGTGGGAGGATCGCGCTTTCAGTATCATCTCAATGCGCTCATAGGTAGGCAAGCAAGGCAGTCAACACACACACCCACACACACCCACACACACCCACACACACCCACACACACCCACACACAAAGCTTTAATTGCTCGCGGGGCAGCGGTTCTGGCATTTTGTTGACCCCAAGAACACACCACCTGGTCAAAATCCCTTGATGTCGTTTCTCTCCATGACAACCCTTTAGGCCTTCATACCTTGGCAGGTGGCGGCTGGATGAACGGCTACAACCCGCTCTGTGAGGAGGTATACCTCAACTCGCGATCAGCGAGGCGACGAGGCTTGCCCTGCTTCTCTCGAGACAGGAGTAAGACATGGCATGGAGAGACAGCATATCCTGCCAGCACATCAACCACATCCCTGTCCGGACGGGCCACCACTTGACTGAGCTGGAGTGAACGAAGAGGTGGTGGTCCTCCTTTGACTAAGCTGGAAAGAACGAAGAGGTTGTGGAACCCATGAGACCTTCTTGATGTTTTTGAGTCCACTCTCCGTCCGCAAAATGTACCTAGCATTCTGACCAAAAATTCGAAGCTTAATTACAGGACCTAAGATGTAGCGACCATACAAGGTACTGTACTCCCTCTCCAATTGTTCTCATCAACTCAAAATAATGTTTTTATCACAATTACCACGCCAGCCGCGTGCTGCTCCTTTCTCGCGACCGAGGCGGCCCTGCTTCATACATATCCCTGCCATGGTCGAGCCCGTCCGCTCTGCTTGTGTCCGTCGGCAACCACCATTTTTGTGTATATATATAGTCCTACAACCCCCCCCCCCCCCCAAACACAACCAGCGCCGCAAGTTGTCCACTGTGTTGTCTTGACTCCTTCTGCTCGAGTAACTCCCGGCCTCCCTGGAGAGGTGGTTCTCATGTCAGTCAATGAGTGGGTGGCGTTTCACATATATTCCTCCATATAGACAGACTTCCAGCTTCATCTCGCCAAATACCGTTCAAGCGCGCCCCAGACCTCCATGAAGAGGGACTAGTTTCGAGGAATTCAAGACAGCTCGATCGACACGCCATCCGCGCGTGCTTGGTCCTAGCTAGGTAGGTAGATATATGAGTGTCGAACATTGCTCTGACTGTTGTCCTCATCATTGCCCAACTCCGTCGTCCATCACCTGGTAGTCTCTATCTCAACCACTGTCCTGTGCCATCCCATTCTATCTATGCGGTGTAATCCAGGGACACGGTCGCCAGGCTCTTGGTCCAGTTGCCCTCTCCCACGCGTACACACTGTAAATAGTCTATGCTTATGTTACAGCCAATATTCCTGCCCTTCTAAGCATTCTGCACGTTTCTCGACGGACGCGACCTGCGCCTGATCCATAAACGCCTCTTGAACCTTCTTCCCGAGTCGGCAGAACGTCCTTTCGGACTGCACCACGCCGCACCGAGCATTCAATTGACTGCCCTTGGTCTGTGGACTGCGTATTCTGCACCACTCCGCCTCCACCCTTCACGACCTCTCGTAACTGCTCTTCGGCCCAGGCTCGTAATAATGCGCCATTTCCAAGCCCGCCCTCTTGAACCCACATTTCACATAGAATCCCTCGTTCGCCTCGCTACAGTCGAGAATACTCTTATAGCAGCCCACCTTCTCCGCCACGGCATCCAACGCCTGAATGATGCGCAACCCCAGCTTCTTGCCCTGTTGGTTCTTCGCCACGGCGATGTCTTCAATATGGCCCACCAGTCCCATGTTATGGATGAATTTGCGCTCGACGATCACGGCGCCCGTGCCGACCACCGTGGCGGTCTCGTCGCAGATCACGAGGATGTAGTACGTATCGTTGCGGGAGGAGATGAAGTCGTAGCGGGCATTGAATTCCGCGAGCGTGGGTTCGCCGACCGTGGTAAGGACACGGAGCGTGGGAAGGAAGCCTGCGAGGAAGGAAAGTAAGTACACGTGTAAGCAATGAGCGCACAAATCGTGTCATCCTCGAGTCGACAGTCGATGGTGTGCGCAAAGTAAGAGAGCCGTACCGCCATAGTAATCACTCCGTCGCAGTGGTCTGATGGTATACCCTTCTGGCAACCGTGCCGCTACTTCCTCCGAGATCAATGAAGCCGAGAACAACGGCGGGTCGTTCTCATCGCTAAAAACGGCCTTGCCGTTCTGCTTGGGTTCGTCCGTCAGGGGCGGGGGTGCTGAGGTCGATGTCGATGTGGTTGTGGCTGGGGTGGTTGGGACCGCTGTAGCTATCGACGTGGTGGGTTCTGGCGCGTGAGCGTGTGTACCATTCGTGAGCGTGGCTGGCTGGCTGCCCTTGTCACCATTCACCGCAGTTGTAGGCGCAGGTGTACCTGTGCCGGTTGTGGGAGCCAGAGTTTCCGTCGAGGTGACTCGCGCGCCTGCTTCTTTCGACTGCGACTGTGACTCCGACTCTGCCCTGGTATACTCGGTAGCTGGGTTCGAGGTGGACAGGAGACTGGCTTCCGTCGGGGTTTGGACGTCGGCCATTCTCGCCGTTGCTGAAAAGGGATGGCTCTTTCTCGAGAAAAACTTATTGAGCAGCTCGTGCTCGAATTTGGCTCTCGCTTGCGTTTTCGTAGCGAGGGACAAAGGTCAGGGATGCCGAGCAATGTCAAAGAACGGTAAGAGTTGGTCGACTTCAGCTGCTCAGCCTGGGGAGCCGCGTCACAGTGGTGAGTGAGAGTTGAAGAGTTGGAGACACAGGTCAACAATGCTAGCACGGAGGGTGCGTGTCTTTGTGTGTGTGTTTTCAGAGGAACTGAAAAGCGACAGCGACGGCAAGAATGACAATTGACAGAAGGTGCGATATGGCAATCTGGAAAGAAGGACTGGACAGGACAGGACACGGCGGCTTTGTATCGATGAAATGGCCCCCTTGCGGTGAGATGTTCTCAGATCAGCTCTGGAATTTCTGAGAATTGGAGACCCTCTTGACTGTCGACCTCGCTTTGGCTGTTTCCTGAAACATTCATTGCTGTCTCAGCCTCGGCCAGTCGAGCATTGCATGCATGAAGCGATATTCAGGGGGCAGCAAGCTGGGCTATTATTATAGCATCACAATCCACCCCTGTGGGACAATTTCTTTATGCGTCTGCATGATGCTCCTCATGTCTAATCCTCTAGAATACTTTCTCTATTGGTGGAGGAATTCGATCCTGTTTGGCGCGTTCTCAGTCAAACCACAGATCTGATGGAAATCTCCAAGCGCGGCACCTCTGACGGACAGAAAGGTCTGAAAACTATCCATCGAGATGGCGCCTTCGATATCGGTGGATCGGACAGCATGGGGAATGCTGGTCAGGTCAATGAGCGCATCGTTGATAAAGAGTCGCACTGCATGCCGTTTCTCGTGTGCTTCGGCCTCACTATCACAGGTGATTCTTTCAAAGACCAATCGTCCTCCCATTGGTACCACATCGCTTGTCCTCCATTTCCGCTCATGCATCACGCGGTCGGTCGGCAGCTCTTCTAGCCCCGGAAGTTCGCTGAAGATTCCCAAGGTGGCCAGTACCGGGATGATGTCGCCGTCGTGGACGAAACTGAAATACACGTCCTTTGCGGAGTGATCCGACATGAGGCTTTGCGTTGCGTTCAGCCACAACCAGCCCATCAAGGCTCCGAATCCGTTCCCGGGCCCAGCTCGATAGTAATGCAGCAGATCTCGGGCGTATTCAAATTCGAGCCATTCCTGCCTGGAGAAGACGTCGCACCAGGGGCTGCTTCCCCTCGCAAGGGTCTCGAAGCCGCACATTTCCATCATGCCGTATATGTCCAAAGGACTGAGAGGCACGCCGACCGCATCCTTCGCGAGCCGCTCTGAAATGGGTTTACTAAACGTGGCTTGCCACTCTGCGAGCTTGATGTATCCCTTGTCGTGGCCTTCTCGACTGTCCGTAACATACTTGTGACAGGTGTCTCCTGGTGTCAGCGTATTCGCGCCTCGATCCACGGTCTCCGGGATCACCTCAAGCACTGCCGAGCCATCAGTTTTCCATTCCGAGCCAAAAAACCCATCGGCAAAACATTCTGCTGTCTCGACGTCCCGCAGCGATCCGCAAGACCAGAACTTTGTCGGGCGTCTCTTGGAGGCTAGGTGGCCGTATCGCCGCCGCATGGCTCGACCTGTGTTCGAGGCTTGCTTTGTCCCCGCATAGGGACCAACCGCTGTGAGGTTCTCGAATGCAGGATTGGAGGCGTCTGTAAAGTAGGTCCAGTTGTTGGCAAACGACAATGACCCCGTGAGGACTACGTCTGGGGCATGGAGTCGCTCGAGCAGATTGAGATGTCCTAGTCCGGCTGGTTAGCTTCGGCAAGACATTACTGGGCGACTGGACTTACTGATACCAGCATTCCGTGTTGGATATCGTTCAGCATGCCGCGATAACTGCAAAAGTTAGTACCGGAGCAAGTGAACCGTCTATCTGCCGGCCGTCATGCTTACCATATGAACTTGATCAATGGAGCATTTCTTGGGTAGAGGTGCATCGTAGTAGTACCGGCCATCGATTCTCCTTATCCAAGGTCCGTTTCCGCCCAGGTGGTACAACAGATTCCATCCAGCTTGGAAGATTGAAGAGCACAGTCCACTGCTTGCTAAGACAGTAGGGCCTCTACAAAAGCCAGCATGAAGTTGGCTCAGAGAGCGAAGAATCAGGAAGCCTGAAGTGGCGATGAGACTGACCAAAAACAAAGTGCGCCAAAATGACCGACGCGTTCTTAACTGAATCCCAGGTGCAGAGGACATCGCGCTCGACTTGGTCTGCCAGAGCAGAGCCATCTCAGTCAGTTCATCAGGTAGGGGATGTCATGCATAAGGCGCAAGGTTCGGCCTCGTGGCTCGCTGTCCCTGACAAATGACTCGCCGTTGGGTCGGAGACGGCGATTGCTCGATCACTTCACTCTCACTTGCTGACACAGTTAAGTTGTGCTTTGGCTAGCCGAAGGAACGCATGCGCAGGTGTAAGAAGACTCTATGCAATGTCGCTCTAACGCTGTTCAAGAATCAGAGTGTGCGGGAATTATGCACCGTGAATGAGGACAAGTGATAAGATTTGAATGAAGGGAGGTCAGGTTTCGCTTCTTCTTTTTCCGAGTTCACCTTCGCAGGAAACCTCTCCCTCTCATATCTCAGTGGACACACTGGTCCATCTGCGAGGTGAGTCACACCAAATGTCTACAGTTAGGTACAAGCTCTTTGTTTCCTCTTCGAACAAGGTCCATGACTCCTCGTAGTCCTGCAAGAACTTATCCAGCAAGCGCACCCCTGACACTTCTCGACACCGGTTCATCTTGCACCGAACAGATGCCCCGTCACCGATCGCTCTTTCAACCCCGCATTGGAATTGGGCGAGGAGAAGGAAGAACGGCCGGCACGGCGCAGTCTCCGATTGACATGCCGCTGTCGGAGCGCATTGTCGAGGAAGGGAAATAAAATCAGTCTGCGTAAAGGAAGTTGTCCTTGAACGCTGTCTATTCTCCTTGTCCTCTCTGTCCAACTCATTTTCAAAGGCGAAAGTCGAAAGTCGAAATCAATCATGGGTTCCACGGATCCAACACCACATTCATACCCGGTCCCACCGGCTGGAGTGTATGCGCCAGCCATCACTTTCTTCGATCCTAAAACGGACACTTTACTACCCGAACAACAAGCGCAATACTATGCCTACCTAGCAAGCAGTGGCCTCCGTGGTCTAGTGATTCTCGGCACCAATGCAGAGACCTTTCTGCTCACTCGAGATGAACGAGCAGCGCTGTTGCAATTAGCACGCAAGACGGTGCCAGAAGGCTATCCCATCATCGCTGGTGTTGGTGGCCATTCAACAGCACAAGTCCTAGAATATATCTCAGATGCGCACGCTGCGGGAGCGGACTATGTCCTTGTCCTTCCAGCTGCGTACTTTGGCAAACAAACCACGCCCAGCGTCGTCCACAATTTCTACGCAGCCATTGCGAAGGCTTCTCCTCTTCCAATCCTCATATACAACTTTCCTGCAGTATGCAATGGACTCGATTTGGACTCCGATGTCATTGCAGGACTGGCTCAAGAGTTCCCAAATATCGTGGGAGTGAAATTGACCTGCGGTTCGGTGGGAAAGATTACACGCTTGTCTGCTACATTTCCACCTGAGCGCTTTGCGGTCTTTGGCGGGCAGTCCGACTTCCTGGTCGGCGGACTTGCAGCAGGCTCGGCTGGATGCATTGCAGCGTTTGCAAACATCTTTCCTAAGACAGTCGTCAAAATTTTCGATTTGTGGAAGATGGGCAAGCATGACCAGGCATTGGCGATGCAGAGAATGTCTGCCCATGCGGAGAATCCCACCAAGGCAGGTATTGCCACAACCAAGTATGCTGTCAGTCAGTTCAGTGCAAAGAAGGCCGGCATTCAGGGTGACTTGGAAGCCGTGCTGCGGCCTCGGCATCCGTACGAAGAGCCCAGCCAGGCGGTCAAGAAGAAGATCGTAGAAGTGATGTTGCCTCTGGATGAGGTTGAGAGATCGCTATGAGGTGTCCTCACAGGTAGAACACATTTACAGAAACGGCGACCCATTCCTGAAAGTAACCCGAGGTCAAACAGGAGGAGATGCCAAGCTGGAGAATAGGACCCAAGGGGGCCAGGCGGCAACCCACGCAGCTGCCCACGGTAGGCGGTCCGCAAGCGGTGCTGCGTTCGTGTGTACTCGGACGGAGTGCAAGTCGCTTGCTGCTGGCTACTCCTCGTAAGTCATACTTGAGCACGTCCAAGAAGGTAGTCGCAGCCTTGCGTCATGTCTCAATCGCCCGACTCCGGTACAGGCGCCGTGCAAGCCACGCCGTCAAGGCAATCTGCAGCCGGTGGGGTTGGGCTGCCGTGGCTGCTTCGCCCAAAGTGACTCCTTGCTTTATAAATCGAGATGGGATCGACATGAACAAGCCATAAGCACCGTCCGCAGTAGTGCAAACAAGATCAGCCACGCGGGGCCCGTCAATTCTTCTGATATCTACGAGTAAGCCGAACTTGATAGTTACGGAACGACCAGCTGAAGCACAGAGTTCCTAGGAGCACACAATGCACAGCAAGACGGCGCGGTCAGTTATTGATGGAGGCTGGGAAGTTGCTGTCTCGAACACTAAAGTTCATAGCGCCGGCAGACCTCAAGGCGGGGTCTTGGAAGCGGTACGTTAGCACAGTTAGTTTGCCAGCCGGGTGTTCGGTGGGAAATGTACTCCATGCTCCGTGCTTGGGCACATGTTGTTGAGCTCTACTCGAGAATGGAGGCAATGCCGATGAGCCTTATCAAACACATGATCACTCTGCCTTGGTGTACCTCTATTGAGGAAAGCAATGTTCGTAGACAGATACCTAGATCTTGCGCTTTTGGTACCCGGACCACCGGCACTCGGGCAGCCACACTCTTGAATCTCCAGAAGCGCACAGCCGACAGTCGAGAAGCTGCCCAAAGCAGCGGCTAGCTTAACTAGCACCGAGATTAGTTGACCACCCAAGAGAT